GCTGTTCTCTGGCATCTCTCGCGAACTCCTCGTCGCCGTGCCAAAATCCGGAAAAATCTGCCGACTTGTCGAACACTCGGTTCTCAGCTAACAATTTTATGACCATTATCAGGGCGTTGCTTTGGTCCAGCTCGTACCCTTTCTTCTCGAGACTTTCGCAGACGGCCAACGCACGAGATGCTAGTCTCAATTTTATGTTAACATCATAATACCGATGATATTCTAACTTCTCGCCGAAGTAATCTTCAGTGGGAAAAACAAAACTGGATAAATTGGCACCATAATTCAAGAGTGCGTGAACCGTATTCGGCATGAGACTCGCCACGGCACATTGAAGCGGGGTTCGACGCAACTTGTAGTTCACGACGTCGATCTGCACCGTCCGCTGGATGTCGTCGCAAGTTTTAAGGAATATCTCCGCCAAGTCGTCGTTGCAGTAATTCTTGCAAATAATTTGCAGATGAGTCCATCCGCCTGCATTCTCTAAATTTGGATTTGCGCCCTGTCTCAGTAGTAATTCGACTACATCCTTGTTTTTCTCCTCCAGAGCATAGTGTAGCGGTGTCTTACCGTACTTGTCCCAAACGTCAACTTGCAACGGCCGATATTTGTCGTTGCTGAGATCGAATAAAATCTTTGCAAAACTACACATAGTGTTGTAGCGTCTGTAACCTCTGCAAATAATTTGTAATGGAGTCAATCCCTCTGAATTAGCCAAGTTCGGATTGGCGTCTCTTTTCAGCAGCGATTCGGCCGCCTTCTTGTTTTCGTTTTTAACAGCCAAGTGCAATGCGGTGTTGCCCTCGTTGTCCCGAGCGTCCACTTGTATCAACTGATTCAATTCATCGTTGATCTGGAAAAATATCTCTAACAAGTCAATATTGAAATAGTGGTAAGAGGAAATCAAGTGCAGAGGAGTCAATCCGTCCTTGTTAGCCAGACTCAGGTCGATACCGCTTCTTAAAATTGATTCGGCTATCACCTCGTATCGGTGCTTTAGAGCCAAATGAAGAGGTGTCTCTCCGTTCTTGTTAGCCAGACTTAGGTCGATACCGCTTCTCAAAATTGATTCGGCTATCTCCTCGTATTCGTGCTCTAGAGCCAAGTGCAGAAGAGTATCTCCGTCCTTGTTGGCCAATGTCAGATCGGCGCCGCGTCCCAGCAGCCATTTGACCACCCCCTCATTGTGACGGTGCTCCAGGGCCAAGTGCACAACAGTATCTCCGTCCTTGTTGACCAAACTCGTGTCGACGATGCTTTCCACCAGTAAGCATACGACGATTCTTTCGTGTCGGTGCTTCAGAGCCAAATGAAAAGGAGTATCTCCGTCCCTAGTGGCCAATCTCGGATCGGCGCCGTGTCTCAGCAGCAATATGGCCTCCCACTCGTGCTGGCCCTTCAAAGCCAAGTGCAGAGGAGTGTCTCCATCCTTGTTGACCAGGTGCAGGTCGGCGCCGCTTCGCAGCAGCCACTGGACTACTTTAACCGCGTCCCCGTAGCTTCTCAGCACAGCCGAGTGTAGCGGCGAATTACCTGTCTCTGCAACGATGCAATTCGGATCTTGGCCGTACTCGAGGAATTCCTTGACCACCTCGTCGCAGCCGTACTCGCAGGCGATATGAAAATGCGTCAGGCCCGAATCGTCGATGTAGTTCAGATCAAATCTGTTGTATATCTTAAAGAGCTCGTCGATGATTTGCTTGCCTTGTCTAGCCGCGTGATGTATCGCAGTGGTGCGTTGCAGCAGTGGCTTGCCGTTTTCATCGAGGTCGGGCTCGTCCTTGTAGCCGGTGTCGATCACAAAGTTGATGAGCGGGAGCTCGCTAGACCAGTAGGATTTTTTCTTGATCGTTTCCACGAGAAGCCATTCGATGTCGTAAGGCTGAAAAGTTTTTCGGAGGTCGGGAAGTTGACCCTTCCAATCGCTGACCAAGTCTTCGAGTTGGCAGAGAAATTCGCGCCGTTCGTCTTCGTTCTCCCAGTTAACCTCTTTTCGCATGGATTTCAATTTTAGCAAACACTTTTTATCGTCTTGGGCCATGGCTCAACGCACACTCACTTTTCACACTTTAATAAGTTATTATGTTTTCTCTTGTTAGGAGAATCACTCACTGGAGTCGATGTGCTACGGTCTTTCTTTGTTTCACGCTGCGGCGTCGTAACGTGAACTGAACGGGTAAGCACTTGTGCGCGTCGCGCTATCGAGACTCGAGTAAGGCACACACACACACACACACACACGCGCGCGCGCAGTGTACTACCTGCTATTCTCCTTCTTTTTTTTTGGACGCGACAGGGAGAGAGTCCGCCACTAGTCAATGACTATAGTCAAATGATGAAATTGTCTATATTTATGATTGTTGTAAATGTAGCTTTTCTTTGACTTAAACAGGTTTGTATCATCACGTCCACAAGCAAACAAATCTCAAATCTCGTCAACGCTAAGCATTAGCCACACAACTGTTTTGAGTATTTTTATTAGTGTCGAAGTATACGGTGCGGTCGCCAAAAAAAAAACAGTTTTAGAGGATTCTGGGTGTACGTCGTCCTCGATTTCGTGGTTGGGAAATCCATAGTATAGTGAAAAAACAAATATATCGAAAAAATTATTACGTCATGTGTGTTGTACGAAATTCGAATGTCCCGTTTTCTGCTCGATATAATGATGTCCGCAGTGGCAAATTTCAATGGCTCGGTTAAATTTAAGTGCAGCTTATATTTCCCGAACGAGTTCGATATTTTCGTGTGTCTTAAAAAATTTATAATTCGTTTTGTATTCGTTCAAGATTTTAAGGAGAGACAGATCGTTGCAGATAAGTCGATAGGCGAATTTCGCACCAGCAGCGCGGGGAATTAAAAACCGACTCCGCTTCTTGTCGTATGGCAGAAAGCTGCGGCGTACGCTTCCTCATATACCTACAACGCAATTGAGTTTTTTGCATCCCGCGATTTAATATTCTTAATTGACAGCTCAGGGTTTTTCAAATACGTAAGCTAATTGTTTCTTTTTGTGGAATCACTTCTACAATAATCCGCGTGTTAAGTTTTTTTTCGAGCATCAAGTTAAATAGTATGAAACCGAGACGAACAAGAAATGAGAGATCAGTGTCGGTTTTGCTATGGCGTGCTTCGTGTTGTTTTGCGCAGTCGTTGCGCTGCTCAGCTCGATTTCATCGCCCGCCTCAGCCGTAAACCGAAGTTTGTTCCTCGAACGCGACATCGCGGTAAAAATTTCCTGGCCTTGAGGTCTCCTTCGTGAACACCACCATCTATTACGGCGCATGCGACTGATCCACAAATCAGACGTACTATAAGTCTGCTGCGTCGCGTGCGAGCGACATTCTCGGGAGAGTCGCCTACGCGAGATAAGAGGACAAGTGCTCAGATCGAATTGCGCTCCGAGTCCGGACCGGGCTACTTCGTCTTCAGGAACTACATCAAGGTCGATCCTCTGGGCCGGGATCGAGCGATCGTGCGCTGGCTCGAGGACAACGGCAGCGAGGATTGCGAACTCTCGACCGATCTCGATCGGCTGATTGAAAATTTAAATAGCGATTCACCGTCTATCCAGGCAGATTTGACGTGGTTCGATGGCTCTGCCAGTGAGAAATTCAACCAGTTGAGCTACAGCAAAAGAAAATATGATGTTTGAACTAGTCACCGATAGATGGCGTCGACGCGGATCGTCGCTCGCGCAGCAGAATTTTACTGGTTCAAGGCATATAAGAGAGACGATCTTCCGGCATAAATGTAATTTTTTTAGTACCTCCTCTATCTGGTAACAGCTGAAGTTTCGCGGTTGAAGAAGACTTGTCTTCTAGCCCGCTGGAAAGCTCGAGGAGTTGTCGGTAGAAAAAGACTTGTCTTCTAGCGTGCTGACGACTTCGAGAGCTGACTGTTGAAGAGGGCAACCCCTGACTCGCGGTCACTTGAGGGGCGATGTGCTGTCTGCTACTAGTTGGCTATTTTCGGTGCAGACCGGCTTGCTGAAAGCAAGTTACGGCTGTGTTTAGACTCGGCGTGTCCTAAGGCAATCTATAGAATTTAGATTAAGGACTGCGAGTATGACTCGATGGTAAAAGCGAGTTTTGAACTTAACACTATATTCTGATATACGACTTTATTCACACATTTATACTAAATATTGTACCATAAATTGACTATAGTTTGTTGATAAAATAAATATTATTTATATTTTTTGTTAAATAAAATTCTTGTCAAGATCATTTAATCAATCCTTTCTACCACAGCAAATTCAGTAAATAGAAAAGGTTTTATTGTTTTTGACCTTTCGAAGTAAAAAACATATGACTTTGACGCCTTTTTAGTTAGGGGTTTTCACGTTAATGTCGCACCGATCGATGTTGTGATATTTTCTTGATTTGATTGATCAAGTTCTTTCTCTTTTTTTATTCGTTTCTCGATTTGCTTTTCCTTTGCGTCACTTTCATCTTGTAAAGGGACCGGGGCAACAGAAAATTCAATAGGAGTCTGCAATTGGAACGGACGAATTTTTTTTGAAGTCGGTAGCAATCGATCTTCTATTATTTTAATATTTCTTTCCTTCTTTGGCTCTTCTTTTTTTACGTCCTTCTGCTCGTCCTCCTCATCTGAAATAATTATTATTTCTAGAAAAAAAAAATTTCAATTATTCTATCTAATACAACAATGAAAAAATAAATAAAAAAATTTACCTGGTTCTTCAAAACTTTTCTCTTCTTTTCTTGGTGCAGGAATTTTGCGTTAGAAATTGGCTCATAGATCTTTCTTTTTGGAATTACAGCAGACTGGTGCTTGGGAGGTTCACTTTCCACATTACTGTCCAAATCGTCACTGTATTCATATTGATGCACAATTTCTTGAATTTTGTTTCTTATCATCATTTTTTTTCTGACGGAACAAAAACTAAAACTAAAGCAGAGCAAAAGTATAAGTAGACGTATTATGACTATTCCTCTCAGCAAAGCAAAGGTATACGTCCAATGACAATTCTGTGAGCTTAACGAAAAAACTTATTACTATGCTAATGTTTAAATGTAAACTTACATATGAAAATAAAATCCTGCAAAAAGTCTTGTTTTCAACCGCATTCTGTAGATATTGATGTATGTATTGTAGTGAGCCGTGTCGCCGCAAGGTGGGAAAGAGTAAAAGTGCGGTTCACGCAAGTGAGTTTGTAAAGTCTGGGCGTTATATAGACCCGAGAAAAGCTTGTATCTTCGAAAGCCTCGACAGAGGCAAAAGAGAGGTGAATAAATAACAGAGTTCTTTGAAAAGAGAATCTCGACTAATTCTTTCACCTAAACACTGACTGGTGATTATCTTCACAAGTGCGAAAGAAGCTCTCGACGAATTCCAAGTCTCTGGGTCTTGCACATACCATGTGTAGAGCCGTCGACCCTTTTTTGTCGACAATGCTCGGATTAGTCCCGTTGTTTAACAGAAGCTCGGCCATCTCCTTGTGGCCGTAAAATAGGGCACAGTGCAGAGGAGTCTGGCCCCACTGGTCTACGGCGTGCACATTTACAATTTTACGCTTGACATTGTAGGCTTCCATTTCAAAGACCATCTGCAACAACTCCCTCCCATTAACCATCCCCTTATAGCCTAATTTCCAAAATTCAAAACTGACGAGATATTTTTCACGCTTCTCAAGTCAAAGTAAACTCTCAACTCGTTTCCAAGGCGAGTTCCCCGGTGAACACTCAGCCAGCTTCTACGAAGCTCGGATTTCCTTGGCCATGGAAATAAGTAAGTTTGACTCGTTGTACGCATTAAATTTTTGGAGTATGGCAGTGAAGACCGCTTCAACTATATCCGAATTTGGAGGTGATGATTGGACCTTTGAACCTGATTAAAAAATTCAAAAAATCAGATGAATGAAGTTTTTCGTTATATAAATTTTTTGAAAGTAAAATAGCAAAATAATAGAAAGTAAAATAGTGTTTACCTTGATTATTTTGAACTTTGGTCCTGCATTCTCCACCTTTTTTTCTTCTTTTTTCCCCTCATATTTTTCTCCAAGCTTACCGCAAAGCCCGGCCATTCCTTGTTGGAGAAGCAAGTGTCCCAGATTTTTCTCGACCTGGTGACGATATTATCTGGAACAGCTTCCTGGCCGACTAATACACCGGGATTCGAGCGGGTGGATCTTCGACTCATTGTCGCTGCTGCTAAATAAATCAATTGCAACAAAAAACAAAAAAAAATATCGAAAAATAATATATATAATATGTACTCTTCAGAAGAGAGGTACTGAGTCCTCGTTGATCCTTGGTCCTTGGTCCTCGATGAGCCGCTGCCGCTGAAGTCCTAGTCCGCCGATGATAGAGTCCCTCGACATGTCTAAGATATTCAATATGAAAGTCATTACCATCATTGTACTTGGTCTTTTCTGAATTCCAGGTGGAAGTTTCATATTCTCTCTTGATTTTTCTTCTCTGTGATCTAAGGGTGGGGGGGGGGGCTGTAGTGTTTTTTTCGTTTTCTTTTTTGGCAAGGACATGAGTGTTCTTCCTCGGAATCTTCATCTGGTTTCTGGTTTTTTTGATAAGTGTATTTATATACCAGATCAGTAATTTCATTACGAAGATGAAGTTTGTCTTCTGGTTTCACCTAGACTACGTGGTGCAAAATTGACCGAAAAAATGTCATTTCCTCCTCTTCTTCTTTCGTTAGGGCGGCCATTTCCAATGACGAATTTCCTTGGCGAACGGCTTGGTCGGCGTATGCGTACGATGGAACGACACGACGATGCTGTGCACGCAGTTCGAGCTCGGCGGCGACTAAGAGATCAGCTGGTTCGCCACCAGAATCCTCGACCAGTGGGAGAAACGAGCCATCCACAATTTGCCGAGAGGCCAAGGATTTTTGACCTACGTCGCGTTCAGTAAATTTTTTTACAATCGGTTTTTATACTTTGCCCACTAGATGTGGTCTCATTTCGTGCGATGAACCTTTAGCCACAAACGCGACCTCGAGCTAAGCATCACATCAATCCGATTACTCGTGTGTAAAATCGATTAATTCATTCCGATGATTTCTGATAAATTAACGGTACTCCATTGTAAAATAAATGTCAAAAACGGAAAAGGCAGAAGACAGCGCGCGAAGCACCCTGAGAGTACAATATAACACGATCCTACGTTATATTACAACTGCGAGTCGCTGCAGGCGAATAATTTCTCGGAAAGAAAGAATATCTAGAATACGAGGTTTCGCGGGCTGTGTATACGACGATAATACGACTCGTATATTTATGCACCCATGATCCGATAGCAAACGGAGCTTTATATCGTGCAGCACTCGTATGCTCTCGTGTATGTGTATGATATCTCTGCTGTTAAGGGCCGACATTTGTCGGTCGTCATCGGGGTTTGTACGATCGCCAAGAGGGAGAGAATTGCTATTGTGTGTACGTATATATGCAAGTGACAGCTATGCAAGTGATCGATCATCTCTTACTCTTATATATTTTTTCTTTTCTTTTCTCTTGCCTCCGCCGTCGAGACGAGGCGTCTGCAGCCCTTAGCAGTCTCGCCCGAAATCTCACGAAAATTAACATTGTGTGTAGAAAAAAAATTATACATATACCAACGTGGAGCGCAGAGAGCAGAGGACTATATATACGAGACTCGTTGTAAATTCATCGAGCGTAGGGTCTTATATACACCGAGATCGCTCGCTCGCGACGTGACGTAATTTATACCCGCTCGTAATACATATTGGCTATTACACACCGAGCTCGATTCCTAATTTTGTTTTTTTCTTTCCTGCTCACCCACACCTTCGGGCGGCGCCTGCGAAACCCGACGATCTTATCCATTGAAAAACGATCTCTCGTACAAGCGTATATACGTAGATTTCACCTTGCGCGCGCGCGCGCGCGCACGACCTTTGACAATAATAGAAATATATTTGTCGGGCTTTAAAAGGCGCATATAATATACGCGTATATCCGATACTGTACGAGCTAAGCAATTCGACGCCATTATTTTATTTACGTAGATACGTATGTGACGTTATGGTGTGTATATCGTGCGCAGTGTCAGCATGAGCAACAAACGGCAACAGCAGCAGATCTCGGTGTACGTACGGTGACATTATTAATAATAACATGATAAACATCACACATATACGTGACATAACGCGCTGAAATCGCGTTTGTATAACGTAACGCGTGTACTTGTGTATACGAAATATCCAAAGGCTCTCTCAAGGTAAGGACGATGTATGAACGCGGAATCGACGTTTTTCCGCGTTATGCCCTATACCTTACAAAAACATAACATATGGATATTATTATTATTATTTTATCTATAGCGCGCATGGATTATTTTTCAATAATATACAACGCCGTGATACTTGACCCTTCGAGTCGTCTCTATAACCACTGCAGTCAGCTATAGCGGCGTGACAATTGCACCTAGTCCAAGCGCGCGCGACGACGACAGCAGCAGCACGACAGCAACGAGCGAGAGACTTAATACGTCCGGACATCGATCACGCGTATACATCAGCTGCACACGCAACAACACACAATTCGGCCTGCAATGCGCTGCTGCTACTATAGTGCAGATTGTACACTATTATAATAATGTGTTTTCGTGTAAAGCCATTTTCGACGCGTGTCCAACGGCGCAGCTCCGATACTACTGCACATTGTTATAATATTATTTCTTCGCGTTGCGTGCGTGATTGAGGAAATTAAAAAAAAAAGGAATAGGAAAGGAAAGGAGCGAGAGAAAGAGAGAAAGAAATAACACGTTAATGTACACACACACACACACACGTTCGTGTATACTGCAGTCGAGCGTCGAGTTATAATAACGAGCTTTGTTTGGACAAGGCGTGTGTGCGCGCACAGAGAGGGTAGAGAGTAGTAAGTTTATAAGCTGCCTCAGCCTGCCTGCCTGCCTCGCGTCGACGAAATATTTTCGGGTCAAGGATTACTCGCTAAAAATTCCGAGCGAGAGGCGACGCTTCCTTGCTGCGAGCTTTATAATTTTTATTCTTCCTTACTCACTCTCTCTCCAAAGTCCTTTATGTTTTTGTTTTTGCGCTAATTCTAATAATTCATAGAGCTCTGGCAGCGAAAAATAATAATATACGAGTTAAAAAGAAAAAAAACAACAGCCCCTGGAAATATAAGCTTGGAGAGAGAGAGAGAGAGCCTCTCGAGATCGAATATTGTAATAGAGTCTACGTATATACATACACAAAAATATAAGCTGACGTCACGTCAAGCGAGTCGTGCGATATCACGAGAGAGGGTCGCAGCAGTCAACGTCGTCGTCGTCGTACCTACTTCTGATAGTTAGGGAGCCGAGGAGATAGGGTAATCACGGGTAGGTGTAATTCGATTGTGTGACGAATTGGCACAGGGGGGGTAGCTTAGGTGCTGCTGGTGGCACACGCACGAAATTCGATGTCATATCGCCGCCCCCTCGAGCGTGAACCGAAAATTTCGCGCTGTCGAGGAAGATGAATCAATTTGGCTCTTATATTTATAGATTGACCTAGTCGCAGAGAGAGCTGTGCTCCGCAAGCGCTAGAGGCAGCCCTCGATCTCTCTCTCTTGCTTCTTTTGCTCGGCTTCCTTTTTCCAGAGCCTGCTGATGATGAGAGGGTAGTGTGTGTGTAGTAGTAGCACAAACATCTCTCTCGTGTGTACACATCCTTCGATATATAGATACTGGTTGCCGACGTAATGAAAAACGATTTCTAAAGGCAACGCATTCGTGTATGTATGTATACAACATCGGCGCCGGTTGGGGATGACGTTCGTATTCGGTATACACCTGAGCGGGCGCGAGAGGGATGATAATTGGCTAGAGGTAAAATCAATGCCCTTTTTTTTCGTGCCGAGATAGAGAGAGAGAGAAAAATTTTGTTTTCGAGAATATGACTTTCAAAAGGTCGGGAGACACTTGAACGATGTTATATATTACAACGCGAGCTTTTATTTTTCAAAGTATGGACAATGAGTGAGTGAGTGAGTGAGTGAGTGAGAGGAAAGCGAGCGAGTGAGCGAGCGTTTCTCTCTATCGTCGTTATTATTAAAAAAAAAGGGAGATGAAGAAGAAGAAGGCGAACCTTGAGATCATCGCTTCTGCCTTTAGTTCTTTCTGCTCTTCTCAAAGAACAGCTCGCCTTCGTATAATACTTTTCAACTGCCTCGACGCCGAAGCGTTCCAATTTTTCTACTCCTTTTTTCATTACGGGCCGTATAGAAGAGAAGATCCTTCTTTTTTTAAATTATTTTTCGACACTTCCGAATCTTCTTTTCGAGCTCGAGATTATATATACGTATCCATCGGACATTTCAGGTGATCGCAATTGCGCACTCAAAGCCCCCGCAAAATAGCGACTAATTCTTCTCGACGTTTAATCTTCTCCTCACTCTCGGCCTTTTCTTCCATATAATAATTATTAAGAAAATATAGGTCGTGCCGCATCCTCTATGAATACACTAACGTGGGAACGTTAATTTAAAACGAAGTAATAAAGTTATATTCGAAACGCCGTCGTCGCCGCCGCTGCCCGACGACGACGACGATGCGATTTATCGCAAAGTTTATCCAGCTACACAGAAACGTATATTCAATGCGTCGTCGGTGTCGAATAATCTAATCATGAAGAGCGCCATAAATTTGAATTTTTGAACGTCTGTGTGCGGCTATATATACGAGCTTCAACTTGTCTCGGGGCTTAAATCGTTGCAATTTTGAAAGGCTCGAGCAGCAGTACCAGCAGCCGCTGATAACGAAGTACATAATATAACGCGTGACGGAAACTTTGAGAATTGCTCTCGACACACTGCTGCAACGACACCGCTGCACCCACACGCAGCAGCGAGATTGCCCAATCATTTATGCATCGTGTGTGTGTGTACAATACACAAGTCCATGCAATTTTTACTTCTTTTCATTTACGCTCGCTGGACACCGATATAATATATCTCGTCTTCGAATTTACGTGAAAAAAATAATAAATAAAAGCTCGCAGAGATCTCAAGAGACACGGCGCGTATTGAAGCTCGGCTCGCGGGAAAGACAATCGCGCGATAATCACTCGTTAATGATTCGTCATTGTCTTGGCAGGCTCGCCTCGTAGCGGTACGACAACAACAACGAGCTTGAACAAAAGCAGCTGCGACGTCGAGCGCAATCACGTATCCTGTATAGAGGCCGAAAAATGTCATTAAAATGCAAATCCATCCACTGCTGCTCCGGCGCGTGTCTTTCGGGCCGCGAACTTTTGTGTGCTGTACCGTGTTTGCGAAACTTGCGGACAGTCCTCTCCTCTCTCCTCTGCGTTGGAAGCCGTATACATATACACACATGCCTCCCGATCGTACACGTTGGCTATATAGATATACACGTGCTGCCGCGCGCGATGTGCACGCAGGGGTTGCTATACAGTTCGTATATAGTCGAGCTCGCGCACGCGTGCGGCAGTGAAGCAAAATCGGGAGTAGTAGTGGTAGGTATAGATAGTAGTCGTGTCGGGTCTCCGGGTCGTGTGGGGCAGCAGCGGCACATATACACACACACGCGCGCACTCCCTTCTGTGCAAATAAATGTCGGTGTGTGTGTGTGTGTGTACTGCGCTGTGCAGTACTTATACTATACTGGAGGGGCAGACCTCCAGCGCAGCAGCGGCAGCAGCGAAGCAAGTGCAGCAGCTCTAGCAGCTTTAGCAGTAGTAGCAGTGAGACGCGCGGCGAGAGAGAGCGAAGACGTAGGCCAGAGCAGCAGCAGCAGCAGCAGCAGCAGTAGAGAGAAGAGAGCCGCCGGCCTGCTGGAGAGCTCGGGCCGCGAAAAGCTCTCGTCTGCGCGCGCGCGCGCAACACCAGCTGTACTGGATGTGTGTACGTATAGCGGACCAAAAAAGCTCGTGCGAAGGAAAAAGGTTTTTCTGAGATCTTTTTTGTTACTACTGCTGAGTATAAATGTGGCACGCGAAAGTGAATAAATTAAAGTGAAGAAAAATTAAGTAGCCGTCCAAAAGTTTATAATAATAATAATAGTAACAGTGTGTATCGAGTGCGTGCAGATTCGAACGAGTATACGTGAGATATCGAAGGGGGTAAGTACCTGCAAGCACACAGACAGACACACATTTTGTACACGCCACCCCCGCGCACGCTGCAACGAGCGCAAAAGTGTCACACGATCTAACCTTTTTTTTTCACGGAGACACTTTTCTCTCTGTGCTGTCGCTTCTATGCGCGCGCGCGGTGGAAAGCCGGTTTTCCACACTCACAGAGAGAGAGAGCCTCGATTGTCGTGCCCTACGTATAGACGGCACACATCGATCCCTACGTTATATGCCCTTACACCCTCGCACACCCACACGCACACACATGACACTCCACCAGCTCGATGGCATTACACACATGCACATAATCCTCTCGTACGTGTGTGTCATGTGTGTGGGTGTGTGTGTGTGTGGTTCACGGCGAGAGCTTGATGTATCGAACTGACCCATTTATAATTACGATTGTTAGCGATATACGGCAAATAGCGTGTACTACACAGCGCTCGGTGCTGATGAAATATACAGCTGCGGTGTGTGCATCATCGCGATGACATCATCCTATCTACATTTACACTCGTATATACACCGCACACATCCACTTCCTCGTCCTTTTCGTGTACAGTACACGCACACACACACACGTATAAGCTCGGCTCGTGTGTATAAGGACTGCCGCACTCCGCTCGCTCGGGAGCCACTACTACTGCTATAACTGCTGGCTGTTCTCGCGTTATTGATTTTGCCGCAGAAAATTGTAGAAAAAGTTCTCGGCCCTCTCTACCCCCCCTCGAGATAATGTACATCATCGTCGTTATCGCGAACGGCTTTTTCGATTAGATACAATACGCGTAAAATATCGACGATGACATTGATTACATTACATTGTAAAAAATTGTGTGTGACACAAAGGTAAGGGGCCGCCTGCGCGATGACGTCGGTGGTGGTGGTGGACCCACCGTCGGGGTCAGCAGCAGCTGAATCAACCAGCGATACACCAGCACCAGATTCGTCGACGACGATGGATCAAGCGGCAGCGACGACGAGCTCGGCGGCTCCGCAAGTGGCAACGCCACCGCAGCAGCATCCGCCACCCTCGCCGCTGAGCGGCTGCTACCTGCTGGTCGTCCTGCCGGAGCCACATTGCTCCCAACACCGGGATTTAATACTCAACCGGCTCGCCAAAGGTGAGTCCTATGATGATGATGATAATGTGTGGCTACGTGTGTATGTGTAAGCCAGAGCTCTGGTCGCGCGGAGTATCGATCTTTTCTCTCTCTTCTTTCTTTTTTTTTTTATCAAAATTGGGTTAATATCCCCCGGCACGAGTGAATTTATGCATCGCTGTTTATGTACTGCTACACACTCATGTACACACACATAAAGTGTGTATTCGTCTTTCGCATAATGTACATGCAGTTATAACCTAATGCTGGGACCATTCGTTACGATCACATGTACGAAACAAATATTGTCGATAGCAGCAGCATCGGCATATAATTATATATTACCCATTATACAATTAGAATTTTAATAAGTCACACGTACGGACGCATACACACTCTATACTCTCGCCTCCGCCGCCGCAGTCACCTAGTTCGAAGGCGCGCGCGAGCGATATAATAAAAGCTCACTCGAGCGCGCAACGTACGAGGGGCTTCGTCGTCGTCGTCGCTTCCGTCGCTAATTTTTATTAAGACATCGGCGGATTATTTTTTTTTTCCTCCTTTTACTCTCTCTAATTTTTTTGTTCGATGCGGCGTTCTGTGTATCGATCCACGCTTGCCACAATATTATTATACTTATATATCTATACGAGTGGGCGAAAAGCGAAAAAAAAAATTGTTATAATAAGCGCGCACGATTTGCAGCAGCAGCAGGACACGCGTTCGTGTGTATATGCGAAAAAAGAGGTATATATACATATAAACGGCGCGCACGTATAATACAACTTCCTTGCGGAATACGTTTATATTCGCTGCTGCTGCTGCTATACCGTATTAAAGAAACGTTCGTTACGTGCGCACGCGGGGTCTATATATAGGTATATATGCCTACTATATAACGTGTGTAGCTCTGTTGCTAGGCGCGTCGCCGTCGACGCCGCCGACGCCGCCACTATACGCTAGGCTGCCGCCAGCCGTAAAGAAGGAAAGAAAAAACCCTCCCGTGTACATTACATAACACAGACGTAGACACACTTAGATATATAAAAAAAAAAGCTCCTTTTTTGAGACGGCCTTTTGTTTCTTCTTCTTCTTCTTCTTCGTCCTCGTAGTTTTCGGCTCTGTACAACTCCAGTACACGTATATACAATTCGATCCTTGCCGTCGTCCTCGCGACGACGACGACGGCGGCGGCAGCAGCATTCGAGCTATATATAAATATACAAGCGCACAGACACTCGACTATGCCGCGGCGCAGACGGCGGCTTTATTTATTGACGGAGTCCGACCCTTTAATAGACACAGAATACAGACGTATATAATATATAGAGATAGAAAGACGACGTATTTATCGCACGTATAGCCGTATACTTTCATTTTGACGTCGATTGTCAATTGCAAGCTCGCTGCTGCCGCTGCTGCTGGCGCCCGAGCGACGATGCACATTATATATCGCGTTCGTCGTCGCCGCTGCTGCAGGTAATAAAAAAAGCTGTACCGTACCGCGCTGTATTATAACGCGCGGCTCGAAATCGTTAAAACGTGCTTTATAACGGCGCAGCCTGCCGGTACATATAGAAAAGGAAAAAAGAAGGAGGAGGAGGAAGGAAGGAGAAAAAAAATTAACGACGAGAACGTGTGTATGCGAGCGAGCGTGCGTGCGTCTCTGCTACAACCCTCGATATACGCGACGCGAAGGGTTGTTCGCTCGCTCGGTCTCGGGGATGCATTAAAAAAAAGAGCGACTCATTTTTCTACGGTCATCAATTCACGCGTATGGCACGTTATTAGGACCGCGGAACGTTACGAGGTACAGCTCGTCTAATCGATTGGTTGTGTCTCGGTTTGAGCAATAGGACACGTCTGTGTGTGTATTTATAACTCGGAGAAATAAGGAATCTAGAACGCTCATGTGTGTGTACGTCTGTGTGTGGGTATGTTTGCGGCGATACACGCGGATACAGAGAGATAGAGACAAGGCTCGGTACATTATACCGATTGCCTATGTACATTTATAGAGAGAGACTAGACGAGCGCGACTTTATATACTCGCGGGGGTGGCGCAGTGTGTGTGTGTGTGTGTGTGTGTTCGCTGCGGCGAGAGCTTTTGCACACACAAACACACTGGCTTACAAATATAAAGTCTGCGAGCCAAGCCCGTCGGGTCTGCACCGCATTGCACATACTGCGATCGCATCTATGCAAATTGAATAAAAGTTGCATATCGTGCAGCTGCAGCACACAGCACACGGGTACACAGCTGTGCACAATTTAGGCTACGATATACACAATTCTGGGCCAGAGAGCTTAAAGTGTATATAGGTACAAAAACACACGTCTTACATCCTTATCTCGGAGAGCTTGTACAATAATATCGCGATCGCGCGCGAAAGCTCGAGCCTATATATATACGATATCGTTGTGTACACACGTATATGGACAGATACTCGATTCGACTTCCAGAGAGAAACTCGCAGCTTTATACTACTCCGCGTTGGACGTGTGTTATGTACACTTGGGTACTCTCTACGTTGCTGCTGTCGAATCGCATACATTTTTTACCGAGCCAGAGTGAGATTGGCACTAAGTGCATACGTACAGTGCAGTCCAGCTTAGCTCTGCAGCTGCAGCTGCAGCTGTGTCGTGCGGCAGTGGCAGTGTGTCGGGACTGGCAGGTCAGGAGTCAAGGTCGATATTATATGTACACGAGCTTTTGCACACGTACGTAGTATACTCTGACGAGCGTATGGAAGGCATTCGGATTTATGTACGATGTATACAATCCAAATCAATCTAATAATAATCGTTGTCGTCGTCGTGTAGTATCCTGTGTGTCTGCGGGCGATTATTTTTCCTCGCTCGCTCGCTCCTGTAGCTGCGGATGACACGATGCTCGAACATAACTCGCGAGCTTTTTCCTAGCTAAGGATTACTAAAGCTTCGTACACTTGTTATATATACTGGTGCGATTGTAGGTGTGTGTGTACGAGTGTAGGTGTAAACGTATATTATCGGAGCTTTGGTAAATCGCGTGTCCAGATACTCGCCTCGCGGCTTGTTCCTTAGGTATACGTATATATATATACGCGAGAGCTATATAGTCTCCGCAATGCGCTCGTAATAGCCCCTGCATTGGCGCTTTTATATTTCTCGCGTGTAAAATAATATATTTAGCTCCCTCTCTTTCTCTTTCTCACTTTTATAATATGTATATAAATATATATCATACACACGTACTTGCGGTGCGATCGACGCGAAAAAAGCTCTCGCAACTTCCCGCTCTCCTACTACTCTGCGCACACACGCACGCACGAGTGCGTCTTATTTATCGTGTCGAGCCCGAGAAGAGGAAAGGAAAAAAATTCACTGCAACCTTCTCCGTGCGTTACACGAAATGCATACGAGGAAAGAGAGGGAGCTTGCGATTATACGAAAAAATCCCAGCTGCGAGCCGCAGCCGCATACAGGAGTTTATATACAGCTTGATTCGCGCTCGTGTTTTAACAAGTACGCGAACTCGTGCGCTGCAAGCTCGCCCGGTATATGTGTAGCAGGTGGTGCGGCGCCCACTCGAGTTGTGGAGGATTCTGAAAAGGGAGAGAGAGAGAAAAAAAAGAGCTTGAATAAAATTAAAACGCGGAGAGATATTTTCACGTTAGCAAATTAATGAATTCAATTTTTTGTATTTCATTTATTTCGATCGCAACACTTTGAGTAACGATTGACTGCGGTAAAGCTATTGGATTTAACGAAACATAGTTTGTAACATTTAACGACGTAAATCACTTCGCAGTAAAGAATTTTAAACTAACAACGTGTCAGTATACCCAAAGCCGCCATTATCGTGACGCGAGGTAAAATAAGTGCGAGCAAGAGGCAGGCTTTTGCATCAACGCGTTGACATAAAATCATCACCAATGCCGAGCCGCGAGTATCAAGCTGTGACGGCTGAATAGCGTATACAAGCAACGCACCTATGAAAAAAATTCAATTAAAAAAAAACCCAGATATTATGCAGTGTATCGAATAGTGCGTGCGACTTTTTTTCTCCCTCCTCTGCATCACGTACATAGCGACGCAGCCCACGCCACGCACACAGAAAAGCTCGCGGCGTACACCCGTCGATCTGTATAGCCGCACCGCATATAGCAGCTCTTTTTTTTCACTCGTCGAGTCGCATCGTTTTTGGTGAAAAGCTCGCTCCGAGAGACGAGCGTCACATTTTTTTCTATGCTCCAACCAAGCCCCCGCTGGCGATTCACCGTGGCGCGCGTATTAACGCCGCGTCTATGTAGCGTAGGGCCTCGGAGAGCTCTTTTCTTTCATCGCTGCAGCTATCCAAGTGCATGGCTCCGAAATGTCAAGATCGCTCGCTCGTCTCTGCTGCGCACTTCTTTTAGGCTTCGCGCGTCACATATAAAATACATATATACGACGAGACACTTTCTCTTAAATACCTCGCTTTTTCCCTCCGTTGCTGCTGCTGCAGCTGTCTCTCGCGAGAGTTATGCATGCACGGACAAATTACGAACTTCGCTTGTATAGCTGCTTAGGCACGTTCGCATATACGTATATAATCGCTCGCGTATAATAAAGACCGATTTTCAAGTTCAATTAACGCCCAGCCGCGAGAAAAGAAGCTAATTACTCGGTGTGCATACGACAAGCCGAGCGAGCGTCGCGAGCAGCGAGTCGCGGAGCTTTAATTCATAAATAGGTGTATAGACTCGTGGGTAGGCAGTAGTATAGTGAAAGGCTGTGCCTCTCATTCTCTCGGTCGCGCTCCAGAGAAAGAGGGAATACGTGCCTCGTCGCACGACGCCGACGACGAGCTTGCACATACATTCTATTTCTGTTGGATGCGCTGCCACGCGGAGAGCTTCAGTACACACGTCGCACACATTTTGTATGTATACGTATGTGTGTTCGCGAGCGAGCGAGAGAGACTTATTATACGGAGGGCGTCGCGCCCGTCACATACACACACATACACACACGCGAGTTTATATGAACGCGTCTAGAGGTCATCGGCTCCACTTTCTCTCCTCTCCCTATAAGCGCGAGCGGGGCGTCGCGTGGATGTTATATATGTATTATGTGCTCCCCGTGCTGCTGCTGCTGCTGCTGCAAGTGCCTTTTGATACGAACGCGTCTATGCACACACCCTCCTTGGCGGCGGCAGTGGTATAGCGATGACGTCGATAAGTACATACTCTATTCGCATGCGAGTGTATGTGTGTGGGTGAATATGTATCCAATACCGTGACACATATTGTATCGCAAGCTCTCTCTAGAAAAATGATATAAAAAGGAGAAGACTGCGGTACAAGAGCTCTATGTAGAAAATGAAACGAAGAAAATGGCATGTACAGGATCCGATCGTTAGAGGTCGATCGACTGGAGGGATACATTCTCGCACGTTAAAGTATATATGTAATAGCTGCTGTCTGCCTGCAGTGCAGAGCTCGACGATCAAATCTCGGCGGGGTTAAATTCGCGCAGCGATCCGTAAACAATTATTCGACTCATCGATTCGCTCCTCTAGTTCTCGTTTTCTCTTCTATACACGCATACCTATGTATACACGCGCGAGCTCGTTCGCGCACTCAGACTCGTACAACAGTTAGTTAGTCTAGCTGCTGCAAGCTCGCAAGCTCGCAATTCCAAAAGTCGATCGACGTGTATATAGCGTAGGGTATATAGTACCTGCAACGCATTGCCAATTGCTACCGAGGTGCAGCGATCATGCGTTACATGTTAATAGCTGCTGCTGCTGCTGCTGCTGCAGATGTGTAACCGAAACGACAATAATGTAACCCTCGAGCTGTATAATACAGACAGAGACATGGAGCGGACGATGACGAGGTGGAATATAGTTGGATACGTTGTATAGGCGCATGTATATCTAGATGCGGCATGCGCGCCAACTTGCCATTACCTGCCTCTTTCACTCACTTAGATATATATATACTCGCTCTCTGCACTCACTAACTCTCTCTCTGTCTCTCCTCACACGTACGATCAATAAACTGGATTCGCTTCAAAACATTATATTATAACCTATACGTACACATGTGAGTGTGTAGAGTTGCGGAAACGGTCCGAAACAGTAATAATATACGTAATATCGCGATATCTCTCGTTTGTGTATACCAGTAAATAAAAACCATTACGACTGCCGCGAAACGATTCGCTCGTCGCGCATCTGGACTCGAGAGCTTTTCCTGCGCGTATTTGTTTATCCCTGTGTGTGTGTACAACGTCTCTCCAGTCCTGCCTGTATAATACGATCTACACAAAATGCAATAAACGAGAGTCTGGGCGCGGGCTTATTTGCCAAAAAAAAAGAAAGGAAGAGACGGTCTCGGAGCGAAATTATATGAGACTCGATGAAAAAAGCTCGCGCTCGCTCGGAGGGGTAAAAAGCTCGATATATATACAGGCCGCTGCCGTTGCTGCTGCTGCTGCTGCTGACGCTGAAGCTGACGCAAACTTCGAGAGTCTCTTTCTCTCGCTCTCCCTCGTTTACGTGTGTGTTAGTGTGTGTGTGCAGTACTTCGCAGAAAGTGAAGTATACGAACGCGAGATGTCGCAACTGCCGGCAGGGATGCTGCATATACACTGCAAAACTTCACTCTCTCGTGCTTCGGGGATGGTACACACTGCACACTCATACACACACAGATACACACACCCACGATTCAACGCCGATCGATCCTTCGCAGCTTCGCACGCAAACACTCTCGGGCAGCGGTTTACTTCGCTTTTGTTATACATTCGGTGTCGAGGCGCTTCAATACACATCATAATAAATTCATTCATTTCATTTACTATTTAACCGACCGATAGCTATTTATCCGCATTGTATTTTATAGTATACTGTAAAGTATAAAAGCCGATTATAACGATACGCGACACGTCACTATTCCGAGCTTATGCATGTTAATTTCGGCGTGCGCGCGCGGTCAATACCGAGAGAGCGAAACAGAGATGCGATATATGTAAACGGTGGCACTGCTGCTGCCGCTGCGTATTAATACCGACCTTCGTCTTAGGAAGAGGAAAGAAAAACAAAAAAGAAAGCAAAAAAAAAAAAATAATGTCAAGCACTCGACACGTGATCGCGCGGCGGCCCCTCCGCTACCTTCCATCAAGGTGTGCAGCAGCAGCAGCAGCAGCTTTTCGAACGCACGCGTTGATACACACATACGATATACGTATACAAAAGAGTCGGAGTTTTTTTTTTTGGTTGAATTATTATACGTACATTTGGCAGTTTTATAAGCCCGGCGCATTCGTGCTCGCGACACATATTACATATTCACGCAGCGCCTAGGCCGCCTCCAACCGAGAAGAGAGAGAGAGAGAGAGAGTAAGAGAGCTTTTGAAGCTCGAGCTTGCGAGGTATTATGATATATACATGTAAGCCGCGTATACTACAGGCGGGTGTATGCATGTACTTTTCGTTTATATATATGATAATAATAATATATCGATCCTCTCGTGTGCAGCAGCACACTTGCAGCGCCTTTGGCAACGTCTCGCGCACTGCACCGACTTTATATCACACACAGATATATATATGTAATATCGTCGAAAAAGCCGACGAGATAGATAGATAGAGAGTAAGAGTCCATAAATACGACGGATATACGTATATATAGCTATATGCGCAAGTACTACCAGCTATTGAATTAGCGTGTCCGCCTATAGCATTATATTATATATGTATATATGAAAACGTGGCACACACAGAGGTCTATAAAAGGACGAAGGAGTATTAAGAATAAAAGCGGGATAGATAAAACGCTTACATAGGCAGCTCCGAGTAAGTGTGTGTGTGTGTGTGTGTGTGTGTGTGTGCGTTTGTACCTTTGGTGTGACGCGAATCGCTTATAAGAGAGAAAAGTTACCTGTTAATACTCTCTCGTCCATATCCAGCGACGTACATTAGCCTTGTGTCTCGGGTGAGCGTCGAAATTGGAGTTAATATCGACATTATATACGCAACGAGTGTGTACGAGGATTCCGAGTTTCGTTAGAAACCTATATATACGCACTCGGACGTTACTCATCGTATTAGGATAATGTAGATACATAACGATCGCCAAGCGAACACACGCGTATTCATTATCATGGATATTAATTCAATGCAAATGTATAATTCCGCCTTATCGCGCTCTATAAGACTCTCTCTTTCTGTATTATATTATAATAATACGTGCCGAGTTTTCGAGAATTCGGGCGCGTGAGCAAGCTCATGCAGTCGAATCGTGATCGAGGACGTGATGAAAATTTATAATACGCCCTCACGAGCGAGAGCGTCAGCCGGCTACTTTGCATTATTTAAAGAGGATCTCTCTCTCCCTTTTTTGTGTGTGTGTGCGCGCTAGGCGTGGGACACATCGCCGATGCTCCTACTTATTTATATAACAACGGAATTTTCGATGACGAGTCGCATACGTACGTAGGTATATATAAAATACCTCGAACGCTCGTAAAGTCCCTTTTTTTTGTTTTTTTTTTTTTTTTTGCGGGACTCGTGGCACGCAGTTCTGCGGCTTTATAAATAGTATCTCTCTTATATGCGCGTACCGAGAGAGAGAGAGAGATAGAGACAGGAAATATTGTACTTTGGCGCGCGCGCGTGTCTAATTTTGCCATTGCCGCCGTTGCCCGCTGCTGCACATGGACGCGCGGCACACGACTCCCATAATTATAATATATATCTCGTGTACGCGTACGAAGTAATTGGAGAACTTCACTCGATCACTCGCAGCGCCGGCTATTTTGATACCTCTCGGATACGTCATTTTTTTTTTCGCTTCTAATCCTAGGTAATGCTCGCCACGCGCACACCCGATCGCGAATAGGTGTAACGTTTCCCGATCGTACACACCTCTGTTCGAATTGTTTTGTTTGTGTGTGGCGCAGCAGCAGCACTCGATATCAAAAATATAATATCGATCGCGACTCGTGTGTATGTTTGTACAGGGCGACAATATCTTTCGTCTAGATCAATAGCGGCAGCAGCTCGAGGCATTTACTATTTATTTCAAGAACTTTTTGACCTGATTTTGATATATATAGCGTATGCAACAACAATGACCGAGCGCATGCACACTACTCGATTCCGCGTTTATTGCCTGTCGAAGTATAATTGATCCTGCGCGATGCACGGAAACGCGTTAGGTGCTGCTGTTGTTGCGCTTGCAGCTGCCTGTATGTATGTATATCAAATTGGAAAATTCGAGATATTTTCCCGCAATATCGTGTTTGTGAATTGCGAGAGAGGACGAAAATAGAAGCTATACAGAGAGAGAGCAGATATCGCGGCAAAAAAAAAGAAAAAAGAAAAAATAAGAAAACCCACCAATACACGGCTTCGGGCCGTATCACCTTCAGGGCTTCCGATCAATTTGACACTGATGCTATGTACGCTAGTGTGAGAGAATGCATTTTGTGCCGATGTATAGGCAATTCAGAGTCTCTCTCTCTTATAAGAGGCCGACCCCTACGCGCGCAGCACTACTTCGCGATGTATATATTATATATACAGTAGTGCATCGCAGTCGGCCACTTTACAATAATATATACACGTATATATATCAACGTCTCGTATCATGTGCCTCTTTAGCGCGCGCAAAGTCAACACCTGACCTTACTTTCAGTGTCTATAAAATTATCGATTCTGCAGATCGCATCATCGTGTGTGTGTGTATTGTATATCTTTTTTTCGCGGAGGATTATATACATATGCCTCTCGTCGTCGTCGTCGTTATGTTATATAATTTTTGAATCATAAAAATGCAACCGCGAGCGGAGCTCTGTGCTCTCCCCGATCTAATTATGAATTTATGAAACTGTGCGCACCTTCGAAGCTTATAATAATATTATGCAATAAATATCATCGACATTCCGAACCATCGAAATATATACACGACTTTTCTTTCTCTTCCTTTCTTTATCGCAGGCTTTCTCTCCTGGGACAAGGACAGCTGCCACGTGGACTTGGAGAAGGAATTGCAGGCGCTGGTCGCGCAGGCCCCCGAGGGCGAGGAGGCGCGCAACGGCGAGCGCCTCATACAGTACGCCACCGAGAATCTCGTCACGGAGGTGCTCATCTTTCCCCAAAGCAATACGCTGCTGCAGTGCATGCGCAATCTCTTGGCCAGCTTCACCAAGCATCGGCACATCGTTCACGCGGGCTACACCTTCGGCGGCAACGGTTCCTGGATACTGCAGGTGTGTGGTGATACTTTGAAAAAAGAAATTGTATGTCGGAAAATGCAACGAGATCGGAAAGATAATAGTTTGAAAGTATTTTTTTTTTTGCAATAGTCGGAAAGATTTTTAGAGGTATCAGTAGCACTCTATAAGTTGCCAGCTTTTCTATAAGGGTGCAATCGGTTTTGCGAAAGCCTTATTCATTGCGTTTTTTCTCGTAGAATCCAATTATATCATTGATTTTACCTGAAAAAATCATTCTCAGTGAAGAAATAGCCTTTTTTTGAATTTACAAAATGTAATATATTAAAAAATTCGTTTTTCGATTGAAAAATCAACAAAAAATATTAGAAGCGTTTCAACTACATAATTTAATAGGATTTTTCCCATAGAACGAATACCATCATTGATTTTAGCCTAAAAAATTATCCTCATTGATCACTTTTTTAAACTATAAATATTGCAAATCGTCTTTTGGTCTTTTGGCGTCTTTTGGCCATGAAAAAAAGTTTCTACTTGCATAAAAGCGATGATTTGAAAAGTAAAGCCACTTTTAAAAGCTTTTGATTAGAGGAGTTACTTTTTACTCTGGTTGAAATGGGATAAAGTAACATACGGTCGAAATAGCAACTTTTTCAAAATACGACTGAAAAATTGACGAGAGCAAAGTGCGTCTGAAAGCTGTACTACTAAATTAAATAATCCAACGAGCATTTCAACGTGATTTTTGTTGGGATTTTTTTCGTGAAATCGAACGGTATCGTAACTTTTACTCTACGAAATCATTTTCAACGATAAAATGACGCATTTTTTTAATTAAAAAGAAAAAACATTACATTAAAATACAATTAATTTCGTCTGTGAAAAACAGGATGGAACGTTCAGCCTCGCGGACTTTCTCGACGCGTTCAGCGAGCACGAGGTGCAGCGCGTGCTGCGCGCCTACGAGAACAGCGTCACCGTGGACATACACTGCGCCGGGGTGGGCGACTGGTCGACGGCGCGCCTCGCCGAGGAGGCCTGCACCCGGGCCTGCCGCGTACGCGTCAATCCGGACGACGTGCTCACGGCCGGCTGTCCGGCCATACAGAGCTTCACCGCCTACCTGGGCCAGTATCTCGTCGCGCAGACCCTCGACCAGCTGATGGAGCCGTCGGACGTGGTGGGCAACATACGTTTCAGCCATCCGACCCTGTACGTCTTCCCGGGTGGCCAGGGCGACGCCGCCCTCTTCGGCATCAACGGCTTCAACATGCTCGTGGACGGCGGTTTCGCGCGCAAGGCCTGCTTCTGGGATTTCGCGCGACACCTCGATCGACTCGACGCCGTGCTGCTGACGCGCATCAACAACAGCAACATCGGCGGCATGGCCAGCGTGCTGCAGAAGAAGAAGGAGATGCATGTCTATCCGCAGATAGGGCACTTTTTCTGCAACATCGTGGTATACGTCTCTCTCTTTTTTTTAATTACGTCGAGCATACCCATTCATCGTTTTTTTCTCCTTCTTTTTTTTTTAGGAAAGAAAGAATTCCAACTCTCCCGACGGCGACAAGGACATCGACCCCCTGATCCTGAATCTGATCGACATCGGCCAGGAGATGGCCGTGAATCTGCGCCACATAAACCTTCGTCCGCATCTCTGTTACAGGGATCCAGAACCAATCAATTTGTATCACAAGGTCGGCCACGGCACCCTCGACATGTACGTCCTCAGTCCGAGCAAGGACAGCCGCGAGGTGCGCGACTTCATGGCCAAGTGGAACGCCTCGGACGCCAAACTGTTCGCCGGCTCGCACGGCACCCGCGGCGGCAAGTCCGGCGGCGGCGACTCCACCACGTCCAGCATGATATTTCCTGTCCAGAATCTCGTGTCGATCTGCGCCCTGCTCGTCTGGCAGCCCGCCAGTCCCGAGGAGACCATCACGCGGATCCTGTTCCCGGGCAGCACGCCCCAGCACAAAATCTTCGAGGGCTTCGGCCGCCTCAAGCATCTGGAGTTCCTGAAGCATCCGGTGTGCACGGCCAAGAGTCTGTCACCGTCCGCGTCGCTGGTGGCCCTCAAGGACAAGGCCGGCGCGGCGGCAACGTCGATCGCGATGAAGCCCAAATTCAGTCTGTACGAGCGAGAAACGAAGCGCTTGGCCGAGTCCCGAAAGAGAGAGTTGAGCTCGAAGAGGGACGCGACCATCGAGGAGACCGCGGCGAAAATTACCGCGGCCGCTGCTACCAAGCCTGTCGCAGCGCCTATCTCGGTGCTCAGAGCCGAAACCAAGACGAAAAAGATCGTCGAGAATAAGAAAATCGAGTCCGAGGCCAAGGAGGGCAAGCTCGCCGAGAAAGAGTCGAGAGAAATAATCAAGAAGGATGTTAAAAAAATTGAAAAGTCTGACAAAATTGAGGCGGAAACGAAAAAGACTGATACCGTGAAAGCGGATACAGAGAAGATCACCGTCACAAAGGAATCCAAAGTGCAAAAGATAGAGACGAAGAAGAGAGAAATCAAGGAGATCACAAAATCGACGGTCAAAACGACAAAATCCGAGAGTATCATCAAAGCCAGTTCAAAACCCATAGAAAAGAAGATCAAAGTTTCTGGGGAGAAAAAAGATGTTATGAAGCCATCTCCGACTACACCGAAAAAATCGTTAAACGTACTAGCTTCCAAAGTCGAAGTCACGAGAACGGTTATGAAAGCGAAGCCTAAAGCTGTTTCCAAAACCACATCGTCGGTACCGGCGAAAAGTGCAAAAGAGGCCAACAATCGCAAAGTCGTTGAACAAAAGAACATAGAATTATCGACTGCTGCAAGCTCAACAGCGGCGACAGCTTCAAGCGCGGCCAAATCGACAGTCAAAGCCAAAACGGTCGAACGGAAAGCCGTTGGTATCCGAGGAAGAACCATAAGTCCCAGCAAAAAGTTACCTCTCAGCCCGGCGAAGTCTACGAGAAGTACACCGTCGTCCGTTAAATCGGAAAAGGATGCGGTCATTCGTAAAATCAGAGGAGGCACGACCGATTCCTCGGCTGTTTCTACTCCTTCGGGAATTGACTCCGAATCAGCTATTAAAGTCGTCGATAAAAATCTAACTGAGAAATCAGAAGATATGTCGCTCGATTCCATTGAAAGCAAAGTTTTGGCGGATTTGAAAGAGGAACGCGAGGTCGTTGAAGAAATTGAAGCTGTTTTGCAAAAAGCCGAACGAATCGAAGTGGCTAAGAAAGAAGAGAGGTTCGGAGCCGAGGACGAAATACTGGTTGAAACTGTGGATAAGAAAGGCGAAGAAACGGAAGATGACGTTACAGCTGAAATGGATGATGCACCGAAAAAATTGACTCGAAAAGAAAGCCAAGAGCTCACCGAAGAGGAGGAATATTTGATCGTTGAAAAGGAAGAAATATACACCGAAGATTCCATGCAAAGCGGTGATACAGAACAAAAACATCATTTGGATGAAGTTGAATCCGAAAAAGCTCATATGAAAATAAGCGGTGAAAGCCACACAGCAGGAAAAGAATTGCAACAGCACGAAGAAAAAGAAGCCGCGGAAGAAAAATTGGATGAGGTGCCGGAGAAACTCCTTGCTGCAGCCGGTACTCATGAAGAGTTGCAAAAATCAGAAGACTCGCCATTACAGCATAAGGAACAGCTTGAAGAAGAAATGAAACAAATAATTGCTACAGCCACTGAAACAGTTCAACAGACTGAAGAAAAAGATGATTCTCCTAAAAAAGAAAGCGACGACGCAGCGAAAGAAGCATCTAGTAGTCCTGACAAATTAGATTCTCCGCCAAAACCAGAAGGAGATCAGAAAGACGTTCTCGTTGATAAACTGGTCGAGTCTCAAGAGAGAGTTTCAATACTCGAATCTGGAGCAACAACGACTGCGCCTAGTTTGCCCGAAGATGAACGCACTCCCTTGGATGAGATAAAAGAAGATATCGACGAGAAGCACGTTTTGGAGGACGTGAAGGAAAAAGAAAAGCCAGTTCCTGAGCCAGAAAAAATTGATCAAGATTTGCCGGTAGCCGCTCCGAAGCCCGAAGTGAAAGAATTGAATGTTAAGTCCGCTGTTGCACAAGGTGTTGCCAGAGATATTGTCAAAACGCCCGATGAAGTTGCCGATTTACCGGTGCACGAGGAAGTGGATCCAAAACTATATTCCTTGCAAAATATTGAAAAAGATAAAGAGGTCGATCAATCAGACAAACAGAAAGATGTTCCCATCAGTCCTACCGTAAAAGATCACAAAGAGAAAGGATTTTTCGGTAAGATGGCAGACAAGTTTGAGAAAGGTTTCGATAAATTAACAAAAAAACGACGGGATTCAGAAAAAGATATCGAAGAAAAGCCGAGTTCAAAAGCAAGTTCTCCAAAAGAGTCTAAGCCCGAAGTTCAACAGGACGTTGCTGACGAAATGCCAATTTTTGAAAAAATGGGGTCAGCTAGTATCAGAAAATCATCAGTACACGAAGATACTCAATTACATACTGACGAAGCTAAGACATCAGCAATCAGTGAAAGTGCCACGTTTATTGATAAAGAAATTCAAAGTGCAAATGTGATTAAACAAAGTGAAGAAAATGCTTACATTCAATCAATTATTGATGACAATAAAGCAGAAAAAGAGGACTGTAAAATTATTGAAGGTGTTACTGACGTTGAAAATATTGAAAGTGCAGTAAAAGAGACCGAATCAGAACCAGTAAAGTTTACTATTCCATCTAGCGAGGAGAACGATGATGACGAAGACATTTCTGATGGACCGGTTCGAGATTTTAAAGAAGCTGTTCGGGACGTTGCAGGAGTTCTAGTAGGCACAGCAGGAATTGAAATAGAAATGGAAAAACCAAAAGAAGTCGAAGAAATTGTTAAAACAGTGGCTGAAGTATTGAAAGATGATTTTTTGACAGAAAAAACATTGTATGCAACAGAGGAAGCGCGTAAATCTTCTGTAGATATTGATCTGATTCCTAAAAAAGTAGGCATTACCGAAGAAGTTACTTTACAAGAAGAAATCGAAGTCTCATCTGAAAAAGAATCAGAAAAGATTGTTCCAATTAGTTACGAAAAGGCTGAAATGGTACAAGAAGAAATTTGCACCAAAACAATAAAACGTGAAGATGTACATTTATCATCACCCGTTAAAGAAGAAGTTTTAGACCGCCAAGATGTCTTAAAAATCTGTGATGACTTGTTACAATATGACATAGTAGATAAACCGTGCGTTAAAAGTGAAAGTGATCATAAACTCGATGTTCTAGCTGCAGGTTTAGAAGAGGTTTGCGTGAAACAGGTTGCGAAACGTGAAGTACGCGATGAAAACGTTGGAGATCAATTGATTGTACAGTCTGAAATTAGTATACAGCAAAACCTGTCTCCAAGCGAAGCGGAATTAGTTATGGTTACTCCAGGTTCTACACCAACTTCACCTAAGTTAGCGACAGAGGAGCCCACTGACTTTCCTACTCACAAAGATGATAAAATACCGAAAGAACTAACGATGGATGAAATTACAAGTGCGATTGATAGTCAAATTGTGGAAGGTACAAGTACTATCATTGATAAAATTTCTTTAGAGGGAGATGAAAAAGTCGTCGAGTCAAAAGTTGAATTACAATCTGTCTCTCTAAAATCCGAGGTTCAATCAGAACTGTTTGAAAGTGTTGATGTACCTACAACGGAAAAATATTTGGACGAAGCTAAAGAAAAAGTAATTAGTGAAACAACCAAAGAACGAGATGAAAAGATATCAGAAACTGTTCAAGAATCTCAAGATAAAACTGTTACACGCATGGTAGTTACAGCTAGTAGCGAAGATGGTGGGCACGAAATAGAAATTTGTGAAAGCGGTACAATTAGTTTCACAAAATCTCCAAGTCCAGAAGATTCACTAAAAGAATCACGTGATAGGTCACCGCCAGAAAAAGATTCATTGCGATCGGTATCTAGTACGCCTGAAAGAGACAGTATAGCATCAGAAAAACTCGATACAGAAGATCAAAAAGTTACATTTGATGATAGTTTGGAAAAATTATCTAAATTGGAAACAGATACTACAGAAAGTGCGGTTTCTGTTGATCAAAAAGTTTTGGTTGAAACATTTTCCGTTTCAACTATTGAAAGCGGTGAGGCAGCTAAAACGCCTGAATCATTGCGCTCTGAAGATGCTTCACCAGCTGAGAGTATGTTTGCAAAATCACCAACTGATAAAATTTCTCACGCGTATGAGTTTGAAGCTACTACTGATCAGTTACATCAAGAATCGATTAAATCCAAATCACCAAGTGAAGAGAGAGATCTCGATCAAAAAAATACAGCATCTGTGGTTCCTGAAACAACGGAAATATCATCAGATAGAAAATCACCTAGCGTAGAAAAAGATTCGAGTCGAAAAGAATCACTCTCCCAAAAAGTTGATATTTCCATTCAAGAATCATCTCAATTTATGTCAAATTTGGAAAAAGAATCTACAATGGAAGAAAATTTAACAGGACAAGAAATCCAAAGTCAAGATAAAAAGTCCGATACAAGGTCTAAATCTTCAAGTGCTGAAAGAGAACTAAGCCATAAAGACGAATCAAAATCTCCAAGTGCAGAGAAAGATGATTTAGACAGGTCCAAGTCACCAAGTGTAGAAAAAGACAAATCAGATCGATCGAAATCTCCAAGCGCAGAGAAAGATGATTTAGACAGGTCTAAGTCACCAAGTGTAGAAAAAGACAAATCAGATCGATCGAAATCTTCAAGCGCAGAGAAAGATGTTGCAGACGGGACTAAATCTCCAAGTGCAGACAAAGATCACTTGCACAGGTCTAAATCTCCAAGCGTAGAAAAGGACCAATTAGATCGATCAAAATCACCGAGTGCTGAGAAAGATAATTTAGATGGGTCTAAATCACCCAACGTAGAAAAAGACAAATTAGATCGATCGAAATCGCCAAGTGTAGAGAAAGACAAATTGGATCGATCTAAATCTCCAAGTGCAGAAAAAGATGATGTAGACAGGTCTAAATCACCCAGTGTAGATAAAGACAAAATAGATCGATCTAAATCTCCAAGTGCAGAGAAAGATGATATAGACAGGTCTAAATCGCCCAGTGTAGATAAAGACAAATCAGATCGATCTAAATCTCCAAGTGCTGAAAAAGATCTTAGTTCAAAGGAAACTTCTCCGCAGAAATTGATTACTGCAGATGATATTAATATTTCATCTGTGACAGAATCGAAAGATAAGAAAGTTGATCGATCAAAATCGCCTAGCATTGAAAAAGAATCTGCTTCAAGAACATCAATTTCTTCAGTTCTTGCAGAATCATCTAATATTTTGGTCGGCGAACATTCTCAATTTCCTCAAACTTCGGATCTTGAAAAGCAATTGGCACATGAATCATTTGCGGAACAATTCAGTTCTTCTATTAATGAAAAAGGCACAAGTTTGGATAAATCTCGCTCTCCGAGTGCTGAAAAAGAGTCAACACAAAAAGAAACGACACCTGAACCACTTCAGTCAAAATCGCCAAGTGCAGAAAAAGAAATAAGTCGGAAAGAGTCTGCGTCAGGTAAATCACAGTTGCCGAGCGTAGAAATAGAAGTTGATCAGAAAGAACCTTCACCAGAAAAAACGATTTCTATGCACACTGAAAAAGAATCAGTAAAAGAAAAATTAGCTCAAGACGCAATATCGACAGAAGTAAGTTCATTTGATACTTTCACATCGGTTAGTCATGAATCGAGTACTTTAGTAAAAGATACTGGGGCTGCAGAAATAGCACCGACAGAATCTTCACAAGAATCAAATGTTCTGGAAGAGTCTTTGTCTTCTGTAAAAGCAATCAGCTCCGATATTTTTGCACAATCATTTGGTGATAATAGTCAATTAAATGTAGATGACCAAGTCAGTTTAGTCAAAGAGTCCAAAGTTTTAAGGGATGAATTTACTGCTCTAGGGAGTTCACTACTCGGAAAGATCGAGACCGTAATAAAAAAAGAGGAAGTATTAGTTGATAAGGTTGCTACTGATATTATTTCAGGAGGTGAATCATTGATTGACTCATTCTCTTCGAGTTTCAAAGAAGTTATGGACCCAATTACCTCTCATATTTCAACGTCCGAGCAAACTATTGCAAAAATAGATGGTAAATCAGAACTACCAGATAGTTCAAAAGGTATATCTGACATAGATTCGTTGATAAAAGGTATTGAATCACATGTAACAAGTACAATCAAAAGTGAAGTGGAATCAGTATCGAATTTTATGAGTGCTAAGTTAGAAGACAGCTCAAACAAACTTTTAGCGACTGCATCGGGTATTTTAGCCGATACCGAATCACAATTATTAGAAACAATCAAAGCTGTGGAAAAAGAGGAGTCCGAAATCATTAAGTTGGAAGAACAATTAATTTCGGAAAAACCCTCATCTAAACAAGAATCAAAGTCACCAAGTATAGAAAAAGAAATCAAAGCCCATGAAGCGGTGACTGAGATATTACAAGTTGCAATAGCAGATGACGTAAAGTCACCAAGTACCGAGAAAGAATCGATTTCGAAAGAAACTTCTCCTGAAAAATCGATTGAAAAGGAGTCATCTCCAATAAAATCGGTTTCAAAAGAGGCTACTCCAGAAAAGTCGATCGAAAAAGAAGCATCTCCTGCAAAATTAATTTCAAAAGAGGCTTCACCGGAAAAATCGATAGAAAAAGAGGCATCTCCCTCAAAATCGGTTTCAAAAGAGGCTTCACCAGCAAAATCGATTTCAAAAGAGGCTACTCCAGAAAAATCGATTGAAAAGGAGGCATCTCCCACAAAATCAATTTCAAAAGAGGCTTCACCGGAAAAATCGATTGGGAAAGAAGCTTCCCCTGAAAAAACTATTTCAAAAGAGCCTTCGCCCGAAAAATCGATTGAACGAGAAGCTTCTCCAGCGAAAACGATTTCAAAAGAGACTTCTCCAGAAAAATTGATTGAAAAGGAAGCATCTCCGGAAAAATCGATTTCAAAGGAGGCTACTCCAGAAAAATCGATTGAAAAAGAGGCATCTCCCTCAAAATCGGTTTCAAAAGAGGCGTCACCAGAAAAATCGATAGAGAAGGAAGCTTCACCCGAAAAATCGATTTCAAAAGAGGCTACTCCAGAAAAATCGATTGAGAGAGAAGCTTCTCCAGCGAAAACGATTTCAAAAGAGGCTTCACCGGAAAAATCGATTGGCAAAGAGGCTTCCCCTGAAAAAACTATTTCAAAAGAGCCTTCGCCCGACAAATCGATTGAAAGAGAAGCTTCTCCAGCGATAACGATTTCAAAAGATGCTTCTCCAGAAAAATTAATTGAAAAGGAAGCATCTCCTGCAAAATCGATTTCAAAAGAGCCTACACCGGAAAAATCGATTGAAAAAGAAGCATCTCCCACAAGATCAGTTTCAAAAGAGGCTTCACCAGAAAAATCGATTTCAAAAGAAGGTTCTCCAGACAAATTGATTGGCAAAGAAGCGTCATCTGCAAAATCGATCGAAAAAGAGTCCTCTCCCGCTAAATCGATTTCTTCAATCGATGAAAATCTTTTGGTTTCGCTAGCACAGAGTGAAGATAAATCGGATCGATCGAAGTCCCCTAGTGTGGAAAAAGAATCGGGTCAACAAGAAGGTACATCATCGAAATCTAAATCACCAAGTATAGAACGTGAAGTTTCACTCGATAAAAGAACATCTTCCATTAGTATGGAGTCTCAGGTAACAGAAATTGCGAATTTCCAAACGCAAGAGAAATCAAAATCACCTAGTGTCGAAAAAGAAATAACGAAAACTGAGTCATCTTTGCTGACTAGCATCCAACACGAACACGACGATGCATCAAAATCGAAATCTCCGAGTCCACAAAAAGAATTAAGTACCAAAGAATCATCTCCTGCTAAATCAGATACATCTGATGTTCACCGATCGAAATCTCCTAGCGTCGAAAAAGATTCCACGAAACATTCCGAAAAAGAGCCATCACCAGCCAAGTCCACTTCGACCGTCATGGATCAAGAACAATCGGTACTAAGTCAACATGAATCGTCACCCGCCAAATCTCTCGATGATAGACAAGCTCACGAACGCAAACAATCCATATCTGAGGCAGAAAGAGTCAGAAGGGAAAGTCACAGTGAAGATGCACCGGCAAAATCTCTAGATGATAGACAGGCCCACGAACGTAAACAATCCATTTCTGAAGCAGAAAGAGTCAGAAGGGAAAGTCACAGTGAAGATGCATCGGCAAAATCTCTGGATGATAGGCAGGCCCACGAACGTAAACAATCCATTTCTGAAGCAGAAAGAGTCAGAAGGGAAAGTCACAGTGAAGATGCACCTGCGAAATCTCTGGATGATAGGCAGGCCCACGAACGTAAACAATCCATATCCGAAGCAGAAAGAGTCAGAAGGGAAAGTCACGATGATTCGTCTGCAGCAAAATCTATTGACGATCGTCAGGCTTATGAACGCAAAGTGTCCATATCTGAAGCCGAAAGAGTCAGAAGGGAAAGTCACAGTGAAGATGCGCCTGCAAAATCTCTGGATGATAGACAAGCTCACGAACGTAAACAGTCCATTTCTGAAGCAGAAAGAGTCAGAAGGGAAAGTCACAGTGAAGATGCACCTGCAAAATCTCTGGATGATAGGCAGGCCCACGAACGTAAACAATCTATATCTGAGGCAGAAAGAATGAGAAGAGAGAGTCACAGTGAAGATGCTTCAGCCAAAAATATTGACGATCAGCAAGCCTACGAGCGTAAATTCTCTATTTCTGAAGCCGAAAGAATCAGAAGGGAAAGTCACAGTGAAGATGCTCCAGCCAAAAATATTGAAGATCAGCAGGCCTACGAGCGTAAATTCTCCATTTCTGAAGCCGAAAGAGTCAGAAGGGAAAGTCACAGTGAGGATGCACCTGCAAAAAATGTCGATGATAGACAAGCCTACGAACGCAAAGTATCCATTTCTGAAGCGGAAAGAGTGAGACGAGAGAGTCACAGCGAGGACGCGCCGGCAAAAAATCTCGACGACAGACAAGCCTACGAACGCAAAGTATCGATTTCCAGCAGCGTAGAGAGTCAATACGGCGACAGACAAACCGACCGCTCGAGATCTCAGAGTTTATACGAAACCGGCGAGAAATCGCCCTTCGTCCTGTCTCGAACGGCCAGCTCGATCGAGGAGAGACACGCCGATGAGTTCGGCGCCGTGGGTTACTCCTTCGACGAGAGCCAGAAAGAAAGCGACGAGAACGAGGAGATCATAGCCAGTTACATCTTCGACGAGTATATATCGAAAAACAAGAAGATCAGTCTGAAGGAGCTGGAGGAGCTCGCCCGAGCTCAGTCGATTCCGCGCCAGTACATCATACTGATCATCGAGAACGTGATAACGCGCCGTAAACTGTCGCGTCAGTCGATCCTGGCCGACGACTTTCCGTCGAGTCAGGGAGCTCAGCTACCTCCCCTGATGGCCGACATCTGGTTCGACTCGAGCGATGATAATCATCATCAGCAGCAGCAGCAACATCAAGAGTCGAGTCGAAAAGCGTCCTCGTCGGCCACCGACAAGGAGCTCAAGGCCTTCATCGAGTCCGAGACGATGGGCTCGAGTCCCGAGCCGGATCAGTACAAATTCTCGAGCGCCGATCGTCCGGAGCCGCACATCGACGAGGAGATCGTCATATCCGAGGAGAAGCGCACGGACGTGGAGTCACTCATCTTCGAGGAGTACATCAGACACAGCCGGAAATTGACTGATCTGATCTTGGAGGAGATCGTCCGTAGGACCTCGGTACCCAGATACATCATTCTCGAGATAATCGAGGAGATCGTCGTCAAGAAGAGCCTCAACAGAGAGGCGATAGCCGACAGTGGCATCTTCCAGGACGTCGACGACGACGACAACTCGCAACAGCAGCAACAAACCAAACAGCAGAAATCGGGCCAATCGTCGCCGGACTTGCTCGAAGAGCAATACGAGGACAGCGTAGACAAGAGCATCCCCTACACGGATTACGAGAGTCCCTTCCACAAGGCCTTCGTCGGCGGCATGACGGAGATACGCACGACGCACATAACCACGACCCTGTCGGGTGGAAAGTCGACGACGCCACCGGATTCGGACGAAAAGAGCAGCAGCGCCACGGGGACGAGAAGAAAATCCTCCGCAATTTCGGAAAAATTACTGGCTGATGTTAGCGAAGAAGCGACCTCTCAACAACAACAGCAACAACAAATTGGCTCGACCTTCGGCGCGACCAGTCTCGAGGACATCACGATCGTGACCACGACCACCGTGAAGACCATCATCAGCGAGAGCACGGCTCAACCGATAACAGCCCCGTCGTCGGGTGGTGCTGGCGCCGATCAGCAGCTGATCTCTCTGGAGAGTCATTCGACCGCGGCTGGTCTACCTAGCTCCTCGTTCACCAGCAGCAGCAGTACCTTCTGCCAGGAGACTCGAACCATCCTGGAATCGGTGATGGATCACGGCCTCGCGGAGCAGCCGCTGATACGCGACCTGATCAACGACGACAAGAGCACCTACTCGGGCAAGTCGTCGCCCGACGTCTCCCTGCCCAAGGACATAGTCTACGGCAGCGGCGGTGGCTCGACCGGCAAGTCCACCCCCGACATCACCATGTCGCCCCTGATTCAGGCGCACTTCTCGGGCCGATCGACGCCCGCCTCAGCGGCCAGCACCACCGGCGGCGGCGGCGACAAACAACACCCCCTGTCGAGAACGGCCACCCCCGAGGGTTTCCGCAGCGGCGAGGTGATCAGGACCATCGTGACGACGACGCGCACCATGAGCGACGACGGCGACATCATCACCACGACGCAGGAGGTCACGGAGGCCACCAACGAGCGCGGCGAGACCGTCGTGCTGGCCCAGAAGACCGACGTCAAGGTCGACGAGAGAGCTGGATCGGCTGCAGGTGCTGGACCCGTGGCCGAGATCAAATCCCTCGAGTCGTCTCATCACGCCAGGACGCCGAGCGAGGGCTCGGATCTGTTCGACAGAGAGGTGGCTGGTGGTGGTGCACTGCCACCGGTGAGCCCGAGAAGCGACCTGAGCACGGCTGGCAATAGCCGAGCCGTGACCCACGTCTGGGGCAGCAGCGAGGAGAGACACACCTTCTCCGACGACGATCCAACGGGCAGTCCGATGTTCTCGTCGTCGCCTCTTCGCACCGCCACTACCGTCACCGCTGACTCGGGACTCAAGAAGCAGCTGGACGATTTCACGACTTCCGGCCTGATGAGCAGCAGCTTCTACGGCGAGCTGCCCGACGAGACCACCACCACTACTGTTTCCACGGAATTCATGGTGGAAAAGGAGCCCATGATAAGCGGCGGCAGCTCCAGCTTCAAGAGATACATCGACGAGGCGGATCTCGACTTCGAGAAGGCCTTGAGCGACGTCTCGACGAAGGACGAAGCTCCAGCAGCTCAGAGCAGCAGCAAGGACGACGAGAGCAAGGACAAGAAGCGAGATCCGCTGGCCGACTGGGGCAGTCCGCTGGGTCTGCCGTCGCCTCGGCCGCCGCGCAAATTCAATCTCAAGTCGAGCCCGGTGCAGCCGTGCAGCTCGGCCGATCTCAGCCCGGACAGTCTGAATTTCGACGTGATCAACGACTGGGGCGAGCCGATGCGACTGCCACCGACCCCGGCGCCGGCTCAGGCCACGGCCGGTGCAGGTAGCGAGGCATCGTCCAACAAACCGTCGCCCGCCACCCCGAAAAAGGAGCCGCCCCGACAGCCCAAACGAGTGCTGGCCGAGAATATAAAGAACAAGAGGTCCGAGAGCCCGGGCAAGTACGACAAGCGCAGCAAGGACTCGCGCAACAAGATACAGCCGGTCTACGTGGATCTGACCTACGTGTCGCATCACGGCAACTCGTTCTACACGGCGCTGGACTTTTTCAAGAAGGTGCGCGCCAGGTATTACGTGTTCAGCGGCACCGAGCCGAGTCGCGAGGTCTACGACGCCCTGCTCGAGGCCAAGAAGACCTGGGAGGACAAGGATTTGGGTAAGATTTTCAGATTTTAACTTTGACCGAAGGTGATGCATCTGTTGGTTTTCTTTTGTTCGAGTTAAAAACAATGCAAAGTATATTAATAATTTTAACCTTAATATAAATTCTCATTATTAATTGGTTTCATAACAATTTTTTGTTTTCTGGTTATTTAAAAAAATTTAAATCAGTTTTTAATCACTTGTGATACAATAATAATACTTTAAGCTGCCACCGCTAGATGGCGAGTACCTTTATAACCGTAAACCTGCAAGTGTCAAAGTCGGAATAATTGTATAAGTAAAGAGCGATTTCAATACAATCAGTGTCGCCTGATCTTCCATATTTATAACGGTACGGGCGGCAGAAACGATAGAAAAAATGTTTACACGTTAAAGTATAAAAGCATATTTGGAAACTCACAGCGTATAAAAATAATTTGAACAAAAATACGCTCTCCTCGCGTGGCGAAGCATACGATATTCACACTTATCGTACGCAAACGAAACTCAATTTTTTATTTCTTCTTCTCTTTCCCGCAACGCAGAGGTGACGATGATCCCGACCTACGACACGGACACGCTCGGCTACTGGGTGGCCGACAACGAGGAGGCCCTCGCGGCCCACCACATCGACCTGTCGCCCTCCGCCTCCAGATGCACCATCAATCTGCAGGATCACGAGACGAGCTGCAGCGCCTACCGTCTGGAGTTCTAGGCGGCACAGCAGTGCGGCGGCGGTGGCTGCGGCGGCGGTGGCGGCGGCGCCGGCGGCTACTCGGCTACCATGATACAGTTCCGAAGTTAGAAAATCGAGAGGCAGCTGCAGCAGCAACAATGAGAGAGAGAGAGAGAAAAAAACCCGCGGCGCTAACACGTATACATAATTATCATTACGATTATATTACATTATATGACTCCATGTACCAAGGCCTAAAGCTGTACACGATGCGTATGCGAGCGTGAAAAATTTTTTCAAATTAAATACACGGGCTTTCGAAAATTAATCGTCACACACGATCCACGCGCGAACAGGAAATATCGCATAATTATATTTATAACGAAGCTCTCAAGCACTTTCCAAAATTCCCGTCCTTGATAAGAGAACAAACAAACAAAAAAAAACAAGAATTTTTTGCTCAAAGTGTTACGCACTTCGCGGTGCACGTATTTATAATACACAAGCATTACACACATACTCTCTTAAATGAACCACTGACGAACTGATTTAGAGAACCGTCTGCGTGCGCGATATATACATATACGCGCACGTTTAAATTCACGATGAGTCGATAATCAAGCCGCCCTTGAACTTTTTATTTGCGTCTATTTGTAGCACTCGGAATGGCGAACGTTTGAGTCCTCTTTTTTGGAGCTTTTATATATATACACAGACATTAAGTAAACGTATATTCCGTAAGCGACTGAAAAATTAATCCAAAGCGTGGAGAGCGAGAGGAAGAATGGGGGAGGATGAATCCAAGATTATACATTCACAAACACGATTATAGCCGAGAGACAATGATTATAGTTAATATAGGACAACGAGTCGATTTGAGTTCGCGGATACCTGTCGCGATATGTAATAACATCGATCCGCGCGACTAATTAGCACAAAGTATATTAGAGGCAGAAAATAAAAAAAAAACAATTTAAATAATTAAAAATGCGTCTTCCTTCGAGACGACGAGACGGGGGAGTAATATCATCTTGTCAGTAACTTATACATTAATAATAATGATACGCAATAACGTGTGTACGAATCTTCGAAACGAGTCCTCGATATATCCCTCGGGGATCATACATGCCACGAAAGAGCGAGCCGAAGCATGCTTCGACTCGAACTGTAACTGAACTTAAATAATATAAAATATCGTCCGAAATTCGATTATAGATTTTTGCCGCTTTCGAGTTGTATCGATTCAATAATTTTCAAACGACAAGTCATCTCAATAGCAATTTCGACGTTTGTAAAAAAAAAACGAGAAAACTCACAATTGTTGATATAAAAAGTAAGCTTTACAAATATATGTGTAATTTTTAAGTCTAAGAAAAGGGACGATTTACCGGGGAGCGAATAAATTATGCATGAATTCGCCAGTGTTACTTTGAGAGCGAGAAAAAAAATTTTTCAATAAAGTATTTACAGCATTATTATTATATTCCACTTCACGATTAACGAGCATTTGCAAAAGTCCTTTAAACTGAAACGAAAAATGAAAATATTATATATAATAATATAGCTTTTTGAACAACCTTTTTAAATTGCTTCGATACTGTAGCCGAGTATGTAAAGAGACTTTAAACATCTCCAAATAATAAAAAAAAATAAACCAAACACACGTACGTAAGGATAAAAAAAATTACGATTCTAATAATTGTACTCAAGAGTTTTGCGAGTCTCTTTAAAATGACAAAAAAAAATGATAAAAAAATATACGTAGATGGCAGTGCGTTTCAAAGTATAAACATTATTTATAACGTGTAATATCCATCCAAAAGATCCGTTTGAACAAGCAATTACTTTTGTACTGCAAAACGAAAAATCCGTAAAAAAAGTCGTTGTTCATTGTAGCCAGGAATGCGCGGCGCTGACGCGACAGAAGAAGGGCGATATAAATATCGATGAATAATAATGATGATAGTATGCGAGTGCCCTATGATATCCAAAAGAAAAACAAAACGATCATCTAAGTTTTGGTCGAAAGAAGAAAGAGTTAAAAAAAAAAAATCTACAAGATCATTTTCATTATTGTAAAACAAAGTTTTTACCTCGTTGAATCGTAGATACTTATTCACGTATTAATCCTCTGATTGTATTTGGGAAAAAAATTAATCGATGAGTCTCGAAAAAAATAATGAGCTGATTATCGTTGAACGACTTGTTTTGAAATGGACAGAAATTTAAAATTTAGTGCCTCGCCGTAGAACGCGACGCGCGAGAAGGAGAGAGTGATTAATAAAAATTTAATCGAAAATGAAAAAAAAAAAACTTTAAAAATTGTGCGGCAAGGAGAAGGAGAATAAAGCCTGATCGACGAAGATTAACGAAGCAGTGGAGTGATGATGACGGATTGTGACGACTATGTGCGCTGGACGCGCGCCTCCTTAAATAGTCTAACGTAAATAAAATAAAAAAAGTGCGATTTTTACAAGTAGAACCGAGGTAAAGTGACAGACGAGCGAAAAAAAAGTAGCAGAAACAAAAAGTGAAGGAAATTGAACGAACGAGGATGAAAGAGAGAGAGAAAGACAAAGAGAGAAATAAAAGTGACAAAAATAAAAGGCGAAGTATTGTGATCAAACGATGTCAGGCTCAAGTGGAGTTTGATCTCGTTCAAGTTATTGTAATAGGATTATATAATCAAAGCCTGACAGTTATTGCCTGCCTCGAAAATTAATAATCGCAGCGTAGCTATATACATAAAAAAAAGGGTGTCACGTCGAGAGTGTATTCGTTTTCTTTTCTTTTTTTTTACATACAGTAGTACTTAATAATAACAATAATTAATAAATATACACCATACGATTAACGATAACGAGAAAATTTTTACTAGAATATCGCGCATGATTTTTTTATACTAAAAAAAACCAATCACCACCCAAAAGAAAAGTACTACCCCTTGTCTTCGGTCGTGTTTATCGTAACATTTAGAAGTACTAAGTAAATAAGTGTGTTACCTTTGATTTTTGGTGTCAGTCGTACGTGGAGATGGGGAAGGGGGTTGATCAATAACTGCCAGGCTTGACTTTAAAAAATGAAAACTTTAGCTATTAGGTAAGTTTTTTACCGCCTATTTTTCAGCTGGCCTTAGAAAAAAATACCTTTACATAAGTATAATATATTGTAAACGCTGTACCACAATTGATTTCGTCGGTGGAACTCATAATACCATATGTATTTATAATTTTTCATAATAATAATAATAACGACACGACGAAATAATTATATTTATATCATTGATTGAGTATTAACACAGGGATATAATATTTATAAATATACGCGTAGTTAGCTTTGATGCGAGGTAACGAAGGAAAAGAAAAAAAAAATATTATTGATTGTATTGTTTGTTGAGCAAGCTTCTTTGAGTAAATGTGCTGTTGCATATGTTAAGATTACATAATTTATTGATTTTTAATGATTGACGAAAAATAAAAAACATTCAGTAGGCGAATAAAACTCATATTAAAACGCATTTAGTGGATAAATCTCTAACGAATATATATTCATGTTGCATTGGTGATTGTCATCGTCGTTGTTTTCCTTTTTGTAGCATTTCGCGTGAAAAAAAATCATGAGCTTTTTATATGAATAATAATAAAAAAAAAATGATGAAGCGAAAGCGAGGAGAAGAATATAGGGAGCGTAAAATAATGAAAATGGGTAATAAGGATGAGAGAGTGACGACGAGTCATTGATGTCCTTGTACACTTATGTCTTTCTTTGATTGAATATTGTTGATTTGTTTTTTTATGTTCATTTTATTGTAATCGACCAGCTATTTAGGTAGGAATTATCAATATAAATGAAGTATAAATAAAAATATATTATATATATTATACGAAGTAAAAGTTGCGAATTGTCTCACAACCAAAACACACTCACACATTAAAAACGAAATAAAATATTTAAAAATAGATAAAACTTACAATTATTGCGAGAAAGAAAAAGTAACAAACGTGTGCTCATTCAAATTTTTTTTGTTCGCTTCTTCATAAAACGACTAACAAAAAAAAAACAATTGACCTCAACAATTGCATTGTTGACGTGTACCATAATGATATTATTAATATTATACAATTAACTAATTATACTCAGGACATCACAAAAAAACGACGACAAATGCGTACCTACGAATTACAATTAATTATATATTATTATTATTATTATAACAATTAATTGCCATTGGTGTGGAGATTAAAATAAAAACGAGCTTGAAATCATTGAAGATTTGTATAAGTAATTGTCAAAAAAAAACTACAGGAGCGTTGTGATAATAATAGAGGAAAGGTAAATATGAACACCCCAAAATTGAGAAATAAAATTAAATATTATGCGCGCGATGCACAACCAACACACACATCTCCATCACATATACGCGATCGATACTAGCTCTTCATTGGATAAAATATAGCAGAGATTAAAACTTACAACTATAACAAAAAAAAACACATTATTGTAAATGCGAATGATAATATTTTCGTAATTATAAACGTAAAATCGTTGCATCCAAATTCTCGTCGCACATTCGCATTCGCACGCATCCCCCACGACGCCGCAATATATAATGCAATAGTTTTTTTTTCTCCAAAAAATACTCTCGTATTTACAAGTTAAATAGCTAAAATCGGGGATCGGATCGAGACGAGAATCGGAAGAGAGAAAATAAAAATTGTTGCGCGAGCGCATCGCGTTCTCGTTCCAACACACACACATACGAACTTACCAGGCACACAGGCAAAAAATGGGCTAAATTTCACGGATGGAGTGTTCATGGTGCTAACGACGATTAATTATTATTATTATCGATTATAATCCATTATTAAAAATTATGATTAATTATTAAAATTATTCTATAGACGAACAAGAAAAAAAAACAAATACTGATGTTATAATATACAATTAAAAGGATGAAAAATAAAAGTAAAAAGTAATAAAAAAAAAAACTATCATGAAGCCTCGTGATTATCCTTATTATATCCTAAAAGCCCCTCTAGAAGCGCATGTCGTCGGGCATCTTGACGAAGTAGGCGACCTTGTCCTCGGCCACGCGATAATTGTGTATCCAGCGTGATCCCTTGCGCAAGCTCTTGTCGATGCCGTCCTTCCAGACGCCGGCGGGCAGATAGACCTCTCGCTGTCTGCTGCCCGAGTGCAAGATCGGCGCCACTATGAGCTCCTCGCCGACCGAGAACTCGTCGAGCACCAGGTGACAGGCCGGATCGGCCGGGTCGAGCATCCACAGGGGTCGAATTATGGGCAGACCCGTGTCCAGGGTGACGTTGGCGTACTTCTTGAGCAGCGGCGTCACGGTCTTCTGTCGTAGACTCGTGAGATTCTTGGCGATCTCGAGGACGCTCTCGTCGGCGTACTTGCTCGGCAGATGGCTGAATCTGATCACCGGCAGGAAAGTGGCGAGCTGAAGCCATCTCACATATAGCTCCTTGTCGGGCAGCTGCAGCTCCAGCTCGTCGTCGTCGTCGTCGTCGTCGTCGCCACCACCGACCGAATTATTGTTATTGTTGTCCGACGAGGTGGGCAGAGCCACGTCACCACCCACGGCTCCGGGCATCACGAACGGAAAGCCGATTATGCCGTAGCTCAGCACGGTGGGTATGACCGTCTTGATGGCCTTCCAGCTGGAGGCGAAGGGCGGCAGCGAGACGAAGACGGGACCGCGCGGTCGTTGGACGGCACTTGAGACGCCGATCACGGGCAGGGGCGAGCCCAGCAACGCGTCGACGAAGAGACTCTTGTAGTGATCCGGGCTGGCTAGGGGCCGCGAGCACTGGAAGTAGTGCGGCATGTCGTGGGCCGTGCCGAGGTCCAGATAGAACGCGTCGACCTCGTATTTCTTGACGAGGGCCTCGAGCTTGGCCTGGAGCCAGGGCAGCGTGCGATTGTTGGTGATGTCGAGGACGCCGGCGCTGGACACGTCGCGGTAGCGAGTCAGGGCGGGTATGCGCGGATCGCTGCCGCGCTCGCCGACCAGCAGACCCTCGGCGACGGCCTGGCGAAACGAGCTCGACTCCGTGCTGACGAACGGCTGCAGGGTGAAGACGATGCGGAAGCCACGGCGGTGCATCACGTCGATGGTGTGGCGCATCGAGTGGAAGCGCGCCTCGTCGAGGGCCAGGTCGCCGCTGCTCGGCTGCCACTGCTCCGACAGCAGCACGTGACCCTGGCGCAGAAAGCCCAGCGCTATGACGTCCTCGGTGTAGTTGGCCACGTCGGCCTCGCCGGCGCCCGGTGCTATCTGCCAGACGGGCTCGCTCAGCAGAGCTTGCACGGCTTGCAGCTCCTCGGGCCTGAGTCCGTCCCACAGGTATTTCTCGGCCAGGGTGGCGTGAAGCTTCTTGGCGCTGTCGTTGCTCGCGCACACGCTGTAATTCAGTCGAGCGAGCTCGCCCGGCTGCGCGACGAAGGCGAAGCCGTCGTGTCTGGCCTCGAGGCAGAGCTCCTTGTTGCTGTTGCTGCTGCTGCTGCTGCTGCCGATGCCACCGCTGCTACCCGGGACGATCTGAGGCTCGACCGCCGGCAGTATCGACACGTAGAGCGGCGTGTCCGGGTCGACGGTGATGGTGGCGCCGCGCGAGCTCAGAAAGTATCGACGCAGCACGTTGCCGAACGGCTGGCCCTTGCGCACGTCGCCCGTGATGAAGGCCGCCGACTCGAGGCGCGACTGCTGCTCCAGCGGATAGGCCATGTCTCTCAACTGGCCCGCGCCGTACCAGTGGCCGCCCCGCTTGGCCGACCAGTCGAAGCAGTCCCGCGGCCAGACGCCCGGCTGCAGCGCCTGCCAGGTGACCTCGTAGCAGTCCGTCGCGGGATCGCGACGACGATGGCTCAGATAGAGGCGCGAGTGACCGCGCCACTCGAGGCAGACCTTGTCGGCGAGCTCGTGCTCGGGCAGACACGGAAAGACACCGACGTCGCCGGGTATGCCGACGCCCAGGCGCGCCGACACGATCTCGCCCCCGGCCGAGTTGTACACGTGCATCTGGCGCTCGTTCTTGTTGAACCTGTGGACATGAGGAGGGCGCGAGGTGGCGATTAATCTTCTTTTGTTTTTGGGGGAGTTTCGAAGGGTTGAGAAGGTAGAAATCGTGAAAGAAGGACTTTCTCCGACTTATATACGTTTATTTTTACGCTGACACTTGCAGATTTGCTGGTATAAAGGTACTCGCCATCTAGCGGGGGAGGCTTGAAGTAGTATTATTTTCAACAGAGTATACTGAAAGGAATTTTAGAGGCAAGTCCAACAGAAGTGGACAGCTGTATCAGAAAAAGATATTTTGCTGCCACAGCAAATAATTTAGAGAAATTTAGCATTGAAATATAGCCCAATAATTTTGCTGTGGCAGCAAAATATCTTTTTCTGATCCAGCTGTCCACTTTTGTTGGACTTGTCTCTACGATTTTTTTCAGTGTAGTTTTCGAACAATTGAGTTGTCTTTTTCAGGGCATTCAAAATGTACTCAATGGTTATGATATAATTGTCTAATAATAATCGCCAAAAAAAATCAATTAGTAATAATGTTAGTATATTTTGAAATATCTAAAAATTTATCAAATGGCCATTTTGTGATAATTTTTTGAACTTATAGTCACGATGGTTTATTTTATTTTTTTTTGAATTATAAATAAAATGATACTAGTATCCAACCGTTAACTTATAAAAATCAATAAAATAATTATTATGTTCTAAATTCAATGAAAAAGAGTTAATGGATAAAATTTTAATCGCCGAAAAATCTAATTGAAAGTGAAGTTCGAGTTCCAGCGTGAGGGGCCCGATTTTATTCAAACGAGATTTATTTCAATAATATTTATCACATTAACGTTTTTGACACAAAAATCTAATGATTCGATGGCGAATGACTCGAATTCGATGTTTCAATATAATTTAATGGTAAATCTTGCATTCCCATACTAGTCAAAAAACTCAACATTTCATGGCCAGTCTTCGGCCAACGAAAAAGTTTCTTGACCATACAAGGCCATTAAAACTGGATGTATACTAATCAAATACAAAACGTTTTTTTTTTACTTTATGATCATTTTTCGACTGTGTAAAATTAGAGAAAATTACCATTGAAACACTTCTTCAACAGTTTGTTCTTAATTTTATTCTTTGGCAATTAACATCAGGAAAATACTATAAATGAAAGGAGCCTCTACTTCGACTTATACAATTATTTTGACTTTTCTACTTTCGGATTTACTGATTTAAAGTTACTCGCCATCTAGCGGTGGAAGTTTGAAGTAGTATTATAGTATTTAAAGTGGTTGAAAATTGACCAAAAATGTTTGAACCAATTAAATCTTAATTTTCAGGTCATTCAAAATGTCCTCGATAATTGTAACATAATAATTGTCTAAGAACAATCACCGAAAACAAATCAATCAGTAGTTATTTACCAAAATAGTCATTTTTTTTACCAATGCCTGACTCGAATAAAAGTAAAATCAGATTACGTATATAGCGTATTCATCTTTACACTGCCCTCACCTGAATTTATCGAAGTAGGCCCGCTGCAGCACATGCTGGGTATAGTAGATGTGCGCGAAACCCACGAGAAACACGATGCAGAGAAATAGAAAGCCGACGAAGGTCTTGAGCCGATAGTCGGCGTTCTGACGCTTGGCGCTGTTCCTCAACGCCTGGGGTATCGTCCACTGGAGCTTCTCTTTCAGTAGACTGCTGATGCTGTTCACGCTGGTGATGGTCGAGTTGGCGCTCGGATGAGTCTGCGAGTAGTCGCCGCTGCCACCCAGCTGATCACCATTGCTGCCGTTGTTATTGTTGTTGCCGTTAGTGTGACTATTGTTGTTGTTGTTATTGTTGTTATTGTTGGCGCTATTGTTGTTGTTGTTGCTATTGATGAGTTTTTTACTGCGCGAAGATTGATGATTATGATGATTTTGGGGCACGATGACCCCGATCGGTTGACGCTGACTCTGCAGCGGTATCCTGTATCGAATTCACATTATTATTCACCCATATGAAACGTTCAATTAATTTATTTAACTTGCACGAACCACCCGACAATATTAAAAAATAAAAAAAATTGACGACAATTGTACCTGTGTAACGACATCGCACTGCTGACATCGTATCTCGGCATCATTTTGTCAACGGCAACTATAGCTAGGACGATCGGTACAACGATATTTAAAACGTGCTCGCCCGCACGAATCGTAATAAACGTTTCGTAAACGACGGAGCTCTACTACTACTGTCCGTCCGCGTGTTCAAACTTTGCATGCAGATATAGAAAAAGAGACAGAGAAGAGGAGAGTCTGTTGCTGCGCGATAACGACAACTGATGTTATTTTGCGAAGACGAAAACGATGACTACGACGATGATCTCGTCTCTAAATGTGTACGTGTGCGTTTATGCAATTCTGGGGGATTATTATTTAGCTTTGGGAGACGATAAGAGTATGAAAAAAAAAATAAATCTTTCCCTCGACAACAACAGCTAAAACAAAAACAAAAAAACGAAAGCAAAAGAAGAAGAAGAAGAAGCAAAGACTCACTTGGCCGCGTCGTGCTCGTTGAGATCGTCTTCCGTGTCGGAGCCCAGCGTGCTGCCATTGAAGGTCGAGCCGCTGTTGCTGAACGTCACGCTGCTGTCGCTCTCCTGCCTCGCGAACTTGGACGAGACGCCCTTTACAATAATAATAATAATAATCATCAAAATTAATGATAACAAATATATATTACTTTTACTAGACTACTATAAAATGTCATTGAACTACTTTGATATATTTTTATATGCATGCATCCCAGAGCAGCAGCGGCATCAAACCGAATAGTACAGTATTATAACGATAACAAAACGAGAGATGCGCGCGGCGCTTATCTCTAATCATTGCCAATTGAGGCATGAGACAGCAGCAGCTGATCGTTTCAGAGAGCTAAAAAAAAAAAGAAAAAGATACGAGTATACCTCGACAATGGCCTGCATCGGGTGATTATGCGACCAGAGTAAATAATGCTGCTCGGCGGGCGTGAGAGCGCCCGGGTGTTTGTAATAAACTCGCGTAGCGCGACCGTACATGATGGCGATCGATTTGTTGACTAAATCCGTGTGTTTGTATTAATTATAACGTTTCGATGTTTATGTCATATATATTATTATACCTTGTCGTTACCGATCCGCAGATCGTCCATGTCGTCGAGCTTGCCGGGCATCGACGAGCTGAGCTTGCGGCCGCCCCTACGTTGCTGCTGCTGCTGTTGCTTCACAGCCGCGTCCACGTCGACGATGGTAGCAGCCATGGTCGTCGTCGTCGTTTCGGTACCGGCCCTGACTGCGACGGTATCTATTATTCCGTCGTCATGTTTGTCCTCGACCTCGACCTCGACTCCGTCACCTGCGAAATAATCGTACGGCGCAATCGGACGAATGACAAATTACTCGTTGTTTTATTTTATTTCGTATTTTATATATAGCGTGTGTGAGATTGTGTGTGTACGTGTGATCGGTAGCCGTTGGTGTATATGTATTTAACCCGAAGGCAAACCTCGCAGCGCTCAAATACGTCGAGCACATATTTATTTAGCGACGATTTTTTACGTCTCTTCTTTCGCAAGTCGCTATCTACATACACAAACACGTGTTGATATATACAATGCGCGATATCGATACGCGCGTGTTTGTATCCGATTCTTAACCTAGAACCCGAAATTCAGGCTGCAAAAAATTCGACATGAGCTGCTCCGAGCCTCAGTCCACCACCACCACTGAGAGCGAGTCTCAACAAGAACCCGAGAACCCCGTCACGTACATCGAGCTGCCGGCCTCCTCCTCGTCCTCCTGCGATGACCGATCCTCGATCGTGCCACCGGCGGACGAGCCGCCGGAAAATTTGCCCTTCACCGTCGGCGCCAACATCGGCGTCACCAAGACCAAGTTCACCCTCAAGCAGGACTCGCCGCGTCAGCGTGGCGTGCTCAGTCCCCGCCAGCACCTGCAGCAGCTGGACATTCTGGCCTTCGATCTCGGCGTCGACTCGCAAGCCTCCGCGTCGAGCAGCAGCAGCAACGGCAGTATAATCACCGCCAGCCACGATGTCGGTGACCCCGCCGCCTCCTCCTCGGAAACAGCCTCGAGCGGCTGCCGCTGTCCGCCCGTCCGCGAGTACGACGACATCGGCGACGCCGAGATCGAGTACACCCTCTGCATCGTCAAACCCGAGGCGATGATGCATCGCGCGGCGATCGAGGCGCGCATCGAGGCTGAGGGCTTTCGCGTCTGCGGCCAGCGTCTGGTCCACCTGACCGAGGACGAGGCGACGGACTTCTATCTGGACCAGGAGCCGCCGCGCGACAAACAGACCAAGTGCCTGATCCAGCATCTGGCGAGCGGACCCGTGCTGGCGATGATACTGTCACGGGTCCGCGCCATCGACGCCTGGAAGAGGTTGGCCGGCCCGAGGGGCAGCAACTGGCAGCGAACGAGATCGGGCTGGCTCAACAGTATCCGGGGCAGCTTCGGCACGCACGAGAAGACGAGCGAGGAGCCAGTGGTGCACGCGAGCGAGGACAAGAGGTCGGCCAGGCGCGAGATTCACTTCTTCTTTCCCGATCGTGAGTAGGGTATATACCATATCCGAATGCGCGAGAAAAAAAAAATAACGCGAGTGGATCTTTGTTACAGATGAACTCGACGACGTGAGCGTGGAGGCGAGACTCAAATTTTACAAGCGCGAGATCAAGAGCACGCTGCTCGAAGGATTGGTCAAAGTGCGATCTCAATTTGTTTTTTTTCATCTTTTCACTATAACTTTTCTATTTATCGTACACACGCGCGTTACAGTGCTTCCATCGAGACCCGAAGCCGAAGAACCCGGTCAAGTGGCTCGGCTACTGGCTGCTGGACAACGATCCCAGGGCGCCGAGATTCCACTGCTACTACGATCCGCCGACGGGCGACGAGGACGACAGCGAAATGATTCAATCGCAGTGTTAACAAATATAATAATAATAATAAAGAGAAAGAAACCGAACGAACCTGAGATAGTGCGATGCTGTCGCTGCTGCCTCGTAGTAGTCCGCACGATCGGGCGTTGAAATTTCCTCTGTATCACTGGCGGCCTATTATACCTGAGCATACGTAGATGGGAAGAAATAATATCGCGCATTAAAATCATACATGCGGATCGTTGGCGCAATTTAAGCTCGTTTCGCGCACTGTGCAGCATATATATGTATGATGATACTTATGATATAAAGCGAGAGCGAAGCTGAAATATTATTTATTTGTTGCCTTCTTCCATCTGTCTCTCTCTCACCTGGCGTTGACCAATCGCTCGACGATCTCCTTGGGATCTTCGGCTTTTACTGCTGCTGCTGCTGCGTCTCCGTCGTCGTTATCGTCTTCCTTGGGAAATACGTAGGTCTGCTCGATGAGCCGTTGACGATGATCGTCGTCGCTGTGCCTCTGCTTCTGTTTCTCCTGCCGCTGCTCGTCGTCGTCGTCGTCGTCGTCGAGCTTAATTGAAACATCCGCAGTCGGAGTCGCAGTGGTAGTAGTAGGTGCAGTCTGCAGCTCGCTACATGCAATTCACACACACACATATACACGTACACTTTTAGTCGCGCGTTAAAAAGCTCGAGAGGCGCAAAGACAAGATTGGCAATAATTCGATGCCTTTTTTCTTTCTCGCTACTACTGCTACTTACTTACTTTATTAATCTTAGCTCTTTGCACGCGATTCGATCGAGAAGTCGATCGTAAAGAGAAAAAATAAGAGAAGAAAATAATCTTCACCGAGAGGAGTAGTACTAGTAGCGAGCGCAAAAAAAAGTTTATTATACGAGAACGAGTATGCATAGAAGCGGTATAATTTGAAAGACACACGGTGCAGACGGTGTGTGCGATCACGCGCCTGCCTTGCAAGTGTATATGTATATTCAACGAGAGGCGTCGAAAGGCTAATAATACATACATGTATCGGTGATAAGCCGAGAAAGAGTAAACCGCACATCGATCGACCGACAGAGTTAAAAAATAATGAAAAATATGTACGACGAGTCGCACCTGTATCGGGGCTTGTACCAGGGCCAGGGTGTCCTGATGCGTCTCTGCTGCTGGTCCGGCGTCGTCCTCGTCGGAGGTGTATCTCTACAGGCTCGATTAGAAGACGATGACGATGTTGCTGCTGCCGCCACCTCCGCCGTGGCAGTAGCATCCACTACTACCGCTGCCGCCGCTGCTGCTGCTGCTTCTTCTCGACGCGCGGCGAGATCGAGCGGATCGACGCTGGCTATGCGATCGTCCCACGGGTCCACTATGGAGAGCAGCACCTTCTGCGCGTGTGACAATGCAGCTATATGTAATACGTGTGTACGACTTTGCGATGCGCGCGAATGTATTTCGTACGCGTGTGCGTGACGATATCGGTGTGCAACGGCAGCGACAACGCCACACACGCTACACATGAGTATGTATGCGTTCGCGACGGTAATATCGGCTCTCTTTTTTATCCGAGCTCTGCGCTTGTAGAGAATGCGATGTACCGATGAAGCGCCTGCGGTACCTTTCGTTACTTTTATATAGTGTTTCCGCACATAAAATGTTGGTCTAACTAGGAGTAAATTTTGAAAACCCTCGATTTATATAGTTACTCGTGCTTTACCACTTGCGGATTCGAGGATAGAGGCGGGTACTCGCCATCTGGCGGCGAATGCTTCGAGTAGCGTTGCCGTACTCGATTATATTATAATTGTCATTTTCAGTCGAAGAGCTCAAGTGATCGTTGTATATAATTATTTTCATTTAACCATACTTGCACATTTAAAGATAAAGGTGTCCGAAAAATGATCTTGTCTTTTTGAAACAATTCTACTGTCGTTTTCGGTACGATCAGAATGTACTTGAAATTTTTTTACAAAATTCTAAGAGAAAAATTGCCGTAAACGAGTCAATAGTATTGTAGTAGTTGCTATCGGATGGGCGGGGGAAAAAATACAAAAACATATTTTCCTGAACGTAGAAAATCGCATTTCTTGAAAAGCTAGCTTAGACTTTAGTGTATGCGAGAGAGCTCAGTGTACTTTAGAACTCCAACGCGTGCGGAACATTACCGAAAGATCGCATCCATCGCGAGACTTTTGTGAAATAAATTGAAAATATCTCAAGTTATAAGTGAAAGTGTTTAGCGAGTGCGCAGAACGATGTCTTGTCCTTCCTCAAAAGAATTGTGCGATGTCAGCAATGAATCCTCAAAGGTGGTGAATAATAAAAAAGATTGGCTGAATGACTTCCGTGAAATTAAAACCAAACTATTTAGTTTGGTCTGGGAGGACCAACTCCTAATTTTACAGGAGTATTTTAATATTTTGGAGTATTTTAATAGCCAACAAACTCATCGGTTTCTCATCGAATTATTTCATTGCCACGCGAAAGACGATATTTATCCAGGAGAACGAATCATCCACATATTGTTCGAGGCCGGCTGCTGAGCCGAGCCTACGTTTGATAAAGACGGTAGGGCACATGTTCGGCTGCGAGGCAGTGGTGATGAACTTTTTCGATGCGATAATTTTGAATTTTGTTCGATTTAAATCTATTTATTTTCACTTAACCACTTGCACATTTAAAGATAAAGATTTGCTTGCCATCTAGCGGTGGATGCTTATAATAGTATCATTATATCCAAAGTGGTTGAATAATGTTCTACTTTTTTTCTAAACGATTAAATTGTTTTTTTTTCCAAGTTAATCAGAATATGTTTAATATTTTTTACGCAATTGTAACAGAAGAATCACCAAAAAAAAACAGGTCAATACCATTCTTGCCTCCATCGGATGCATCGGTATCAGATGAAAAAAAAAAATACGTTCGTAATATTCAAATATACACGAGGAAGATGTTTCTGGAAAAAATTGGCCACGCCACGTGTACACACATGTACAGACGCGATCATGGTAATCGGATTTTTTTCACTTTCCTCCTTAAAACAGTCAGCGCGAAATTCGAGCTCTCTCGCGTGCGCATTGTGACGCAAATCGAGGATATAGAGAAAAAAAAAATAATCGCGTATAAAAAATTAGCATCGACTTCTTTCTTATCCGTGATCTCGAGCAATACTCTTATACCATCGATACATTTTTTAACTTTTTAAGTATTCTTCAAACGGAATACTTCGATCCTCGCAAAGAATCATACTGCACACCAACCAATTGAAGGCTCGCAACGATCCGTATCCAAGTTTACGTATTATTTTTTGTTTATTCCTCTCCTTTACCTCGGCCTCTCTTATAATAATAATCGTCGCGCGCGGGCAATTTAGTTAACGAGCGCTGCAGTGTCTATACCGACTCGCTATTCATATTTCCGATATTAATACGAAGTCGCGCGTACACTGCATCGTATAGAGCGCAGTGATCGCGCTGATTCAAATTTTCGAATCAATCGTTAATTATTGTCGCGCGCAGGCTGTAATTATAAAAAAAAAAAAAAACGTGTCGTGCATTACAGCATCGTCGTGCACGGTGCAGTGTCGAAAAGCAAATCGGCACGACGACGCGTGCAGCAAAAAAAAAAGTATATCGCGCACTCCTGCGCGTTATTGCATTATTTGGATGAGTTAGCATCGTGTCGATATACATCCAATATATCGAGTGTCGGAAACGATATTCGTATGATATTTCCTTCATCTCGATGCATCGTGTACAACGAGAAACTAATGTTACAGTATGCAGTGCACACAGAGTTCGCGTGTGCGCATGCGATCGTAATGTCGTTACAGATAATGCATCGGTTTGAGTGACGTAATCTGGAATACCTCATAATGAGTTAGATACCGATTTTCAATCGCGGAAATAGTGATCGTTGTCGTATAGCCAGACACACATGGCTTGCATTATTTACTATTTTTCTTTCTCGAAAAGTAAAAGCTAAAACTCTTCGATCTCGTTTCGATCGACGTACGCCTAGCACGTCGCGCACTTTTTAATTTTTCGTAATCTCGATCGAGTAATAATGCCGCGCTCGCGCGAATTCGTCATCGCACGCGCGGATTTTTTTTTTTTTTTGTGGTAGTTGTTACAGAAAAGTGTCGCGGAACTATTGTTATCGATACGTGTACGTATGCGTATTGCTGCTGTCAATGTCGGAGTTTCGATAAAGCAATGTCCCGTCGCGCGTGTAAAACTCAAGTAATTGTCTTGTACTTTACAAGTGTATACAGATAAAATTTCGGCATCACCAAAGAACGAAGAAGCCTTACCTTTTTTCTTCCGCTGTGCTTTTTCTGCCTCCTCACTCCGTGAAGTCTCTGCTCCATTTTCTTGCACCACCACCCTCGACGCTTCGATGCTTTTACAATACTTATTTATTTATTATTTATTAATAGCCCCCCCAGTGCACACCATACACTCTCGAGCCGCGTCCCGAACTGATTAACCGAGCGAGCTTATTAATACCGCTGCTCCGATCGCTATGGTCTCCGGCCGTTTCGCGCTTGTGTAGATAGGTATGTAGTAGTCGCGTGTCGCGCGGCTCGTACGTACACCGCGCGCACAGGTGTGCCGCGCATATTACTTTATCTCCACCGCCGTACGTCGTTGTATATGTATGTACACACGTTTACCCGAAATCAGTGTCGGTAGTGGTAGTGGCTGCTGGCATCATCCACCCATGAGGTTTGCAATTATAATCTCGAGTTCTTGGGCACAGACACTTTACGAACGCGATGATATATCGTTATTGGCCTCGGATGACACTATATACACGACTGCACAGCCGAGATTTAACGTCCTATAATGAGATTATTACGCGCTCTTTGTCTCTATGTGCCGTTTAGTACCCACCGGTGCAGTTAATTAACAGCTGCAGCGGTTTGCGTCATCGTCGGCGCGGAGCAAACATTTGCGCTTAAAAATTACAACCATTGTAACGCGTGCGCGCGCGTTATCGCGACCTAGTCCTGATTAATTTAATTTTTATTTATTTTTTTTGTTTAATTTTTAATTTTGTATACGCGACAATAATTATACTTGTATAGGGCTGCTATTATTCAGCCGCGTGGCGCGCGAGAAGCGCACGCGAAGCGCACTACTGAGAGTCGATGATGATGCTGCTGCTCTTCCGTCATGTTACACATAAAAATGCGGAAAAAGAGATGCATTAATCACTCGACGAGAGAGAAGAACTCGTGACTCTCTCGTGTACAACTCGATTGAGAACATGTAGAGTATTTACTGCTGCTGCTCTTGCGCTCGTGCATTATTTATTATAATTATTACACATTGCGCTCTATCGTCGAATATACGATGGATGTGCTTTTAAATGATTTTACGCGCGTGCACACGCACTTGTTCTCGATAAGACCCCCCCGACAGTAAGAGAGATGAAAAAAAGGAGATGTGAAAAATGGATATACAGTAACAACACATGGACGGTTAATATTTACGAAACTTAATATATTATTTGATTATAATTCATAGAACGATTTTCTATATATATACTTATTGGATGTATATAACGTTTTGCGTATAAGTGATTATAATACATAGGTTTTTTTATAAGTTGTTGGATTTTCGTTCGTTTTGTTCTCGCGGCATCAATTTTTTCAACTATATACTTTGTATATATTATATATTGCTTTCCGTCGTAATATTCGTCTACAACAACAGAAACGTGTCGTTTTCTTCTTTACTCATTCATTTATTTATCACAAAAAAGGAAAACGTATAAACTAATAATAATGCTATTTATATACGTATATATATACGTGACAAAAGTGATCCCTTTTCTTAGGCGCCGTTTTTTTTCTTTTTTTAGATCGTTCGCGGAGAAACAAAAACAAAAATTTTTTGCGGACCATTTTTGTCGATACATACACACAATATATACGATGGAACAATTCATATATAAATGGGTTTTTTTTCTTTCATTTTGACGCTGAAGATTGCTTAGAATTAAAGAACGATTTGTTGTACAATATCATAATACAGGCGTTCGAATGTCATGTTACGTCATTGCACTGCCGCTTCGGCAACCATATCATATTAGTATATTGTATACGCGGATGATGTACGCGCGTATACACTTCGTTATACTTCACATTTCGAATGTAAAACGTAAAAAGTACAATGATAATTACAATAAGTGATGAAAAATGAAACGAAGTGGTTTTTTTTCAAATATACGCGATGATAGTTCCGAAACATGATCGATATAAGTTACAGTTAATAATTCGTATTCTTTAAACAGGAACGATGCAATAAATATATATTCAATATATAATATAATAAATATAAATAATAAGAGAATGTCTCGCTCGATGCAGTAGCAACAGTAAATATATTTAAGGTGAAAGGATTTTTTTCTCGCTCATTCCATGTATATTATAACAAGTAATAAAATGTCTAAAAAAGTGATGCCTTCCTTCCGCGCGTGATTCGGCTTCGAGGAATCGTTCTTTTCTCTTTCTCTAATTCGATCGAGAAAAAAAATTTGTCATTCGGAGTCTCTGATTTGCTGTTTTGCAGTGATGTGTGTCAGCTAGCGCACAGAATACTGGCGTGTTTGTGTGTGTTTTGTGTATTTTTTTTTTTTAAGGAGAACGAGCACCGTTAGAAAAATTGACGCATTAAGGTTCGCATTGGTGCAGAGCGCGCGCGAATCGTCGAAAAAAACTCGATTCCCATTCGACTACTACTTATTTTTGTATATGCAATTGTTGAACTATTCGCTATAACCTTATGTACGGATAGTTTTTCGTAGTTTTATCCTACAACCTAAAAAGATTTCTCTTTCGTTTTTTTTCTGGAATAGTTTTCTCATCACATTTAAATCTGCTTACACACGAGGTTCATCGTGTTTTCACTATACAATTACGCACATCTTTCTCATTCGTTTAATTATTTGCACATAGACATTTTTTTTTATTTCATTATAAAGTTTACAAACTTTAACGACACACACACACGTCCGTGCATACCCGTACGATTAACTCATTCGAACAAAAAGGAAATCGTCGTACGACACAATACGTCACACAAGCTAGACGTACACCGCGCGTACAATGGAAAAACAAATAATACACGCAAACGTAAGTCAATGAAAAAAAATCTACTAAATTCGTAATTTTTTTTCTTCTATATGTACAATTTTTTTTCATATTCTGAAATGCAACACTCAACGTCGATACAATGATCCGACGCGGAAAATGAAAACTTATACTCAGCATTATGTATACATACTTATCATAATAAAAAAAATGTGCTCCGACAATATACGCTATCGGTGAGATGCTCACTCCGAACTTACTTCTTTTTTATATTTATATGTACAATACAACGATTAGAATGAGTATTACGTCTGTTTTCAGGATAAAACGAGTTATTCAAAGGAAAATCGTTGCAGCAGAATTTTTCCAGAAAGAATCTTGGCTGTCAACGTGATTAATAATTTGACAATTATACGAAAAAAAGTTTTTTTCCTTTATGGCACAGCTTGGAGAGCTGAATGATGTAAGAGAAATGAAAAAAAATAATAATAATACTTTTTCCATCTGTACAATTTTCAATTGCAAACAAAACCCAATCCGAATACAAATTAGACTAGTGCAAAAGGAGCAAAAATACAATAGTTTCGCTATCGTTCTACTTTTTAAGCTAAAAAACTTTACGTTACGATAATCAAAGCTCCACAATGTACACACACACTGAGAATACCATGGGAAATTATTGAACTAATTCCAGTGAACGGAACGACGGCGGAGCTTCCGAAATCGCAAAGAAAATCTCTCTGAGATTCTAACGCAAACAAACAAAAAAACGAAGGATTACTTATACCGAGATAGGGACGGTTTAGACAGTCTGTATTATCTGAGAAAGTATTTATCATAGAGATGCGCGTTTTACTCCTATATATGCAATGTACACTCTTTCGTCGTAACTTTCTCCATTGAAATGCTCCATCCGACGATGACCACGATGTGCGATGATTAATTGCGACTCTTCTGTCATTCGCTCGGACGATTGTTGTCCTCCCACTTGGCCTCCTCGGCGATGCGATCGAAGCAGTCCGACAGGAAAACGTACTGCAAAGGGAAAAATTCACATGGGTCAGATATATCATTACATAACATGATTAATTATTATCAAAGAAAAGGACATACGTATGGCGTAAAGACTTTGAGCCACCTGGGCGGCCTGTTGTCCGTGCGCGTGTACTGAAAGCAGAAGGCCATGGCCTCGTCGTCCACCTCCCAGCGCTGAATCGTGCTCCACTGAAACTCCACCACCTGCGACTCCAACGTGCCGTCCTCCTTCGCAGCGTGAAGCTTGAAAGCTCCGGTGCCCACCGCCGCTATCACGTGGCCGACTTTGCGCGAGTCGCACGGACAGTGCGGAAACACGATGTCCCCGTAGCCGCTCAGCTCCTTGGCCAGCTTCAGGTACTCGTGCTTCCTCGACGCGTCCTGCAGCGCCTTCAACTGATAAAGTCGCTCGCCCGCCGATATGTGGCCGCGATTCACCTCGTCCACCGTCTGCCAGAATATCCAGGTGAGCGCCTGCTCGCCCAGCTGCGGCTGCCTCGCCAGATCGAACAGCCAGCGACGCACCGCCAGGCACGTGGCGCTGGCCGTCGAGTAGTTCTGTATGTAGAGCGTGTGCGGATGCTCGTGCGGCTGCAGCTTGCGCTCGAAATTGTACTCGACGATCTCGAACAGATAGAAGTACTTGGCCGTGTCCGGGTCGAGCTGGGCGCGCCGCGTCACCGCCTCGTACACGTCCTTCGCGGTGGCGGCCTTGGGCACGGTGACGGTGACGAGCTCGCGATCCGGCAGCAGGACCTTGAGATCGACCGCGGGACCCTGATCGCCCGCGTCCTCGTCGAGGCGATCAGTGAGGAACTCCTGCATGGAGTCGCTCTCGGCGATTACGCGCACCGCGCAGACCTTTTCCAGGTACTGCTCGAGGCCGCGGCGGCGCGCGTCCAGCTGCTGCTCGCTCAATCTGTGCGTGGGGGAGAAGAAAAAAAATTACGACGATGAAAGTACTCGAAATCAAAAGTATATATCATTGATAATATGGAAAAATTGTTACTATTCATAAAAAACAAACAAAAATACGTTATGTCGTTTCTTAAGTAATACACAGGAAAAATAGCAAAGAGCATCGTGAACTGTGCGTGCTCGTATTCTATTGTTTACGTCGCACGCGTGACCTTTCGGTGTGTTGCTGTATTTTGCCCAGCATACCGTAGTGCCACACGAAGGACTTGTACCTATGTGTGATGCTGTTCATGCGTGAGACGCAGTTTTTCCAAATTCCAGCGAGTACAGATCAACGATTTTCAACGATATTTTAGTGCATGTAGTTAGTTTGTGATGCGTAAAATCATCGAAGAAAGATCAATTGTTGACGCGAAAGATGGAATCCAGAGATACACTTAATGGCGCTGTCAGGTAATTTTTATGTTATGAAAATGAAATTTTGAAAGTATTATAACCTAACACTTCTAAGTTTACTGGATTTATTTTAGGGTGAAAGAGGAGCCCAGCGATGTGTCGCTAAGTGAAAACGTTTGTAAAATGATTGACGAGAAACCTGATCTAAAAAACTTGCAACTCTTATCACATCCATTGGAAAATTCGGTAAGTGTTGATAATTATAAGTATTCCTTCGGGTTTTAAATGAAAATTTTAACGTAGTTTTGATTTTTCAACAGATCAATATCCTTCGAAAATGTGACATTAAACTTGAAAATGAACTCGATGACGAAGTGGAAGTAGTTGCTGAATGCGAAGATGTCAAGCCTAACATTCATTTATTGGCAGTCAACAAAGTTGAAGAAGACTCTCAAAATTTCTTGCAGGATCTGAAAGATACTGATGGTTATAAAATTCAAAACTCAATTAGAATAGAAACTGCGGAGGGAACGAAACCAAAAAACGAACGAAATAAAAAAAGTTCTACAGAAGAGTTAAGTAACGAGGACAACCCCAAAGCACAAATCGGTACAGTGCATGACGGTACAGCCAACGTATGTGAAATATGCGGGAAGAAATTGGCACATACAAGTAGTCTGCGTAGGCATGTCAAATCATTACATCAGTGCATTACCCACTCATGTGATAAATGCGAAAAGTCTTTTACTCAAAAATGTAATCTCAAAATCCACATTGAAACAGTCCACAACGGTATATACATACATGCGTGTGATGTTTGCGGAAAGACATTTTCGCACAGACGTAACGTGAGAAATCACATCGAATCGGTGCACAACGGTGTCAAACATGCGTGCGTAATTTGCGGAAAGATATTCAACTTAAAGGGCTCTCTCAAAAAACACATGGATAAGGTGCATAACGATATCAACCACAGTTGTGACCGATGTGGAAGGAAATACTCAAGAAAGAGCAATCTCAAAAAACACATAGATGCGGTGCATCGCTCACTTATTACAACTTGATTATTTATTTTAAATTTCATTCACATGTTCGGAAGACTAATTCAGCCATTTTCATTTATAATATCTCGAGTTCCTCCCATACTATTCATCGTGTAAGAACTACGTTTCTTTTGTGCAAAAAAAAAATCAATAAATTTTGGCAAGAAAAACGAAACACTTTTTCAATCTCATAACCCTCTAACCCCCCTTCCGACCCGCCGGTAAAATCCACATATATTACTCACTGGAACGGCCACTTGCCGGGCAGCTTGGGGAAATTGTAGCCGATGAACTCCTTCTTCAGGGCCATGTGGAGCGCCGCGAACTCTCGATAACGCCTCGAGCACAGATGTCGGCCGGCCATGTGCACGTTGAAGACGACGTAGCGCTCGTGCTTCTTCTCGCGCACGTGATAATCCGGCACGCTGATCGGCAGCGAGCGCTTCTCGCTGTAGTCCACCGATACGTAGCTAAAACGACGAGAAAAAAGAAAAAACAAGTCAGTATATACATCCGCCAGTATTGCGTTATCGTTCGTCTTCGCGAAAGATATAAATAATATTGTTGTGTTTGTACGAACCTCAAATCTTCACAGGGCTCGAGTCGCTCGGCCTCCTGGGGCGTGACCGAGATCACCGTGAGGGTGAGCACGTCGCCGCCCGACTTGATCAGGTCCACCACCTGCTTGTGCGTCGCCCCCTCGACCGTCACGTTGTTTCTGCGAACGTAACAAGAAAAGTTTAATAAACATATGTCAAAACTACAGAGGCGCACACGAATGTACAGGCCAACTAACTTTTTGCCCTTATTTTGAAACAAATCCGACTGCAGGGCAGTCATCTGACAACTCAACATGATTATATTGTGCGGGTGTAAGTGCGTGTGTGTGCGTATACACGGCAGTAGCTACGGTGCTTGTGGTGATTTCCGTTCGCGGGTATACTAATACCAGAGAGAGAGAGAGAAATAAAAATATCGCGAGGACTGGTTTTCTCCGCCGAGCGTCGCAGCAGCAGCAGCAGCAGTGGATATAAAATCTCGAGTGAAAGGTGCACCGCGTCTATATAATACGATATATTTATATAAGGCAGGTATCGCGGCACGCACTACGCGAAAACCGTCAACGAAATATCGTCGAGGAGAGTCTCTCGAGCGTGTTGGCGATGCAACGACAATCGCATCGATACTAATGCTGAATTTATAAAATCCGAGCTGCGATGCAGATTTAAGAACATGCATATAATACGAGTGTATTATAATATATAAGCCGCTGCTGCCGCGAGGATGATAATCGGGGTTGGCCATTCATCATTTCGCTATCTATCGTCGTTTCTTCTACTCCTCTTCTCTTTCGTATATATGTGTATGTATACAGATAATCCGCGACTGATAAGAAAAAGACACGTTGTTGAACGTTTTGATATATCAACATTATACAATGTTATATGCGCACAACAAATACATTACATATACAGAGGCTGCGACGCGTTTGCTAATATCACACAAGAGATATCTTTTCGCCGCCGCCAGTAGCAGCTGTTGTTGCAGCGGTACATACTTATGGATAACAAAAGGATCGGATTTGCTGCTCGTTGTTATTGTTATTATTATTTTTTCTAGCTTCCGTGTTTTCGCGATTCGGTGCGGTGCATTGTATACGTACACGTGCGACACGCAGCGTAGCTTAACAGCATGAATGAATGGACGCGACGATGACGAATAATCGTGTAAAAGGAAATTCCGACGCACACCGACCTATACGCACCGAAGCTTTCGTGGAAAACGATATCGTTGTATATGTCACCGTTAAGATAGCGTATTTCTCCGCACACCGCGGTAATCCAATAATTGCGAAATCAAAATTGGGAGAGATTCACCCCACTGGTTTCGGTTGGAATGAGAGTGCGCGATGATATTTTAGTCGGCCCTCCCCGATTAATATCGCGTCTAGATATACATAGCATGTATATATGTGAACCTTGACCGACTGCCGTGTAATGTAATACAAAACGTTGGGTCTCGAAAGTATAACGAGAGAAAGAAAAAAAAAGAGGCAAATGAGTTGAACGAGCCCTCGTGTATATAAGCGGGGGTAGTAGTGCTCGATATACATATATGAATCTTCGTGCTCGTGTTAAAAGTCAAGCGAAACCCTAAAAAAGTCTCGAGGTCTAGAAAGAAAAAATTTGCGACGACTGACCTCAACTCAACATGTGTGTTTGTACGTACATACAATATAACATGTTAAAAATCGCACACGAAATATCGCGTTACACGCGCGCGAGCACACAGCTGTGTGTTATTTTTCACTCTTCTCGTCTTTTCTTTCTTTTTTTTTTTTTTGCTTTTGCTCGTACATACTCGGGAACGTTATGCAGCGGTTTTCGTCGAAGTAGAGAAGAACAACTACTACCTATTACGAGACGACTGCTAATTATCGTGCATAGATGCTGCTGCTGCTCATCTTCGTAAAGTAAAGTAAAGAAGAAAAAAAATCGACATCGTCGTCGTCGTCGAGTCACGTGTGTTCTCTCCGCTCGGCAGATCGCGTCGCCGATCGCACCGAGTTCAGTGGCATCTCTCTCTCTCTCTCTCGGTATCTATAATAATATAATAATACACGCGTATACCCGACGATAATTACCTCTAAAGGCTCTCGTGCCTTATATACGTCGCGTCAAAAGGAGAAGACGCGCACACGCGTAATTGAGGCTCGTTTAATGCACTCGATCATATACATATAGAGAACATCATCATCGGTGGCATTTAACAATAATAATCGCGCGACGATGATCGAGTTCTCGTTATATATATTTATTATAAGAGAGAGAGGGCGGATATGGCTCACGTGTGTGTGTCGTTCTGCAGATATTCAAGGACACTTTGCGCGCACAGTAACGTATAATGGTAATTCGATTCGGGCGATATAAAAGTAGCCTCCCGCGTGTATATATATTTGCAAGCGCGTCCGTCCGTCTGTTATACCGTTTCTGCCGAGTTGGGATTTATATATACATATGCACAACTAGAAAGAGCGAGCGAGAGAATCTACACATTAGGTAATCCAACGCTGTGACTCGGTAACTTTTCTTTATGCCGTGTACGTACGTACGTACGTACTATATAATAAAGCCTCGAAACGAGCACCGACGAGATAGCTAGAAAAATAAGAAAAGGCAAGAAAAAGAAAAATGAAACGAGCTAGCTCTGTGTGTTGCTCCGCTTTTTTTTTCTTCTTCCTCGTCGTTTTACCTGTCCCTATTATGTACCACCGCTGCTGCACTATATACTATATGCTACGTGTATGTGTGTGTGTATGCAGTTGACTCTCTAATTTCTGCTGCAGCTCCCCCCACACACACTCATTCATATACACACTCACAGAAGAGATTCGCACACATATAGCATCATCATGTACAGGGCAGGTACCTAATACCTATACCATAGGTCCTATCTATCGATCGTCTAGTATATATGCATCCCTAGCCTAAATATATATAACGCAGGTAGAGAGCAAAAAAAAAGGGAAGAAGAGAACAACACTTACACCTCGAGGATGCGATCGCCCTTGCGCACGCCGGCCTTCTCGGCGGCCCCGTGCGGCAGCACGGCACTGACGTGCTGGAGCGGCGCGTACAGCTCGCCGTTGATGCTGCGCAGCTGGCCGCCCTCGCTCACCTGGCCACGCACGTTGAAGCCGAAGCCCGTCTCGGTCTTGCTGATGGTGACGCGCCGCGGCCCGGCCAGGGCTTGCGCGTGATGTTGCTGTTGCTGCTGCTGCTGTGGTTGTTGTTGTTGTTGCTGTTGATCGCAGCGTCCGACCATGTTGTTGACTTGTTGTTGTTGCTGTTGTTGGTTGTTGCTGCCCACCATGGCCGATACCGTGGCGTTCATAATATACCTATGATATGCACCACCTGCACTCGCTCGCTCGAGTCACTGTGTGTAAGGTGTAAACGTATGTGTGTAGCACTAACACGGATATAGGCAAACGAAGCACAGCTGAATTCTGCACACACACACACGCGCACACACAGTCGTACGGTCGACGATTACGTCTAATAGGCCGTTACAATTTATTTTTATTTATTTTTTTCACATAAACACACACTTGTATATAATTACTCCACGAGCTGCTCCGTGGAGTACGATCCTCGCCTGCCTCTTCTTCTTTTCGGAGTAGACGTCGCGTTCATAATAACACGTCACACGGGTTATGATACATACACACACATACACTCGCGCGCGTATTACTGTATAGAGGAGCTGAGAGAGAGAGAAAAGAAGAAGAGCTGCTGCTGATTCTTGATTTCTTCCGATGATGATGCACACGGGGAGAGAGCGAGAGAGGAGAGAATCGACGCCACCTATATTATAATGCACTACTGCTCTGTGAGAGAGAGATATATACAGAGAGAGACAGAGACAATCACATACACTGCACGTCACTCACTCGTATACACACATACACACAGACACACACTGTGCGAGATAGCAGAAAATTTACGACATTATTACACACGCGTTCCGTTCTCGTTGTACCATAACTACTATACTACGCGAAGCTTCTTCTTTTTCTTTGCTTCGGAACGATTTACTTAAACTCGGACTAGCTAAACGATACGATGCTACTCTCCTGCTCTCTTGTTGTCGTCGGCGCACAACGCGACGGCCGAGCGGCAGCACACATGTAGCAGCACTGAGGAGCTGTATAGCATTAACTATCCACTACGAGGCACAACACCACCGCTCGCGCGCGGCTCTCTCTCTCTCTCGCAGACGCACGCATGCAGCAGCACTACCTATAAGCTGCCAATGTCTCGCGCGGGCATGTATATAATAATACACCTATGGTGACACTGTACTACAACGTCCAGCTGGATAGTGTATTTTCACAGGGTAAGATATTACAAATATATATAGTATACAGGCACCTCATTGTTATTATATAGGTAAGGTCTGCTGCTGTACGCCACGAGTATACGTGCGCATGTGCCCGCAGTCGAAGACACTATATGCAGTCGAACAGTCGAGGAATGTATATCAACACATCCATATATAGGTATAGAAAATATATAAAACGGAGCAACTCGCTTCGATACCGCGAATGCGTGCGGCGATGACTGCGGTCTCTATTTACACTTTCTTTCTTTCATATGTACATAATATTGCGTCTATACCGCTGTGTAGTGTACGTCGGATATTACGAGCTGCTGATTTATAAACTCTCTTTCGTTTCGATATATAATAGACGTCTGACAATACAAGCACGCATAAATATTAAAACGTGGGTGTCGAGTTCTATCTCTCGACAGCTCCTTTTTCTTTGCGCGCGAGACAGCACGACGAGATGTACTTCACCGCACACTTTCTCATGCCGCAGCGGCAATGACGTTTTATCGACCGAACGCCGCTTTTTCGGGCGATCGTGTACATCGATGCGCTTCGTTGCTCCGAAATTTCGAGGCGGAGTAGGGGCTATTGATACATCGTACTTGTACCGTTGATTCTTGAATGAATCGAATTCCACGCGTAGATCTTTTTCGAAGTCAAATCGAATATTAACGCGTATGGATACTAGCAGTCGACAAGTACGATCGCGCACTTATCTCTCGTTGCTCCAGCAGCAGCTGAATATATATAAGAATATATTATCTTTCCAGACGATTGCGAGATAATTTTTCGAAATTACCATTGTTTCTTAGTTTTTCGTTGGTTGTTAGAGAGAATAAAAATTTCCCCGCTTGAGAGCTTGAATTGTGACCCGAAAAAGCACTTTTAAAAACCATTTTATTAGAGTTTACTGACAATATCACAGACAAAAAAGCCGAAATTTCAATATTTTTTTATTTACAAACTAAAGACTTTAACTAAAAACCGGAAAACTAATTACAAGTACTTTTACCGTAAAGTATACCGGCGGTCGCTTTGTTTGGCCTCCAGGCAAATCAGCTGGTCTATCGGTGACCATCACTGACGACTGTGAAAACCGCCCATATGTCGCTCTTAATAACAACACTTAAAAGAGCGTTTTTTATTCGTTCAAAAACTTATAAGAAATAATGAGATTCCATATTCATTTTCTTTACTAAGTTAGTTCAATTTCATTCTAATACTAAGTAAATTCATCCGCGTGAATTATATTTTCGCTCTGTGCCACCTAGCGGCCACACATCTGCTTCATTATACATCAAGCGAGTTTGGGCAGATGTAGTAACTGACTGATCGATTGTTTCATCAATTTTTTCGATGTCCTCGATATTTATTTCAAATAAGCGCATCTTAGCGGACGATTTATAATTTCTATCCCGCAGTAAAAGTACCTAATTAATTGCCCCTAGAAAAAAACTATTTCATCTTTCTGATTGAAAATTTCTTCAGCTTTCCGATGGCGAGGTCAGATTTTCCGAAATTATTCCGATCATCTCAAAAACTTCAATTTTAAGATTGTTCCAATAGTATAGATCAAAGCGCTGAACATTTCCCGTTGGAATAGCTATTTCCCAAAAATTGCTCTTATAATTTTCACGAGATATAGCGAGGGAAAGAAGAAAAAACTTGGAGTTTTCATGGCCGGCCGACGCGGCGCGTACTATTTGAAAAATCTTAAAAATGAGTTTTTTTAGATAATTGGCCTTAAAGGGTTTCCCTCAATTTTCCCCGGGAAAAAAAAAATTTAGACCCACACTGACGACTGTGAAAACAGCTCATACATAACACAAAAATGTCGCTTACATGCATGTGCATCACAGGCTTAGGTTTTTTTTTTTTTTTGTAAGTTTTTTATTGGCATTTAATGATACATTATGCTGCCAGAACACTGTAGTCTTTGTCGCGAAATACAAAAATACAGATATTTTACATCTAAGATTAAAGCTTAATCTAGGTACAAAATATTTAAATAAATGAATCACAATATGATTTAGATAAAACGCTAGGTGAACAATATTATAATATTAAGGATAAATTATACATGATAAATTATAAACAGGTATATACTTATAAATTAAAGTGCGTATTTATAGAATTATAATCATATGTTTATGTCTATTTTGTTTATAAACGAAGAGAAAGCATACATAATGTTTGGTTCATTTTTTGACAAGAGTGCAGTAAGATTAAAGGGTTTGAAATAGTTAAGAGAATGAAGTTGTGAAATAAGCTCTTTTCTTTCTTTTGAATATTTTTTACAATGCCAGAAAATGTGATCGATGCTTTCAATTTGTCGAGTTTCACAGTTACATAGATTGTTATCAACAATTTTATCGGGCTTAGGTTGTTCTTTAGATTGTCGCCGCGCCCCCTTGAAGTTGGTTTTGGTATTATATGAGCCATGCGCTCAAACGCAGTTATAGTCATTAAGGCCTCCGCACTTAAAATGCATAGCGAGCACAGCGATCAGCGACGCATAGCGCCGACGCGCCGTCGCTATGCGTCGCTATGCATTATAAGTGTGCAGGCCTTTATAGTCGCTGTTGAGTGTGTCTCACGCACATGTGCTTCGCCCACGTGTTTAGATCGTAATAAAAGCGTATATTGTCAATGTACACGTTCCTTAACAAAAGAAACCCAGCAAGTGATTCAAAGTGAAAAATATTATTCACATTATCGGTGATATTGTGTGTGCGAGTGTAAGTGCGTAGAAAAAAATGTTCGGTATTCGAGGCAAAGGTTGCGAGGTTAACCTCGATGGACGCTCAAACTTGAAAAAATTAAAGAACTTGCGAAAGAAGGTTAATTGGAACATCAAAGAAGAAAGACTTGAACTTATCTATCGACTTGACAAATTGTTCAGGGAATGGAGGAGCCAATTGCCGGATATCGGCGACATCTTTCGTCATGAAGAAATCGAGTGTATTCTCTGGGAGGCCACAACCAAGGGGAAGAAAAGTAAAGAAGAGTACAATCGAGGAAAACGAATTATTGATTTCGTAATCCGCACCGGATACACAGACAAGCCTAAAATCGGTGAAGACGGCAAGCCATTGTCGCGCCGTACCACTCCACTGCATCACGCAGCTAGATACAATTGTAAAGATTTAAAAATTATCTCTAATCTTTTTAAGATATACAACAATTTTTATGTGAATTACACCGACGAGTCAGGCCTCTCGCATTTCCACGTGGCCTGTAAGTTTGGTTGCAAAGACGCCGTCGAGAAATTTCTCTTCCTCGGTCATAATCCCAATAGCCTCGTGACGAAGACAGGCGATTCTCCCCTTTACTTGGCTCTGAAACACGAACGCGTGGACGTATTCAAATTACTGTTGAGAGGCGGAGCTAATCCGAACGTGGCCAAAAAAAACGGAACGACTCTTCTTCATATCATTTGTGAAAGGGAATACGACGACGAGTTCGCCAAGATTCTCTTCGAAGTCAGCAAAGATCTCGGGCGGACGGTAGAAGTCAACTCCAGGGATCACTCTGATCGGGCACCTCTTCAAGTGGCTCTCGCTCGTGGCCGCAGAAATTTGATCGAACTATTGCTAAGAATGGGCGCCTGTCCGAACTTGCGCGACGCGGACGGATTAACTCCGCTCCACAAGATTTGCCAAAAAAGCGTCGAGTCGAAAAAACTCTTGAAAATGTTTTTGGAAATTAATAACGACGCGAGTCGTCAGCCAGTGCGGGTCGACGCTAGGGACGGGTTTGGTCGGACACCTCTGGAGTGCGCTCTGTTGCGCGGCTACAAAAGTTTGGTTAAATTATTGCTGAGACACCATGCCGATCCGAATTCGATCAACTCTTTTAGAGAGACTCCTCTACACTTTATGTGTCAAAATGACCTCAATCGCATGATGGAAGTATTCTTCGAGCTCAACGACGAATTGAATCAGCCGATTCGGATCGATGCCCGATCCAATACGGAACTGACACCATTACTCTTGGCTCTGTTCCGTAAAAACAAGGAAGCGACCGAGTCGCTGTTGAGACGAGGCGCGGATCCGAACTTGGCCGGTACGGACGGCGCGACTGCTTTGCACATTATTAGTACGGATTGCAAAAGCTATAAAATAGTGGACATGCTTTTCAAGATCAACGACGAATTGAATCGGCAGGTGCACATCGAAGCTCGGGACAAGTTTGGCGATGCGCCATTGCACTCGGCTATGAAATGCGGCAACATACAGGTGGCCGAATTACTATTGAGAAGGGGCGCCAATCCGAATTTGGCCAATAGAGATGGATCGACGACTCTGCACGATATTTGCCGAAGAATCGGACAGGATAACGACACGGCGGTGAAGAGGTTCTTCGAGATCAACGACGAATTGAATCAGCGGGTGCACATCGAAGCTCGGGACAAGTTTGGCGATGCGCCGTTGCACTCGGCTATGAAATGCGGCAACATACAGGTGGCCGAATTACTATTGAGAAGGGGCGCCAATCCGAATTTGGCCAATAGAGATGGATCGACGGCTCTGCACGATATTTGCCGAAGAATCGGACAGGATAACGACACGGCGGTGAAGAGGTTCTTCGAGATCAACGACGAATTGAATCAGCGGGTGCACATCGATGCTCGGGACCAATTTGGCAATACGCCACTGCACTTGGCTTTGAGATGCGGCAACGATAAGGTGGCCGAATTACTATTGAGAAGGAGCATAGATCCGAATTCGGCCAATAGAGATGGATCGACGGCTCTGCACGTTATTTGCAGCAGAAGCAACGGCGACTGGATAGTAACGTTCTTCGAGATCAACGACGAATTGAATCAGCGGGTGTGCATCGACGCTCGGAACGAGTCCGGTAACACGCCTTTGCACTTGGCACTGGCCCGTAGCCATCGGATTGCAATCAAAGCGCTGTTGAGGCGAGGCGCCGACTCGAGTTTGACCGATGCCGAGGGTTCGAAGTCTCTGCACATTATCAGTAAGAAAAGCCACGGCTGCTGCATTTTGGGGATATTTTTCGATATCAGCGACGAACTGAATCAGCTGGTTCGACTGGACGAGCTCGACCGGTCGGGTCATACAGCGCTACACTGGGCTGTGATTAATGACAACAGATCGGTGATTCGACTTCTACTGGCAAGAGGCGCCGATGCAAATTTGCCGAACAACGACGGATCGACCGCTCTGCATTTGATTTGCGACAAGAGCTACGATGGCGGATTAGCAAAGTTATTTTTCGAGGCCAACGACAATGTCCATCAGGCGGTGCAGGTCGATGCCTCGGACAAGTTCGGCCGTACACCGCTGCGATTGGCCGCAGCGAGTCTTTTTCCGGATGTCCTCGAGGTACTCTTGGAACGTGGCGCCGATTTGTCCAACTTCGTTTTTCCCACCGAAGATTGCTTCAGCGAGAAATCTTTTCCCCTGGATGGTAGCGACGAATTCAAATCGAGGCTAGCTTTTCGCGCTCTCTTGGTCGTCGAGCGTCTCGAAAGAAGAGGATACGAGTTGGACCAAAGCGACGCCCTGACGATAATACAACTATTTACCAAGCATCGATTGTTCAAGAGATCGGTTCACATCGAAGCTGGTTGGCACGACGACGAGGAGTTCGCGAGCAAAGCAAAAGCGTCGATGATCGATCCGAGCCTGTCGCTCCACGACCTGGTCCAGTTACCGGCCGAGGAGTCGGCAAAATCATTCACGTGCGAGCGACTCATCGTGTTGGCGGACTCGGATTATGTCTCGGTGCAAAACAAACCATACCGTGAAACCTGTCTGTATCGTCTCAGCGAGATAATGTTGAGAAGATTTCTACGCCCATGGGGTCTGGATGCCTTCTTGCGACTGACGCACCAACGTTTGCCAATTCTGTGCTGCGACATGATCGTAGAAGAATTGAGTAACGAGGATTTGTTGAAGATTTTCCTGGCTTCTATGGGCATAAACCAGGGTACATTTAATAAATTTAGGGTTTTTTGAATTTTATTGAATTTAAACAAGTTTAATTGTAGAAAAACCATGAGGAACTATTATATCTTGCAGTTTTATATTTGAAAATAATCATCATATGTAACATAAAGGATTTTTACTATGTATAGTTATAATAAAGTATATTCCAATCAGAAACAAAAGAATAAAGAATCAGTAACCTACCATTTCAAGCGAATAATCGTAAACTAACTTTCGTCAACATCATCATTCTTGGAATGTTGGAGAAGTAAAAATTTTAACGCGAAGCTGAGGCCTGGACTTCGAAAGAGGCCAGAGCTCGAATATGCGCTACTACACTGAGAAAAAAATTCACTGATTCAATGAAATCAAATTTAATATTTTATTTACTATTAATTTAATCAAATGATTGATTGAAGCAATGAAACTTTGGTAAAAACAATTAAATATTTTATTGGGTGAAATAAAAAAAGATTATATCAATAAAATTATTTAATAGATTGTATTTAAATTAATAAATTTTTTTTTCTCAGTGTACTGGACTCGCAGGGTCGACCCGAGACAAAGTTTTACAAAGACGACGACGACGATGGAAAATTTCGTCTTTCTAATTTTTTCCCTACATCAGAGCGTATACCATAGCAGCCGCGCTAAGAATCTCTTATTAGGCGAATTTGAAAAATCTTCGACGCGATGCCGGTACGCGAAAAATAATGTCGAACGCGCTGCAGGCTGCAGCACAAATACACATAAACACACGCATAAACACACACACAGCCGAGCGGACGATCTCTGTTAGAATGACATCTTCGACGACGACGACGACGATCATGACACGAAATATAGTAGATATCGAATGATATAGACGACTAGCAGTCGGCAAGTACGATCACGCACTTATCGCTCGTTGCTCCAACAGCAGACGAATAATAACATATCCTTTTGTTATTGTTTCGATCTCAAGTGGCCGGTCCTTTAAAAATCCGCGCGTGTGACGATCGTCGTTTTTGCATATTATATTTGATCGTGACATTTATTACTGTGCAACCGGTGTATTATTTACTCGTTTATCACGATGCCGGGGTGCGCCGCAAACACCAGCAGACGCTTTATAACCTCTACCAAACAATATGCGTGTGTGGTGTGTGTCACTGTCATCATCGCCGCCGCACCGTCTGTTATCGCAGCGGCTTTTGACGTTCGCTGCAGCCTGCCTCTGCACAATTATGTTTATCGAGCGGATCTAGCGTTGTATTAAAGTGCACAAAAAAATTAAAAGCATGTCGTCGTCGTCGGAAAAGTACAGCGAGCAGAGCATCGAGAAGCTGTTCCAGGAACATTCCATACGCGAGATCGAGCAGATACAGAAGAAGATACAGTATGAGAGCGATCGTAAACAAATCGAGCTGCGCACACTTGTCGGGTAAGGTTATTTATTAACACGCTTATATGTGGCTTCTTTCGATGAATTTTGGTAAATGAATGCAATTTTTCATCCAGGGAGAGGTATCGCGACCTGATCCAGGCCGCGGACTCGATCGCCGAGATGAAGCAGACCTCAGAGTGCGTCACCGACAAGATCAGCCGCATACAGCAGACCTTTCAGGAGCTCCAGCAAAAGTACCTGATCGGCTTTAAGATGGACGTCGAGCAGTACGATCCTCACAAGTATGTGTATCGAGATGGTACCAAAATCAATTACTGAGAACTCGTATGATTGTGAATGTCTTTCTAGAGAAACCAGCTCGATATCCGACTCTGTAGTCATTCAGATTAAAATATTAATGGACATTCCAGAGCAGATTTGGTCGGCCATCGACGAGAAGGACTTCCTGGTGGCCACTCAGCTGTTTTTAATAGCGCAACACATCAAGTTCAGCTTGAGCTTCGAGGTCGGTGAACAGGACTTGACCAGCAAGTATCCCATTGTGTTCAAGCAGTGGGGTATCATCAATCAGTTCAAAAATTTGATTCTCACTTGTTGCAACGATGCCTTGCTGTCTGTGGAACTTACTATTCAGGTAGCTTAAAGTTCTTTGACATGTATGTCATATGTGTGTGTGTTATTTAATGTTTACTGTGCACTATTTACAGACTGCCGCTAACTGCCTTGCTGCCTTAGTATTACTAGATGGCCTGAATTCAGCTACACTATTGGATAGGCTTATATCGTTAAGAAGTCAAACTTTGCAATCAATTTTTACATCAGAAAGTGATCTTAGCGTTAAAAGTAGAATAAAACTAGGTTTAACTCTTTTGATAGAAACTATACCACTCATTGCCTGTTGTTTTATATGTAAGTGCATCAAAATTAAATCATTCACGTTAAAGTGTTTATTTAACATTATTGAAAACTATTTTAGATCATAACGATGAAACTAGCGGTCTTGTTTCATTGTCCATAAATGGAATCAAAGATACAGATGCTTATAGCATGTTGTCCAAGCTGGATTTCAACACGGATCTATTGAATACATTTTTGCCAACAATTACAAAAACTCACAAACCATTTGTTCAGCATGAACTGGAAAATCTTGAACTGTCCGAGGTACAAGAGAAAATGGCCAAATGGTTGCAGTGGGTAAAGGATGTAACGAGAACCGAAGTAACCCAGTTACTCAATCTAATCACTTCGATCAAGGGAGTATACAGTATTCGAGAAGAATGTCTTGCTATCAATATTCCTGATAATTGGGAATTCATTTGGGAAATATTTGCTCAACCAAGTATTAATTTCTGGTCAGAATTTTTTCATCCACTCTTGACGGAGAGGGTGAAGCGTATTTTAGATCATAAAATGAACGTTTGCTCGTCGAATTTGAAACAGACCACGTCACAAGTATTGAACGAAGTCTCATCCGGTGACAAATCGGAGGCCGATTTAAGAAAATTCATGTGGAGCGACAAACCCACGAAATTGGATCTCTCTCGTTACAGTCTGCTGAGAATGGGCACCGTGGACACGAAAAGCCCGCTACTCATGAAAGCCAAAGGCTACTCGCCGAACGTGATAAAATTGTGCGACAGATTGGATGCCGACCTCGCGGACGTTCTCAATCATCTGAAGCAGTACCTGTACGAGGTCGAGCAATCGATAGGACTGAAGGACGATCTGCTGGCCGCTGACATCTATCTGTCGGCCAATAAATTCTGCGACCGCGGCGAGATACAGGACTACCTGCAAACCATCAGCAGCAAGCTCGTCGACGACTTCGTGCAGTACGCCAAGAGCAACTACGTCAACGACGAGCCGAGATGTGGCGCTCAAGAGGTCAACGTGCTGGTACTGGCGAGATTCTTGGAGGCCGCGCCGCAGCAGTGCACCAATCTCAAGGAGTGCTTCGCGATCTCGAGATCGGCGGGCATCGCCCTCACGAGCATGAAGTGGCAGGAGATCTACGACAGGCTCGGGGCTGAGAGCACGGCCATGTGGCTGATCTGGGCCAAGTGCTTCGCCAAGCAGGTGGCCAAGCACAGGCAGTCGCGTCTACTGGAGCAGAGCACCGAGAACCTGATGGGCAGCATGATCGTCGCAGAGTGGGAGACGATCAAGATCGAGGAGGAGGCCGAGGAGGGCAAGAAGATCACCTCGGAGATCTCGATACCGTATTATCTGACCTGTCACGTGGACTCGTATCTGTCGGCCGTCAACGCGGATCTCAATAAAATTCTACCCCACACCATACCCAAGTAAGTATACACAAAAGTTAAAATTTTACTAGCAATTCGTTAATCTCTCGTTTTCTCCCTCCAGAGCCGCCAAGAACGAGATGATCAACGCGGTCGCCGGCGAGCTACTCGATTACTTCTCCACCCTGGCCAGCAACGAGTCGGTCAAGGTGCGCCAGCGCCAGGCCATACAGATACTGTTCGACGTCAAGTACGCGACGCTGCTCATGGTGCCGCGCGAGAACAAGCCCCTCACGGAAAAATCGGCCAAGATCTGCGCGAGCTTCGTCGCCAAGATCGATCCGTTCGACTTCGACGTCTTCATACCGTTCATCAACGCGAACGTCAAGAAGGCGGTGCAGAGATCGCTGGTGAGCTATTCGTAAAACGATTTATTATAATACTGGAAATAAATTCATTTTTCTCTTTCTCGATTCGACAGATGACGTATGGAAACCTCGTGCCGCACATGGAGCAGTTGCACTCGATTCTGGGCGCGCGAATCGATCATTCGGACGGGCAGCAGCAGCAGCAGAACCAACAGCAGCAGAGGAGCGATCCACCGAAAATAATAGATTTTGTCAAGGACGTGCCGTACTTTCCGCTGCTGCCCATCGCCAAACCGACGACCAAAGAGACAGCCGCTAGCGGTGCCGCTGGTACTACTGCCGGCGCTGGTAGTGCCTCTGTCGCCGCTGGCCAATCGACGTCCGACAATACCCAGGTACTCGTATACGGATTAGTTGCATCGCGATAACGACGAAAAAATAATAATCGACGTGAGCACGTCTCTATACCATGTTATATTCATCACCATTTTCGTATACTTGTGTGTCAGATGGAATTGTTATTTTCGTCCTTTTAAAGAGAAAAGAGAGACCGAGCTGTCGTTGTTGTCTCGCTTTTTTTTCTACATCGGGTAAGATTCGAGAGCTGGTGTATTGTGACGTGTATTGTGCTCCTAACCGATTTTTCGTTTTGCCGCATGACGTTTTTTTTTCTCTCACTCATCCCCTCATTGACAGCATAGAAAAATAAAATAACGATCGCTCGATATATCGATGAACAAGAGTGTTTATGGCTTATTTTTTTGCAGCAGAAGAGAAGAGCAGCGGCCGTCAAGGAGCACTCGCGCAACGACTCGACCGGCTCGAGCATCAAATCCGGCGCTGCGGCATTTTTCGCCATGGGAAGCGACTGGTTCAGCGGCGGCGGCTCGTCCAGCTAGTTTTTTTTTATTTCATCTATCATAAGGTACAAAAAAAGAAAAAAAAGAAAAGAAACGATGGAGGATTGTGTACATATAGGAGGAATAAAAGAATACGAATTTTATGAAAATTTTTATTCTATCAAATCCGAGTATTTTCATTCATTTCGAGACAACCACCCCCGTCACATGGTCGAGCTGAAGGTATCCAAAAAACTGATCGGACACTCGGCGTTGAAGGGCGCGCAATCTCCGGCGTGCTCGGCCGCCTCCAGTTCAGCGCCGTTTTCCAAATCCTCTTTCAGCGTGGTCGACGGTCTGCGCAACAAAACAAACAAACAAACAAACAAAAATAAAAAGCAAACAAAGAAAAAAAAGAGAAGAAAAATTGAACGAAACGGGAAAATAATTCGTCGATTTTTTTCCCCCGATTATATCGCGGGGGGGTCTCGTTTACTCTCAAAAAATTGTTAATTGCAAAATAACCACTCGGGCCGAAAATGATTTATTTTGCTTTTATACCTAGGTACGAGTGAAATAGAGAAAGAGAGAGAGAGAACATCAAAAGAGACCCAGCGAGGCAGCTGCTCTCTGTATAAATTCGATATTCTTTTGCCGTCGCTCGCGTACATTTGGCGCACAGAAAAAAAAACATACATATATCTACGTATGCGATTGCGGAACGGATAATTTTTTTTCCAGTTCTCTCTCTCGAACCCACCCACGTACGCGCGTACACACGATTCGAGCGCCTGTCCGTGTGTATAGATATCCTTTTTTTCCATCTGTTTTTTTGTTATACTGTCCAACCCTTTGCTTGCGCCCGAGTGGCACGTATATAATATGTTCCCAACTATTTTACCCTCGGATCCTCGCTCCCTTTTCCGATCTCTCTCTCTCCCTCTCTATCTATATACAGCATGCCGAAGTTTGAAATTTCTTCGTCGTCCTCCTCCTCCTACTCCTCTCAATCTCCCGCTGTAGTGTTTAAACAGCGCAGCGGGCACTGCACAGCTCGGCCCGTGTTTTAGTTCGATGAGTGTGGCCCGCGCTCGGGTGTATCTTGAAAAATTTTTCCTTCGCGATTCTCGATCTACTCCTCTCTTTCTACCTCCCCCGCTTGAGTGTGTATACACTGTTTGCTGCCCCCGCCGAAGTTTATATACGAGAGGACATAAGCAACAAATTGTTGTCGTTCCTGCCGCTGCCTCTCGAGAGACTTTCGAGAGTCGAGTTTTATTTATTTTAATTTAACGGTGTACCGCTCGCGTATCGCAACCTCGCGTGTACACACATGCTATACTACCGGCGCGCTTTATTTTTAATAAAAAAGAAAATATATATAAAAAAAACGACCCTGGAAAAATTATATTATGATGTCGGTAATAAAGCGGTTGCGGGACGCGCTCGACTTTCGAGCTTGCGAGTATATACGACACGCGCGAGAAGGTAAACTTTATCCCCTTAGCTCTTTTACGACGGATGAGTTTCCGCACATATTTTTTTTTACTTGCTTACTTTTATTTTTCTATATTGCATATAATACGATGTTATATACCTGAAGGCAATTCGTAGCAAGTCGCCGAGCAATCCATTACGATGAAAGGGATAGGTCGCGGCCTCGCACACGGTGCGTAGCAGACAGGCCGTCCCGTTGTATCCTGAACTGCTGAAACAAACGATCGAAGAAATAAAGTAAAGGGGGGAAACTGTAATTCGTATTCGTTCGTTTTGTCGATTTTACAATATATATATAATATATAAACTGCTTCTGCCTGCTGACCTCTCGAGTTTGTTCTGCAATAGGCGATAGAATAGACGCCTGTCGATGGCCTCTCGTTTCTTCCTGCCTATCTGCTCTTGCTGCTGCTGCTGAAGCAATATAGAGGCCGCGTCGTCGACGAGAGTGGCGTTGAACGGCGGCATCAGATAGTTGGCCTCGAAGTAAAACGACAGGGAGACCGATTTGTCCGGCACGTCGATTGGTATTGCCACGGCGAAGAATATCTGCGTCCGATCGTATACCGGACGTTTCATCGTATGGACTCGATTTTTTTTTTTTGTAACGAATAATGATGTAAAATCGTATCTTACCCCCATACCGCTGCCCTCGGGGAATCCCAGCGAGCGGATGTGTCGGCGCACACCGCTGGCCAATTTGCTGCTACTGCTGGCATCGTTCTGTTCTGCGGCCACCGAGGAGCAGGCCCAAAGCCAACAGCAACAACAACAGCAGTTGCACAGCAAGAGAAACCAAGGCGACGTGGATTTACTCTTGCTTTTACTGCGGACACAATCGCACGTTTCGCTTTTATTCATTTATTTATTTATTATACGTTCGTAAAAAAGAGCAAAAAAGTTGAAGTAGATCTTATGTACACGAGCGTAATATAACATTTATGTAAGGCCTCTTTGCTTTTTCCTCTCTCTCTCTCAGCTCGAAGAAAATGTTTAATATAAAATAAAAAAAAAAAGAAAACAAACAGGCGAGTAAAAGTTACGGGCGAGCGACAAAAAAGTTTTTTAGTCTAACTCTCTCGCCCTCCTCTTGGCTCGGCTCTCGATGTAGGTCGAAATAAAAAGCGTACAAAAAGCACAAGCGAATTTTCGATTTTTCGTAAATGTGTTAGCTGCACACACACACACAGAGCTTACTGCATGATTGCGCTAAATATATACGTCGTTCGCCTCGTTTCGTCGATGATTTAGCGAGAGAAATCTACGACGCGTGTGCAAATTTGTAATAAAACAAAAAAAAAAACAGAGTCGAATAAATGAAATTACGTACACGATTCGCTTCGCGTTCGTTACATCGTATATACATACGGGGCACACGCGGCACCCGAAGCTCGCAAGGCAAGTACGTATACACGAGCGAAGACGCACAAACTTAATTAAAGCTCCTCGCGCTGCTGCTGCTTCCGCTGCTGGATGGATGGAGTGGATAGGCGCGTTTATATAATACACAAACACACATACGCGCGTACAAGCGCAAGAACAGACCAGCGCAGGCAGGCATATAAACTTTCGTGGTGTACATACCACCTTTTCAGAACGCAGCCATCCTCCCCCAACCCCCGCCTGTATATGTGTATATGTGCGCGCGGCGCAACTTATAATGGCACACGGCGCGCGGAGCTCCGGCTACATTATATGATACACATAAAGTTGGACTATTTCGATTAAGTAATGCACTTACGCGGCGGCCTGCATCGTGTGCTCGCTCTCGACTCGGCTTTTGCTATAGAGACTCGTACACGGCAGCTTTCTGCCTTTCGCGCGCGCTTACGCTCCACGGACCGAGAGCGCCAAACGAGGTAAGTTAGCTAATTTAGTGAAAAAAAAAAATGAAGAAGAAGAAGAAGAAGGGAGAGAGACAAAAAAAAATAGACAACAACGACAACTATGCCTCGCGCTATACCACCTACGTGTGTATGTAGATACAAAAGACCATACGGGACAACAGCAGCAGCAAAAAAAAAAATACGGAGCCTGCATTGTTGCTGCTCCACGCCGCGCCGTTACCGAACGCGAAAGTGCAAACTCGTATAGAGCTCGTTATTGTACCTCTGATAATTAGCTCTACGCTGCCGCTGCTGCTGCTGCTGTTCTGGCGACGACGAAAACGACGTCGTACTATACCCATATATCTATGGTGTATACACACGAGTTGGTGGTGCACAGGACTAGTTTTCCTACGACGATATAACGCACGCGCTCGCCGCTTCTGCAAAAGGGTGTACGACGGTATTTATAATGTGCAAGCTTGCACGATACACATTTTACAACGCGCGATATATATATCGACGCTGTTAAGGAAGACTAGCACGTTTACATTTAAAAATGTATAGAAACGTGCTACTCTTCCTTAACAGCGTCGATATAATATATAAATATGTGCTTGCTTCTCTCTGCAGCAACAGCAGCAGCAGCAGCGCGACGGTAAACGCGCTTATCGTCCTGGCGGCCAGATGTCGCTGCAGGGGCCTCCGTACGTATAGTAGGTATATCTGCCGCTACTGGATGAAAGCTCGCACGAAAGCTCCGCTGCAGCCCCGCCCATGTGATTTAAACGCGCTGCTGCTGCTCCACGGTGAGGAGCTGTGCACAGGACGAGATATATAACGCACGTATATGTATACGTTACGTATGTATGCAGGACTTGTGCCGCGCGCGCGCATACACACACGCGCGAAATCTCGCGAAGTCATTCGTGTGCTTGAGATTCGAGAGAGTATAATAAGTATATGTATGACGGACGAGAAATTCGTCACTCGGTCGCGTGGGTGGAGCTTTTTTTTGCCGCTGCTGCCGTTGTTGTTGCTGTTGTCGTTGCTGTCGTTGTAAACGATCCTGGCGCGCGATTAACATTTTTATACGTATTTTTTTTCTTTTTTTTTGGGTTGTTTTCTTTTTTCTCGTTTTTTTTTTTTTTTTTTTTTTGGCAGCTCCAACGATGTATACACGGCGCAATGAACACCCGCTATACGTATATACGGCCGCAGTTTATATACAGACACGGACGAAACGAGAAGGAAAGAGAGAGAGAGAGATAGAAGCGCAGTTTAATCTTATTGCTGAGCACGCGCTCGCTCACCGTTAATGGCAATTTTTCTTGCCAACCACGTACTACACGCGACTAACACACACACACACACACATACATACATACACACCTATAGATATATATAATATAAGTAGCTTTTCGAGCGTAGCAGCGCAGCGCACTGGTACACATCTCTCTCTCACGCGCCCACGCCCTTTTCCCATGCAGTGCAGCAGCAGCGGCAGCAGCAGTGGTGCAGGATCGCGCGGCTGCAACGTCGACCCGTTCGACTCCAACATCCTTTTACTCTTTTTCTTTCTCTCCTTCTCTTTATTCGTGAAATAAGCCCCCCGAAAATCTTTTCGTTTTCACAAAAATTTGCTCCGTGTATATCATGTGACACTGCTATATGGACAAGACCGACATGTACAGCGAGCGAAGAAAAAAGCTGATTTTGGCCTTCCCCTCAAAAATTCAATCCGCGGCCAGGATTAACACTCTCTCTCGCCGTATACACACACACACACAAGCACGCATTTATCGGCGTGGCCAATGACGATACACGTATATACATACCTCCGAAAAGCCGCATTTATGCATACACACGCGCGCGCGCGCGACACGGCCGAAGATGAATATTTGGGGAAAATCGAGCGCGCGCATACCAACGCTATTGTATATGGTACACGCATCGTGTCTATCCATCTGTGTCCATGTGTGTGTAGTATATTTGCTCAATAACCCACGTTCGATTGCTTTTTGCGGTCAACTGCGGGAATGTGCGAAGCTATATAGTACGCGCGTCGATCAAGGACGACGAAATTGCCAAAAAAAGGGGGGGGCAGAAAAAATCAAAGGAGACGACGATGATTAAAATTTAATTATTTGCTTCTACTACATCGTTATTCCAGCGTGCAAAGTATAATAACAATAAGGCCTATGTATACTTAATAGCGTTTATATTTCGCTCGAATTGGTGGTCTGGAAAACCAATATAATGATCCGAGAAGAGAAACTCGGCTCGCGAAGCTTAATTCGAATTCTCAAAAGACGTGTACACGCGCTTATATATAATAGCCTCGAGCAATTAAATCCGATTGTCCCTCTACCTGTATCCTATCCAGTGTCTGTCTACGTAGATACGTATACTTTATAATCAACGATAGGTATATGTATGTATGTGTACGGCGTGCGTGTGACGTGCACAATACAAGTTTGTACAGAAACACGGCGAGAGCGAGAGATAGGGCACTACTACTATGCTATATACCGAAGATGGCTTAGGCCATACCAGCACTACTACTACTACTACTACTACTACTACTACAACGAGACTTTTAGCTCGAGGCGTTGGCTTCGTTAGCTTTGCAGGGCGGCGGCGGCGGCGCGCCCGAATCAGTTAGATAAACTTTCTCTCTCTTACCCTGTGCTCGGCTGTGAAGGACGACAAGAGAGAGAGAAACGACGAGACGGGCCTCGAGACCTTTTTCCTGCTGCAAGCTCGCTAGATGTACGTTATATATAAATATAACAAAGGTGCACAATTGAGACCGAGCTTTCAGCAGCCTATATACATATACAGAGCCGCGCTACTACCACTCAACAACGTGTCGTTTATGCATACATAACCTACTATGCTATATATATACTATATCGTACCGGGGGGTGGTTAGGGGCACGGAGCTTGCACAGAGAGAGCGAGCGCGGAAAAATTAACGAATGAAAATTATACATGCAGTCGCGCGCGCGCGCGAGCAAACTCGAGTGTATATCCGCGAAAAGAGAGAGAGAGGTGTATATATAAATTATAATTACAAGAACGTATAATACACAAAGGCTGTGCTCTATATGTGTGTGTGTGTGAGCTTGCAAGCTCTACGCCGTCGGTGCAACGGTGGTGATTAAAAACTTTTCAAGCCTCGCAGCAGCGGCAGCAGCAGCTCGTACAACTATATAACGCGCGGTAGCTTGTAGCTACTTCAAAAGGCGAGCGCGCGCGTTACTACTCACTCGTGCCCTGCGACTCAGTCGTCGTCGACGGCGAGAGAGAGAGAGAGAGAGTGTAGTCGTGCGTGTAATACGTATATAAATTTTTTTTATTTTATTAATGTAAAGCGCGATACATGTGTGGCAGCACACATACGCGTATGTGCAGTGCGCGAGCGGCACAAATGTAGCGTATATAATAGCGTATAAGGTAATTATTCATTCTATCAACTCTCGAAAATGCGCATCGTCGCGCGCGCTCTGTTTATCTCTCTGTGTTATTATATACATATATAATACGTTGATGATGAAAGCTCAAGCTGCAGCTGTAGCGGATTTGAACGCAATCGCGTATATGGGGAGGGCCTTTTGCAGCTTCGCAACGGAAAAAGAAATGCGCTTTTTTTTTTTTTTAATAAAATAAAAATAGCTAGGCAGCAGCGGCAGCATCTCTTTGAGCTTTTCTTCCCTATTTACACACACACACACAAATCCATTGAAATACAAATCCAACTGGGCGCGAGCGAGCGGATACAGAGAAAGAGGCGCGCAGCGCGAACCTCGGCTGATTTGAGATTTTACTCCCATGCGCGCTCACGTATATAGATGCTTTATATGTGTATACGTTAGGCACGTGCGTGTTTTAGCATGTACTATACTACTACTGCAGCGGGGGCCGCCGCCGCGCGCAAAAAGGGAAGATAGAGACAGGCGGACAGGCCAGACAGACGAAGAGAAACTATCTCTCTCGTTGCTGCTGCTATAGTGTACGTGTGTGTGTGTGCTGGCTGCAGTATAAAACGGAGAATTGATCAGGTTCTGCGCGCGGATAGCTCCGGAGAGAGAGAAGAGAAGAGAGAAGAGAAGAGCAGCGGTGGTGGTATAGCGGCAGCAGCCAATGTAAAGAGGATTTTTCAATCGGCCAGATGGGATGAATTTTCCCTTTCCGCGCGCGCGCCCGCGCATACGTACCGTATTATATAGAGAGCCAAGCGCGCAAAAAAGGAAAGATATAGATAGATATAGAGAGGAAGAGAGAGAGGGATAGAAACAATTCGGCGTCTGACCGGCTTTTAACGAGAGACGTGCCTTTGGGGCCGCTGCGGGATTGGAACTCGACCTTCCTTTTTAATTCTCTCTCAATCTTTTTTTTATAACTACTTTTTGAGCACCGCATAATCCTCGACGTTTTTCTCTTCTCCTCGGCCGCGATAATTAAAAAATATCTAATTTAACTGCGGACCGCTGCGCACGCATGGCTGCTCCGTCGTGGTGGTTCTCGACGATCGCCGTCGTCCTCTCGATCGTCGCCGTCGTCGTCGACTGTCAGAAGCACAGTCTCGAGCGCAGAATTCGCTCGTCGCTGCAGTATCCCGAGGAGAGCGAGATGGGGGTAAGTCAAAAAAGCAATATAGTTACAGCATTTTCATGTTCATACTACTATTATATTCATACTCTTCATTTCATGATGCATTTTTAATAACCGTGCTTTAACTTATACAATTATTTTGACTTAACCACTTGCGGATTTGCCGTTATAGAAGGCACTCGACATCTAGCGGCGAAGGTTGAAAGTCGACATCGCTGCATTCAAAGTATCTGAATTACTGAAAATTTGAAATAGTCATTCTTTATCATTAGGTCATTATTATTGACTATTGAGCATTTCTATCAAACTTTCTTCCATCCATAACTTTCTTTTGTGACTCTTTTTCTTAAGTGCAAAAAAAATATCCGATTATCCTCTGCCTCTCTCCACATCGTTACACGCTATGTATTCCATTCTATACGTAGTTGTAACGAAGCTGGAGCTGTAGGCTTATATATGGTAATGAAGCGCAGTGCAGTGCGGCATCTATATATATAGCTTCCTGCGGTCTATCTATAGGTACGCTTCGAAATAATAGCACAGGTAAAGGCACACACACACACAAGTGCGGCGCGTCGAAAACAAGCCTATGTAGGCGCGGGAATATTTGTTTAAATAGACGCGAGAGCTGCACTCGCCTGTCAAATTGACCAAATTATCCGGAAAATGCACCTGCACCTAACCCCTATTATATACATACGATAGCGATCGATAAAATAATGATATAATTAACGAGCGTTTATCGCAGCTGTTTTTCGCCCTGGCGGTGCCGCTCGACGATCCGGACACGACCAAGGCCATATCGATGGCCCTCTTCTTCGAGGCCAATTACAAGCTGACACCGCCCGAGGAGGAGCATAAAGGAAATCATACGACGACCACGACGGAGAAGAGTTCTACGGAGGAGCCGAAGATACAGGGAGATATCATCGATCGTCGCGGGGTCTATCGAGTGCTTCAATCAAAATTCCAAAAGTCAGTATATACGATATTGAAATGATCTCGGTCGAGTGCATCCATAAATTATTCTCCGATTTTTCGGCCCTTTTCAAAGGAATACATCGAAAAAATCGCATATACATTCTATATCTTTACGTCTGTCTGCGTGTGTATATCGATGCCACGGCGGGCCTTTGAATAATTCATTCGCGTATACGATATATATAAATACCGACGTTTTTATACGCGAGAAAAGAAATGAAAAACAACAACAACAACAACAACGACATCGCGCAAGTTCGTTCAACTCTTTACTCGGTATCATAATACAGCGGCGCGTTGGTTTTACATGTAAATTCACTTAACGAGTTCGCCCGCTGTTACGAGTTGGAGCATAGGTGTGAAATCGTTACGCGATCTCGAGAGGCGTGAAGAAAAAAAAAGAACTTGGATACTTTTTTTTCTCGCGAGATGTACACTCGACACGTGCCGCCGCCGCGACTGCTATATATAATATAAGAGAGATAAACACACTGGAGTCGCGCAGGCGGCTATCCCGGAAGTATACGGAAATTAAAGTCGATGCCCTCTCGCGCGTCGATTGTTTGCCCGTTCGAAGAAAGAGAGAGAGAGAAAGATGGAGCATCGAGTGCGGAAAAAGTACACATAGCAGTACTCGACGAAAGTGTATCGGTTATAACTTTGCTACCGATGATCCATTGATATTGACCTTTGCCGTTTACTTTTTTTTTCTTTACTTTTTTTTCATGTAACCGTAGCTCCGGTTATCCGGGCAAGGAGTGCGTCCTGAGGAGCATCTGCGAGACCACGAGCCTGGGCGAGAGACTGCACGCCGGACACAACGGCCTGCTCGGCGACATCTTGAGGATCACTTTTACGTGAGTGTCGACGATACGTATATGTTAATTCGACTCTCTTTTTAAAGCGGATCTTATTTTTCTTTTTTTCTTTTTATTCTTTAGGCCATCGTCGAGTTCGGACGAGTCCCTGGACGAGGATTACGCGCGGGCGGAGAACTACACGAGGAGCTTAGCCGAGTGCGCCGACACCTACTCGGCCTGTCCGATTTCCATCTACGAGAACATCAGCCTGGACGAAGAAAAACCAGACGACGACAAGGACGAGGAGGAGGAGGAGGAGCGATGACACAAAATTTTTAACCCCGCGCGCCCAAAAGTGAACGTCCAGCCGAATAATAAATGTCTCTCGCGCTGTAGTTTGCGAAAAAGAACAAAAAAAAAGAAAAAAAAGAGAACATCCTTGATGTCGTAACGTCGTATCTTTATTCATCGCGTGGAACGATCCCTTTTGCATAATTTATAAAATATATAGCGGCTGGGCTAGGTCGCGCTGCTGCTCGCCTAGTGCATAATACACTGTAATCCGATTAACAAAATGAAAAAAAAAAAAAAAAAAAAACGAGTCGAAGAGAAAAGACATGTCCTCTGTATAAAACATTTGGACGGCGGGGGGTGGCGAAATAAAATCCAAAAGAGAGTAGTCGGCGAGGCGAGAGAGGCGTACGGACGCGCCCCAAAAATTCGATTCTCGAAAAAAACCTATACTCGTATACCAGAGTATTGTGGAACTATACTATTGTATTTTATTATTATTATGATTTTTTTTGTATTTTACCCCTCGGCATTTTGTCCTCTCTCTCTCTCGCGCGCATGAATTTTCTAAGCTTTCGCCTCGAGTGATAGAGACAGAGAATGAATTTTCCACTCTCCCCCGTTTTTTTCCGTGTGTCGGAATTAATTTTTTAACGCCGTGCCGCGTGCCCATTTTTTTCCTCTCTCTCTCTCGGCTCCACTCGACGACTACTACAACGGACTAGTAGTGCATACAACGACTAAAAATATATGTACTGTATAGAGCTGGCCTGCTCGTGAACGGCCCTTCTGACACACACACATACATACATACACACTTGACATTCTGAAAAATTTATAAAAAAAAAAAAAAATAGAAGAAGGGAAGGACGCAGGAGGGGAGGGGGAGAGCAGAGGGAGAATTAAGTTGAAAAAAAAGAGTGTACTCGCACAACTGGCGCACTACGAGCTCTGACACACTTTAAAGTTAGGGGTAGGCACAACCTAATTTATTGAATAAACAAAATTTGTCGGCTGCATAAAGAGAGAGAGGAAAAGTTTTTTCGTCGTCGCTTCTTTTTTTCGCGCGACCCTGCGGAGCTGAGCACCCAAAATCAGCAGCAGTGGAGCTGATCGATCGAGTTAATATTTGTCTTGGTCGATGATGACTGCGACGATGACGACAACTACGACGAGGACTACCTACCCGCGCGTCGACGAGGATGGATGCGGATGATAATTTCGTTGCCTCTTGCTCGCTCCGCGTTTACACTCGCGGTAATTATTCAAAGTTACATCGGACGTATATATGCAGAGAGAACTGCAGGGCACGGCTGATTTTACGTGTAAACGACGCGACGAATGTAGGTCGCGCATAGGAAGAGGACTGTCGAACTCGGAGTTGATTTTATTTCACGCGTCGACGCGTGTAGGTATTTATTTTATACGTACGATGTATGTAATATATGTACAAAATGTGTGTGTTTGTATGCTGTTACAATAAACAAGATCAAATGAGTTTCGACACGAGGTCGAACAGGCCAATCGGACATCGGAGCTTGTACTTGTCGCAGCTGGCCGGCGATCCGCTGCGCCCCGCGGCCTCGGCTTCGCGGACTCCTTCGGGCAGATCGTCCTCGGGTCTCGATGTCGAAGGTCTGGTGTTCAGAAACAAGAAATAAAAACAACAAATGTAAACGATACTATTGAATAAAAGTAATCCTATGGTAGAGATGCTCAACGTTTTATTCGCGTTTTTTCATAGCTACTTTACGCATATTTATTTAATTTTGAGAATTCTTGCTAATTGAGGACACTTTCGAACGTTATTTTTACTTGAAAGAAACTTGATGGACTTGATGGATTGCGAATTGAGTCTTGGACTTATACAATTATTTTGACTTTGCTACTTGCGAATTTACTAGTCGAAGGTGATCGTCATCTAGTGGCGAAGACTGGAAGCTCTGATTCTATCAGTTAACTGATAGAATCATCGTATTTAAAGTAGTTCGAAACTAAAGAAAATTTTGTTCAGGTAAGTTAATAAGCACTTGATATTTATTTTCAACATAATTGTATAAAAGAAAAATCGCCAAAAGTAAGCCAATGTTGATGTAATTCAAAGTGAAAAGAATCACCTCGCGCGTAGAGATGCTCAACATTTTATTCACATTTTTTCGTTGCTACTTTACGAATATTTATTTGACTTTGAAAATTCTTGCTAATTGTCGATCGAGGATACTGTCGAACTTTATTTTTACTACTCAATCCTCAAATGAATTTGTCAATTCGATTTTAATCACAAAACGAATCTAACCTGCGAATAATTTTATTTCCGACAATCGCATCTGTTTCCACAGGTTGCTTCAAAGTTTAGAAATACATGTTTAAAGGAATGAAGCGATGTATACATCTTTACCCTGTATTACAGAATTTGAATCCGGTAAACCCGAAATGCTCGATCCAACTAAGATGGATTGCGAATTGAGTCTTGGACTTATGTAAAAAGTATGTAGAAACTAAAGAAAATTTTGTTCAGGTAAGTTAATAAGCACTTATGACACTTTGCTACTTGCGGATTTACTAGTCGAAGGTGCTCGCCATCTAGTGGTGAAGACTTGAAGCATCAGCTAACTGATACAATCATCGTATTCAAAGTAGTTCAAAACTAAAGAAAATTTTGTTCAGTTAAGTTAATAAGCACTTGATATTTATTTTCAACACGATTGTATAAAAGAAAAATGTATTTCAAAAGCCATTGTGCAACGTTGAGCACTTCTACCGGTAGCAAAAAGAAAACCATCTCGCGGGCGTTTTCATTTAAAAAAAAATTAAACGATCTCCCTTTACTACACATATAAAGGTACACTCACGTGAATATGACCGTCATAACGTCGCCGACGATGCCGTTATGGTCGAGCGGCTGCTCGGACGTCTCGCAAATCGATCTCAGCAGACAATCGTGTCCTGGGAAGCCGGCCCTGCACGAATATAGATATACAAAGTAAAGATCGCATTATATATAGTGGTATTATACTACAGATATATATAAGCTCGAGGCTTATCAGGAGCAGCGCAGGACTATAGCTCGGTATACATATGTACTACGACGACACTCACCGATCGAGTTTATTGCGAATGACCGTGTAGACGGTCGAGCGATCGATACTCCTTCGAGTGGTAGTTGATTTTCCAGTCGGAGAGGAGGTCGTGGTGGTGGTGGTGGAGGAGGACTCGGTCGTCGTCGTCGTCATCGGGTCTGACTCGGTTGAAGGCGTCGCCGTCGTCGTCATCGTCATCGAGTCTGACTCGGTTGAAGGCGTCATCGTCGTCGTTGTAGAGGACGTCGTCAAGGGCGTCGTGGTAGTTGATGTTGTTGTCGTCGTAGTCGGCGATCGGGCCAGAGCCGTCTTGTTCGGCAGCACGTAATTGGCCTCGAAGAAGTAGGACATGGACACGGTGCTGTAGGGATCCTCGAGCGGCACGGCTATGGCCACGAAGAACTGCAACAAATCAGATTAGAATGAAATAAATTAAAACGTAAATTATTTCATTTATTGTACAATATAATTTTATTATACTCACACCCATGTTGCTGTTGGGCGGATACGGATAGATGCCGTTGATGCACCGGACGTATCCGGCGAAGTTCAGAAGTAGGAGGAAAAAAATCGCCCCGAAAATCGGCAGCATCTTCTCGAGTACAATATTACGAATACAAGACGATGTAGACGCTGTCTCGGCACCTTTGGCACACGCACACGCACCTAAACGCTCTTAATGCCAAATGTCAATATTATACGCGTATGAACCCGTTGCCGTCGAGTCGAGCCCACCGCGTGACTATACACGCGTATATGACACACGATCATACATGTAACACGTCCATTACTCCAAATCAGAGCATACATTACACAGCTCATTCACATACACAAAAAGTCACGCATCATGTTTGTAAAAATCACCCGATTGTCGGTCATCGTCGTAACAATAGCAGCAGCAGTGTCTGGACACCTGGTCTATCCAGACCCCCACGGCAGCGAGACGAAGATGCAGGTGCTGTTTGGCCTCGGGCTGCCCATGGAGGAGGACATCGCCATGACTCTGGGCTACGTGCTCAAGTGCAATTACAACATGCCGACCAACGTCACGACTCTGCACCGTCACGATGAAGTCGATTCCGCTCATTACAGAGGTATGATAAATATTTTTGAGATTATAGATTATATGATAAAAAAAAATATTTTTCGTTAATTGTCATATAGGCTGGTCGGTCTGGCAAGTCTACGAGATCCTGGCCAAGGCCTTCGGCAGGGGCTGCTTGCTCAGGTCGATCTGCGAAGCCGCCGAGTCACCTCTGATCGGCGAAGATCGGACACACGAGCGGCATCGAGACGGTCTTCTCGCCGAGTTGATTCATCTGCTGCTCAGCCCCTCAATCGCGGCGAGCAACAACGACAACAACGGTACAATTGACAACGACGAAACGGAGAAAGATCATCGTCGTGCTTATCTGGCGGCGGAGGCGCAGGGCCGCGAGCGACGCGACTGCCGCGACTATCACGAGGACTGCCCGAGGAGTCCGCTGGATTACTTCACCGAAACAAACGCTTGACGGAAGAGAAATAAAATATTGTTTATCGATGTTGCGAACGCGAGCCAATACTGGATATACGTGAAATACGCAGCAACTTGCCCGCAGCTTCTGCTCGATCTGTTTGTCGGTACGTGTATGTGTGTGTGTGTACGGATCGGCGCGCATTCAAAACTTGAAATTGCCACGGCGAAACTTTTCTATCTCGTTAAACTTGTCGCGAGCAATTTTCATCGTACGCATATATGAACTCGCTTTCCGGGGTTTTTCTCGCGCCCCGCGACGCTCGACGTGCGCCTGAGCGTTGGACACGCGTAATGGAAGAAAATAGTACGGAAAATCGATCCGACTTTGGCGAGAAACGAAGAAAGAAGCCGCGAGTGCATATGTGGATAGGTACATCGTGAAGCGGTCGCGGAAATCTGTAATTGGAAACGACGACAATAATTTGTAATCTCTCTCTCTCTCTCTTTATATGTTGTAGTTGTCACTCGAAATGTTTATAAAAATTTCTATTCAATATCGAAACTAAACTTTTGTTATATAACATTAATAAAGTTATCTTGATTAATACTGTCCTGACAAAGGTAATAATTTATTAATTACCTCAGCAACAAATTTTCAGAAATAATCAATTGAAAAGTTTTGAAGTAAGAATCTTGTGTATACAACGAATTATCAGGAAGTGGAATTAATTTTTGAAAGAAATTGTTGAAATCTTACTCCCCTATATCCACTGCTGGGAAAGTAATTGTTTCGATCGTATTTCATCTTTGCGTTCTAATCGCCAGTGTCTATTATTACGATACGATCATTATTATATCGTTTTAAAATGTAGTTTTTAAATCCTAATACGCAATATTTCTTTATATTATAGCGGTGATGGCTAGTCTCGGTGATATATTACCTCGACGAAGAAAGGAACTAAACAATATTAGTTTTCGCTTCTCGATAAATCGTAATTAAAAAGTATCGTGGTCAACGATTCGTACTTAGCATAAAATATCACGTCGAGCCTCTCAATTTGTTTTGTTATTGTACGTACGACATGTTTACATTTTTGCCTTGGTGCTCGACTCGTCTCAAGCACGCGCGACGGGTCAGAAATCTACGCGTAACTTCGAGTCGTTCAGTAGCAATTCGGAAGCCAGTTGGAGCCTATAGTGATTCTCGCGAAAAACAGTGCCAGCGCGTGAAAAAAATGTTAGCCCCGGAAGACCACGACGTCGACAGGCCCAATCCAATGTTACGCGAGGAGGCCGAGCAGCTCATGATTGAGTCCATCGAGAACTCGAACATCGACAATGTTCTTGCCTTGTTCGTCCTCCACTACAAGGACCCGAGGCCCGAGCTCGACGAGGCAGGCCGGCCTCGGCTGCGTCGCAACACCCCTCTGCATCTCGCGGCTCGTCTCGAGATGTCGCCGCGCGCGATCGACCTTCTGTTCAAGATGTACAGCGCGAACTACGTGCACGAGTCGGGCCTGACGCACTTCCACGTGGCCTGCCAATACGGCTTCGAGCAGCAGGTCGAGGCGTTCCTGGACGATCGCCAGGATCCCAATTCTCCCGGACCCGGGGGCAACTCCGCTCTGCACCTCGCCGTTGCCCACTTTCCGGTGATCGAGCTGCTGCTGAAACACGGCGCCCGGCCGAACGTGGTCAACGAAGCGGGATTGATGCCTCTCCAGCTAGCCACGGACCAGCTCCATCCTCTGACCGTCGAGGCGCTCTTGAAGAAACACGTCGATCACCCCCCCGGCTTCGTTTTCCCGATCGAGGCCTACCTCCGGCACGTGGAACGCTTCGAGCAGGCCGAATTTCTGACCACGTTCAGGGCCCTGAAACTCATCGAGGTCGTGGAGACGGGCGAGTACTACCTGAATCTGGAGGACGCCGGCCGGATCGTGCGAGCCTTCGTGGACACGAGAGTGTTAGAGATCACGGCGCAGCGAGAAGAGCAACTGGAGGTTCAGACCGAGCAGGGTCAGATCTTGAGCCCGAATCTCACGCTTCAGAACGTGCTCGACATGCCCAACTACGAATCGAAACTGGCGGCGGTGGAGGAGTGCTTCCCGAAATTGGAGCTGGGTAATTGGAGGCACGACGAGCTCGTGCCGGCGTACGAACGCTCGCCCATCACGCGCGTCTGCTACGCGGCCGCGAGGATACTGTTCCGGCGTTGGACGGCGAGGGTCTTGTTCTGGTTCGTTCACGCGCGGCTCCCCGTCGAGGTCTGCTATCTGATCGGCAGGTACCTCTCGAACCAGGACATGTTGAACTTGTTCACGGTGTCGGGGCTGTAAATGATGTGTACCAGAAAAGAGAGCCCGTGGTCTGATAATTTTAATAAAAATTGCACACTTATACGTAATCGTCCCAAGTTCGAAGCTTGGTACGAAATTCAATTTACACTCGGCGTGTATAAAATTCATGGAAATGAAGAACAAAACTAAACTTTGTTCTTTTATTGTAATGTCGATAAAGATACATAATATTGTATGTAACGCTACCTTTATATCTTGACAAAATAAATTTTAATTGTAAATAATCGATCCGAGAAGTTTTCATTTATCAACAAAGTTACAGCATAAATGAGTATCTTGTACTCGATGTATTGATGCCGATTCTAAGCTGTGAAACAAACATCGAGTAGTTATGAACAATCGTAAAAACTCTTTAACGAAGTACCTGATTAAATATCTTTTCGAGTAATCGATCATTTCGGCTCATATACATGTGTATGACGGGCTTTCACACACTCGTACACAAGGACTCGTCCAATTCAATATATTACGTTTACGTGTATGCACTCGGCATATGCGGTAGCCGGAGCAATCGGCACGCGGGGGCCTGTAGCATAGGCCTTTGTCGATTATACACGGCTGTCGCGCGCGCGGCCAGAGAGAGCCACCACCCACGCGATCGATAAGCAATTATATTGTGTTGAAATTCACGAGCTCATCATCATTTATGCCCGTTGGCGTATCGACTATGTGTGTATGTATGTGTGTGTGTGTGTACAGTAGCCATGTGCTGTATACGTGACACACACACATACATACAGAAACGTCGCTCGCGCTTATAATAGATTTCGATTTTCAAAAGGGACGAAAAACAACAACAGTAGCTCTGCAGCGGCGGCTGTATAACGACCGGTAAAGGGGTATAATTATCGAGCTTCAAGTTGCAGAAGCTTCCTAATGACGACTCGACAACTTCTTTTTCTTTTATTTTTTTCCTCATCTTCTTCTCTCTCTCTGTTCTCGTTTCGATTAGCCGCGCGCCCGGCTCCGAGTCTTATTTTTCTGGCCAGAGGCTTTCCTTTCCTTTCCTCTGCGCTCGCTTCTCTTTTTCTTTCTCCATCTATCTATCTGCGGCGGCTGCTGCTGCATCGATGGAGCGTTAACTAAGCCGCTTTTGTGTGTGTGTGTGTCGTTGTTGCCTGGGAATTCAAAAAAAAAAAGAATGCGATCCTCGCCACCACCGCTGCTTCTGGTCTTTTTCTCGGTCGGACTATCGCAAAGCCATTTGGTATATCCACCGCCGACCGATGTCACACCCACCAAAGTACAGGTAAGCCACTATACGTCACTGCGACTGACTAATTGTCCGATTATCGGCACGAATAGTCAGTCACCTGAATTCAATTTATTTTTTTTTCTCCAGCTGATCTTCGGCCTGGGCATACCGATGGAGATCGAGGCCAGCACCATCGTCGGCTACGTCCTGAAGGCCAACTACAATCTGCCCTACAACTCCACGGTACTGACCGAACCCTACGTGCGATACCAGAAGCGATCGATCGAAAGATCGACGTCCGCGACGTCTCGATACGACCTGTACAGAATGCTGGAGCAAGCCAAGCTGGGCAAGGCCTGCCTGCTGCGCTGCATCTGCGAGCTGGCGGCTACGCCCCTGCGCGATCGCCGATCCTCGATACTCGCCCAGCTCGTTCACGTACTGTTCACGTGAGTATATATATCGATAATAATGTATCCCCCAATTAATCGCAAAACTAATCGTCCTCGACTCGATGAAATAAAATATTTCCTTGTCTCTCACTCTATATCTATCTGCGGTGGTGGTTGAGCGATTGATTGATTTCCTATCTCTCTCTCTCTCTCTCTCTCTCGTCGCAATATTGCAAAGTCTCTGCTGCTGCGCCGAGCTCGATTGAATATTCAATCGAGCCAATCATCATCATCGACGTATCATACATATACATATACACGATGTGTGCGTATCGATTGACAGGCCGTCGAGCACGCGAGACGACGACTCCGCAGAAGCGGACGATTGGATCGAGTGGTCGGACCAGGAGTATCACGCGGCCGAGCTTTTGGGTCGGCGTCATAGAGGCACGGCGGACGTTTGCAGTCGTAACTTCGCCGAGTGCCAAATCAGCATCTTGTCGTACTTCACCGACTATTATCGGGACCATTACGACGACGTAGAGGAGGAGCAGCAGCGCCAAGAGATTTCTGATTAATGATCATCGCTCTCCGTGTATTAAGTTACCCAGAGAGTCGAGTTCGACTGCGCGGAAACTTTGACTCTCTGTGTGTGGGTGGGTGATGTATGCAAAACCGAACATCGAACGTACGTATACGTGCGTTGCTGCGTCGACGTTATACGGCAGATCTTATTATTGTCGTGCATATATAATATGTCAGCGATATAGTATATGCGCGGCAAACCACCGACGTATGCGTTATCGTTACTTTTTTTTTTTTATTATAACGGGATAGATCGTTTGTACGATATTTGCGGTTGTGCGAAGTTTGTGAAATAAACTTTATGCGCATATCTATTTGTTTTATTCCAACTACGACGCCGAGAGCTTTGATTGTTTTTTTTATCCTATTCTCATTCGACTGTATACCTACCTTCTACTATGCTGATATGCGCCTGTTTGCTGGAAGTATTAAAAAGAAGAGATGTAGAGAGGGAAAAAAGTCAATCCCATTGATACTTTCACCTACTTCCTCCTCCTCCTTCTCTTTTTTCTTTCTCGCCACACGAATCGCGGAGAATAATATTTGAAAATCGCGACTCTGCGGTAATGAGAAGAGCCATCGTCGCGAGTGAGAAAGACAATGAGCCGTTATACAAACGTCTATCAGCCTCTCTGAAAGGCCCGAAATTCGTTCTGTATAAGCGAGCGATTGTTGCGCGCGAGCCATGGCCGCGTCCAAGTCGTTTTTTCTGCTGTTCTCGCTGCTGTACTGTGGCCGTTGGATCGTGGCAGAGGTGTCGAGCCTCGATCACCCTGTGGAGAAACGCAGCGTCGGTCTCACGTATCCCGCGCCACCGACTCTACTGGTACGTAAGACGAATAATTTTTATCGCTCAAAAGTCATTAGCACCCTAAGTTGGTTTCACTTTGTCAACTTATACATGGGTATGAAGGGTAATTAATACTAAAACTTTGCTTTTTCACTTTGGGGTTCTGGAAATTCGGCCGTGCGCCATCTAGCGGTGGCTCGCTAACGAACCGATGCGAGCGCGTGTCCTACGCTTGCGAAAGTAAACTGTTCGTGCCCGAGACTTTGCTTTTTCTCCTTTGACACCCAGCGGTTCAACTCGTGCAAATGCAACTGCGTTTCTAAGAAAAAAGCGCTTGAAAATGTTTTACGGCTAGCTTTACGTATAATAAATCGACAGCCACGCCCCGAATCATCGGTGCTCGCGCATATAATAGTATTACCCTCTATCTTCCTCATTTTCTTCACTTACAAAATTCAAAATGCGTACAACCTAATCCAACGATATCCTTTTCTATATATATTCGTGCTCAGCTGATCTTCGGCCTGGGCACCCCCCTGCAACTGGAGCGCGAGGCCACGATCGTCGGCGCGTTCGCCAAGTTCATCTACAATCTGCCGATCGACGCGAGCAATTACACGAGGCCCTTTGATCAGCAGCCAAAGACCAGAAGCCGCTGGGCCCTGTACCGTGCGCTGGGCCAGCTGCTGGAGCTGCGCGGACTGCCCGAGGGCCGTGCCTGCGTGCTGCGCAGCATCTGCGAGGCGGCCCACGGACCGTTCGCCCGGGCGGCCGGCGGACTGCTCCAGCCCCTGCTTCAGACCCTGCTCACGTAAGGATTGTTATGGGATATATATGCGTATAAGCGAAGATGCGGAGAGACAGAGAGAAATAGCATGTGTATATGAGAGAACGAGGAAGAGGAACAGAGAGAGAGGAAGAGAGAGGAAGCTGTGTTGTAGCCGAGCCACGCCACGGAGTATCGATTGCCGGTACGCGCCGGCGCCCTCCGAGACTGGTGCTTGCAGCCTCTCTCTCTCTCTCTGCTGCTGCTGCTACATTAGTGTGTGTTGCCGCCGCAGCGTCGCGATCCTCTCCGCGTATAAATACACGCACACACACACAGGCACACCATACGAGGCGTCAGCAGCAGCAGCAGTTGGCTTCTCCCTTTTTTTTTGCCGACTCTCTGTATCTCTTCCTCTCTCTATATCGTATTTATGCGCTATACATAATGACAAAAAAAAAAAAAAGAAAATAAATGCATTCACCCACGCACTACAACTACTACTACTACTACTAGTTTCTTCTTATATGTAATGTATGTGTACTTCCAGACCGTCGAGCACGATCAACGAGCCGTACGACGTGCACGAGGACCGCGACTACGTCGAAGCCGAGGCGCTGGGACGAGGCCAGGCTGCTGCTGCTACAGCTGCAGCGGCGCAGGAAGCTGCTGCTGCTGCTGCGGCGGCCGACGCCCGCTGCCACGCCCTCTACCCTCGCTGTCCTGTCAGTATCCTCGACGCGTTCACCGCCGTCGTGGCGCAAAAGCCAGAACGACATCGGCGTAGACCGACTGCACCCGAGGATGATGACTTGAATGGCAATTACAACAACAACAACAGTAGTAGTAGTAATACTAACAACGACTCCAACGTTGATTATGCCAGCAGCAGCAGCCCACCAGGGGATACTATCGCCACCGACGCCGCCACGACGACGATTCCTTTTCTCGAATTTTAATGGCTATTCCGGGGGCTGTTGCTATAGGTGTATATACAGTATAGTAAGTAGTAACACGTCCCACGAGCTGAGCTGCTGCTTCTGCTGCTGCCTGCCATCGTTGAGAGAGAGATCTTATGTACACTTAGACTTGCAGCTAGGCTTGTTTCTTTGGCAGCAGACTCCTCGAAGAAGAAAGGCTCTCGTATAGGTGTGTGTGTGTGTGTATACGTAAAGGTTTTATTGCATTACTCGCGCGTGCAGCGGCACACCGTGTGCACGTGTAATTACAGCAGCGGCAGCAGTAACGGCTATAAAGCTGCTTTGTAAATACATATAGTTTTTTTTTATAGGATTACAAATAAAGTACGCAAAAAAAAAGAGAGAAAATAAAGAAAAAGAACGAGAATGAAACAAAAAAAGAAACCCATTAATTCTCGCTTCCCTTATTACCCCACTTTTTTTTTCATATTATTTGTTATTGTCTTAACGTAAGTATAATGTATAAACATACTAAAAAAATGTAAACCCGAAAACCTCCTGACTTGGATTATAATATAAATTAGGGCCGGTTCGCAGTTTATAAGGAAAATATAATGAGCCGCGGTGGTAGTGGCCAGGCCACTCCTGCCACGTCTGACTGCACAACTACTATACCACTTGGTTTTACTACTAATAATGCTGGCTGATGCTGCTGCTGCTCGTGGGCCGCGGCAATGAGCTTTCTTTCATTCTCTCTCTCTCTCTCGTCGAATCACTTATCACTCGCTTCAGTAGCGCAATTACCCGAAAATTAAGTGGAGGGCTTTATAAGCTGAGCAGCGGCAGCTCGTCTCTCTCTCTCTCTCTCTCTCTCTGCGACTATAGGTGTGTGTGCGTATGCGTGTGTACCAAGCGGCTTGCGCTTTTGCGCTCGCTTTATACTGCTATATAGTGAACGCAGCAGCAGGGAAACGAGGAAAAGGGGGTTGGAGGTGGAGAGAACATCGGAGGGAGCAGCGGCAGCAGCAGAGAGGCGCATTGTTAGCTGCCGTTTGCCAGTGTTATCGGCGCGCAGCGGCATGGCCTGTTAAACATGCACCCACACACACATACATATATGGAGTAGGTGTGTATGCGTTACTGCAGAGATGCTAGAGAAGTAGGTGAAGTATAGCAAGTAGACCTTATAAACGTGTATAAGGTATGTGTGCCACACACTCACACACGCACTGTTCGCGTCTATTATTATATCAAGTACGCAGTAGTAGTAGTGGTAGTAGAAACGGGAGAAAAAGGGAATTCCTCGCGCGCGACTGAAAACACACAAAAAACAGCGAAAAAGAAGAAAAATAAATGAAGAGAGCGAGTGAGGGAAGCATAAAGGCACGAGGCGCGAGCGAGCGAGCGCGTTAATTAACGATTTGCATTCGGCAATTATGAAATTTTGCTCTCGATTCTCTCCTCCTCGCGGCACCGAACTCTCTTTCCGTCCGTCCGTCTGTCGCTCTGCTTTTCAGTCTCTCAGCAGCCTAGCCTAGCTCCGCTGTAGAGTACGTACGGCAAAGTTTTTCCGAACCGACGAGCGGCGACGATTCATCTTCTCTCTCGCTCTCTGCCAGAGAAAGAGAGGCAGAGAGAGAGGAGAAAAGTGAGTAGGCTCTTAACCTGCCGATAGTATAACCGGTTTCGCGCGCGCGCGCGCCTCTCGACACTGAGTAGTATAGTACAGTTGCTAAAAGCGCGCGCGTATATAGGTGGACATGCCGCTCGCTGTTATAAGCTGCCAGAACGTATCTATACCCGAGCTTTCAACTGGCAAATCCTCACTCACTCACTCGCTGATGCCGCTGCTGTTGCTGCTGCTGCTGCACTCCTTTTTAGCCTCTCTCTCACTTTTTTTATACTATATATATATCGACATCTAACGAAGCGCATTTTCTCGAGGAAAAACTTTTCTCCACCTCCCCCTCGGAGTTGCAGCTTCTACACATAGCTCGCGCGATCGTTCGGTTCGTTCGGCAGGAAGAAGAAACTTAAAAGCGCGAGCTTTCCCGTATATATATCTATCGATTCTATCCACACCCTTTCCTGCTGCTGCTGCTGCTGCTGCTCGTGCTCGGTGGACTTGTCCAGCAGCCGCCCTTCGTATTAATTAAAAAGCTCAGTTACGACGTAGACGTACCGAGCGTCTATATATTGATAATAATAATGGGCTTGACATATTATCGGATGACCGTTCGGTCCTCTTTCGCACCTTTGTGTTCTGCTACACACGCTAGAGAAAGAAAACTCAGTACCCTGTGAGAGAGAGAAGGTATACTGTACATTGCGACGATTGGCAGCGAATAACGAGCATCCTGATTGACTTCCGGAAAAGCTCCGATCGCCCGAGCTTGCAGCGCGACGCGCAGAAAGAGGAAATTCAAAAGGAAATGAGAGACGACTCGATGCCTTCCTTTCGTGCTCTCTCTCGCTCTACCTTTTCGCCCTTTATATATAACAACACTTTATATCGCGTAGCATCACTCGGAGCTGCCAGTTATAGGTACTCGCTTCTTCTCGCGCGGCAGCGGCTATTATATACGGACGGCCGAGCTTGCGCTCGCCTAAATTTACAGTGTTTTTTTCTCTCTCTCTCTCTGTATTTTTGTGCGCTATATTGGAGTCGGAAAGTGTCGCTGATGGATCGCTTGTTTTTGGTTTGAAAAAGTTTCGCGCGCCACCACCCCTTCTCGTCGACGCGCAAAAATCATAAACCATCTCTGTCTCTCTTCGCTCTTTCGCGACCGACAAAAAAAAATCATCCCCAGAAGTGGCTCGACGCAAACGAGTGGCGCACACATATAATAACGCTCTCCACGTCGTTTTCACGTGCACCGCAGAGCACCGCGTCGATTGAACGCCGCGCGCGAGCTTGCCTATCATATACAAAATGTGCATATCCCGCATATAACATAATCGTGCGGCTGCGTCAGCGGCACACACCAAAAATGGATACATTTTCTTTTATGCGGCGTATACCTACAACAGCAGCAACAGCAGCAGTAGTAGCCCGCGAGCAAACGACAGAAGCAGCAGCAGCCACAACGGCGGCGGCGGCGGCGGCTCGATAAGAAAAATGAGAAAAGAAGTATAACAGAATGTCTCGAAGGAATTATTGGATACAAGAGCCAAGGGAGTATATAATGCACAGCGACTACTATCCCTTCGCCTCGCAGCGCATAAGGGAACTGCCTGCCTGCCTGCCTGCGTTATACCCGCGAAATAAACGAAGCGTAAAGAAATCAAAAAAGGCCGCAGGAACTCGTCGCTGTGCATATACATGTATATATACCTCGAGTAACTGCGCTCCGTATTATTATATATGTATATATAAAAATTTAATTTACTCCCGTTTTTAGGCCTCGGCTATATAGCCGAGGTACCGTACAGCGGTAACCGCCAGAGCTAATATTTGGCCACCGTAAGAAAAGAAAGAGAAAGAGAGAGAAAGGAGCTCTCCTTTTTTTCTTTTCTCGGAGGCAGCGTCGATGTAGCTGCTGCCCAGGCCAGTTGGTAGTAGTAGTAGTAGTAATAGTATAATAACCAGCTGTAGCGGACTTGCACAGCGCTGTAATATACAGAGTTCCAAAAAAAAGTAAAGTAAAAAAAAAACAAAAAAAAATTGTCCTTACTCGCTCACGCGTGTATCACTCGTGTACGCGCGGGCAAGCAAACGCGCGACAGTAGAGCAGTGAGTGAGCGAGACACACACACAGACGGACTCAGAAATGCTGCTCTTGCTATTTCTTCCGAGCTTGGTCTCTGCCACCGGCGAGCCTGTACTGCTTTTTCCACGATCGACTCTCTTTCAGGTAAGCTACACATATACACAAGTACATATACGTGTGTGTGGGTGTGTGGGTGTGTGAGTGCACGGCGGGCGCAATCGTTTCAAACGTCACTGCAACTCTCGGCTTTTTTCCCTTTTATATACACGGTATATACGCAAACGTTGGCTGTTTTTTCCTTTCTCTCTCTTTCTCGTGCGACGGTAGTGTTTTTTAGCTCGTCGCTTGACGCACACACACACACACATACACATTCACGTGCGCAAATCGCGTGTATACTTACTGTACTCGCTAGTCGATTCGTGCTTGCACACACGTCCTATTACGACGGTAACGAGCTATTTGCTCGGCGGCTGGAGCCCTTCGCGCGTCGTCTTGAACAGCAGCCACCCGCGCCCTTTAAGAGCGACGTTGAGCAAGCTTTAATTGCATCGTTAATTCGTGGAAATTGAATTATTATCCCCCTCTCTCTCTCCGCTTGTAGCAGTGGCAGCGCCTTTACGAGGCACGGCCCCGGACTTTCTCGCGCACAGCTCCTTTTCTCTCTCTCTCTCTCCGATATAACGAGTTTGCCGACGCTCGAGTGAAAAATTAACGACAGGCAGCGGCAGCGGCAGCGGCTCTACACTACAAACTCGTAGTAGCTAGCTAGCTGAAGCTGAAGCTGATATATACCAGTTTTTCGAAAGAAAGAGAGAAAGAGAGTGAGAGAGAGAGAAAACCTCGAGCGCATACAAGCTGCTGCTGCTGCTGCTTTTTCAAGTTTGCTCGTGCCCCGGCGCAAAAGCTCGAGTTAGCCCGGCAAAAAGGAAGACGGCGATTTTCAAAGCCGAGGCCTCTCTCTCTCTAAATGAATAACGAGAGTGCACCTCCGAGTTGCTGCCTGCTACCTGCCTGCCTGTGTGAAGAGCTAGCTTCGGGGTTTGGATTTTTTAATTCCCGTTCGATCGCTTTCTCACTCGAATACACATACACATTTATATTTTCCTTTCCTTTTTTTTTTCTTTCTCTGTATACGCAGTTCGTCGTGGCGGCGTCGACGCCGATAGCCCAGGACAAAAAGGGCAGCCTGGTGCTCAATACGGGCTTTCAATTCAATTACGCGATGCCGTGGAACTTGACCCAGTTGGGCCATCCGACGCCGGTGGTGCACGCCCGTAACAGTCGACAAGTGCAGCGCCAGCCGGAGCGGTTGAATTTGGAAAATGTTTACCTCGCGTTGGAGAACGCACTCGAGGAGTGAGTATATATGTATAACAGGGGCCAATAAGATCGCGAGAATCGAAATTGCGACTTATATGTTATACCTATTATTATTGTTGTTACTTAAATCTCGAACGTAAAAGGTCAACGCTATGCGCATATATTGAGAGGTTTGTATATGCATTATAAGTGCATATTACTATAACGTCGAGCTCGGTGGCAATTACCAAGTTTTCGCACAGTTGCTATACGGAGACATGCTGCAGCGGCGTATACTGGGTCTGGTGCGTCGGCGACTTGTTATAAGCGACGATATTGACCCCCGTGCTGCGCATATATTGCAGAGAACACCGATATATATATACATATACATAACGTAAACTCGAACATAGTAGTAGCTGCGCGCTGCCAGCTGTAATAAGCGCCTGTATATGCGATAACAAGCTCGAGGAGCCGATTTTTGTAATATCGCCTCGCTCTCGAGTGGGCACGATACGATATCGAATGGCAATAAACGTTTCGATCATCGTCCCTTATATTTCTCCTCTCAATCTCACATCAAGTCGTTCATTTGTTTTCTTTCATTGATGTTATTTTTCGTATTATACGTATAGACACGGGTGGGGCGACGGCAGGAGCTGCCTGCTGAGGTCCATATGCGAGCACGCCGAGGCGCCGATCGCGAGGAGCTCGATGTACAAAGACGACGATGACTCCTCGGAACACGACGTCATCGAAGAGATCGTCCATCTGTTGCTCACGTGAGTATATAACAATAAATCATTACGTCATTCAGTAACCCTAACGTATATGTTATTCCTGTTCAGACGCTTATACTTATACTCGTTGAACTTGGTTCGTTCGCTCGCGGGAACGCGACGATTCGGGATGTTCGGCCACCTAGCGGTGACTCGCGGGTACTACTTCATATAGTTTTCATATTATTTAGGTTGATCGAGCACGAGATTATTATTATCGTCATCGTTGTGTTCTCTCTCGATCTCTCTGTATATATGTACCTCTTTGCCAAGTGTCGTAAGTACTAAATAGCCTAGCCTCGTTGTGTGTGCACTATACAGTGCGCAGCGCGCACAAACGAACGAGGACCAACAGAGAAGAGAAGAGAGAGAGAGAGACGTAATCGTGGATTATAGGAACCAAAGCCATACACACACTCGTACGTATACGTACGTACGTACGTCGGGCAAGGCGAGGGCTCGGGTTCTCTTTCTCTATATGTAGCTCGAGGCCACACAGTAAGAGAAATTCTCTCCCTAGCAGCGGCAGCTTGGCGCAGTGTTACCCCAGTATAAAGGAATCGCTACTGCCTCTCTGCTAACACACACACACACACACACACATACATACGCGTGTGATCGCTGGCTGAATTCGATTCGAGATTGGAAGCTCTGCAGTCTCTATAGCTGTGTGTGTGTGTGTACTCAAAGCTCGCGCCGTTCGCTCGACTCGGCTCGGCTCGGAGCTCCGCGAGCGAGTATAAGGGAACTTCTGACCGATAAATTGTTTGAATCGAAGCCAAATATCTGCAGCGCTCGGGCGCGCGTCTATACGTATCCTATACGTACGTACGGACGTACGTGTGGGTGTGTAAGTGTTCTATGTATATGTACCGTATGTGGCCACGCGTGTAGCTTAGCGCATTATCGCTCTTGCTCTCTCGTGTTCTCTCTCTCTCTTTCTCTCTCGCAAACGCACACACGGAGCTACATTTTAGCAATTAAAAATACCTCCGAAAGCTCTCTCACGTCCGCGTGTTTTTTTTGGAGGGGAGGCAGGGCAGAGCTTGCGAGATGTTCCAACGGTATTTATTATAGGTTTTTGAGTCTTCTGTATATACACACATACGCGTATGTGTGTGTGTGAGTTCCTACGATGAGAGATAGAAAGAGTAAAAGCTCTCGCTCGCGCGCGAGAGAGCTTGCAGCGTTACTGCCGCTGCACACACATACACACACAGAGACTATTCACTCGGTCGCTCGCTCGCGCAATCACGTTGACTCTCTGCTGCTGCTGCTACTGCTCACAGAGAGGATCGATACGAATGTGTCCTTTTCGCTTGCCAACAACTGAGAGAAAGAGAGAGAAAGAGAGAGAGAGAGAGAGGAAAACGCCCCGCTCTTTATATACGTATATAGATATATACATCTGTTTCGAGCTTTCGCCTCGCGTGCATGTATTATATATCACGTATACTCGAGATATCTACGGATATTTTTTCTCTCTCTATCTACCATGTATACTTTCATCATAATCAATGCGATATATGTATGCACTCACGCACACAGGCCATCCGAGGAATTGAACGATCGAGAGAGTCAATGGAGCAGCGACGGCAACTTTACTACTACTACTTCGTCGTCGTGGCCGTCCAGGGCGAGCACGATCGTCGACTATCTCGAAGCCGAAATTGCGGGCAGAAGTCGCGAGCGCGGACACTGTCGCGATGTTTATGGATCAAACTGTCCGGAATCGCCCCTCGAGATCTTCACCGAGTTGCGCGATACAGATAGCATGGAGGATGGCGAACTGTGATTGCGGCGCACGGTGTGCTGTATGCCAATTTCGCACCTCGTATAACTAAAGCCATGTACATGTAATAATGATAATAATAAAGATGACGATGATAATAATAATAGTAATAACGAAAGCTGTGAGGATGGACGTTTCGCGTAATAAAGTAAAATTAATATGCAATATAAATCGAGGACCCCGGCAGTAGTATCTCTCTTCCCTCTCATTTCATTTTCATTTTCCTTCCTTCTTTTTTCCCTTTTTTTATCTCTCTTTTTTACGTTCTTCATCACACTCGGGTACGCGAGCGCTAGCGCACGCCCTTACTATACACAGCAGCAGCAGCAGATTCTTGGATATATAGAAGAGCAGAGAGGGCTATTTTTCTTTTCCCTCCCGATTCTCTCCAGGGAGAGTTGGCCCTGGCGCGGCGTGGCTCGCGTGGTTATTTCTTTTTTTATTTTTCTTATACCCTCTTCTCCGTTCCTTCCATCCTCCCTTTTTTTTGTTCCATATACTTTATACTTTACCTTTATTTTTAAGCTTCGAGGATATTTCAGCGCGCGCGCGCGAGTGTTTATATTAGCCTGGCGCGTATATAGAAGCGATATAAAAGAATTACTTAAGAAGAAGTGGTGGTGGTGGTGAAACGCGGGCAATTTACGCGGGCGCGCGAGCTTTTCCTCAACTTTTCGTCTTAATTAAGAAAGCCGCTCTCTCACTCACTCGCCCTCTATACATATATCTATCTATATAATAATAACAACATCGGGCAGCAGCGGCGGCGGCAGTAGCATAACAAGCAGCTCGCGCGGAGAGTACCGAGTTCTCTATAGGATATATATATATAAAATCGATGATTATTCGAATCATTTGGAAGCTTTGGGCCTGTATATAACTATGTAGCGAAAAAACGAGAGAGAGAGAGAGAGTATAAGAATGTTTACCTTAGCTTTTAGCTGACTAATGCCATATACGCGCTGTATGTTTGTATGTATGCGTTCGGAGGAGCCTCCACTGCTGCTGCCTGCTCTAGGCAGGGCAAGAGAGAAACTTGTTCGCAGAAAGCTTTTCGTATTTCGACGAGCAAGTTCACAAAACTCTCGGTTGCTGCTGCTGCGCTTCTGCGTGTGTATATATCTATAAACGAAGAAGAAGAAGAAGAAGAAGAAGTAGAAGAAAAAGAAAGCATGAAGCGAGAGCTAGTTGCTGCATTCTTACAACTTCTACTCGGCTTGTACTGCTGCTATGCTAGCCATCATCCGCCCCCGCTCGTCTATCCGAACGGTGGAATTCTTAAGGTAAAGCTTTCCATACACAATTTTTTTTTTTCATTTTCATTTTTGTTTATTCGAACTCTCGCATATCGAATAACAATAGCAATAATAATAATAATGATGATGTTGTTGCGCAGCTGCTGATCGGCGGCACGGTGCCCATAGCCATGCCCAACGGCCGCATCGTCGTCTACGGCCACAACATACAGTACCAATTCAATCTGCCGGCCAACGCGAGCCTGTTCGGCGAGACGCCCAAGCTACGCAAGCGTCGAGCCGTTTCCAACGAGGAGGCAGAGGAGGAGGAGGACGAGCGTGGATTGTTTTACCGGATGGTCGAGCACGAGCTCGAGAGGTTTGTATACGACATTATATATGGGTCAGATTCAGAATTTTTCAAATAAACCTGCGGGCGAGGTTCACGGATTTTCCTGAAATTTTGGTATGTTATAGTACATGATAAAAAAGTGCCAAAACCAAAATTTTGGACCCCCTCCCCCCTCCTACCCCCCTCCTCCCCTATAGACGTCCATTTTCTATCTATATTTTTTCTGAAGGCCTGAAGCTATTAAAAAATCTGAAAAAATTCATGAAGGTACTTTTCAACAATCCAAACAATCTTGAATTTTTTCAGATTTTTCGAGTGCTTCAGGCCTTCAGAAAAAATCATTGAAAATTTAAATTATTTTATTTTCGGTGAAATGGTTCGATGTACCAGACCGGAGTATTTTTTTCTGAATTCTGACGTCAAAAAACGATTCCTTGAATTTTTTCAGAATTTTTCATTCATGTCCATTCAGCCTAGAGCTGAAAAACCGCTTTTTTTCACGAAAATAATTTTTTTAAGGCGCTACGGAGCCTCAAAAAATCTGGAAAAATTTTTTTCTCATTTTGTTCATCAAAATACATAATCTCAAATTTTTTCAGATTTTTTAATTGAAGGCGATAGCGTCTGGAGCCGAAAAACGTTATTTTTAACAAAAAAGGTTCCTGGAACCCGATGGTTCCGGTAAAAAAATTTGAAAAAATTTTTTTTGAATTCCTTGTCAAATTTTAATAAATTTTGACCGTCGCAAAATTTCGATTGGAGCTTCCTAGCTCATTCTAGAGCATAACAAAGATTAATGCGAAATTCTGAAGACATCTGAAAAAAATTTAAATATGATGAATGTCTTCAGAATTTCGCTCTAATCTTTGTTATGCTCTAGAATGAGCTAGGAAGCTCCAATCGAAATTTTGCGACGGTCAAAATTTATTAAAATTTGACAAGGAATTCAAAAAAAATTTTTTCAAATTTTTTTACCGGAACCATCGGGTTCCAGGAACCTTTTTTGTTAAAAATAACGTTTTTCGGCTCCAGACGCTATCGCCTTCAATTAAAAAATCTGAAAAAATTTGAGATTATGTATTTTGATGAACAAAATGAGAAAAAAATTTTTCCAGATTTTTTGAGGCTCCGTAGCGCCTTAAAAAAATTATTTTCGTGAAAAAAAGCGGTTTTTCAGCTCTAGGCTGAATGGACATGAATGAAAAATTCTGAAAAAATTCAAGGAATCGTTTTTTGACGTCAGAATTCAGAAAAAAATACTCCGGTCTGGTACATCGAACCATTTCACCGAAAATAAAATAATTTAAATTTTCAATGATTTTTTCTGAAGGCCTGAAGCACTCGAAAAATCTGAAAAAATTCAAGATTGTTTGGATTGTTGAAAAGTACCTTCATGAATTTTTTCAGATTTTTTAATAGCTTCAGGCCTTCAGAAAAAATATAGATAGAAAATGGACGTCTATAGGGGAGGAGGGGGGTAGGAGGGGGGAGGGGGTCCAAAATTTTGGTTTTGGCACTTTTTTATCATGTACTATAACATACCAAAATTTCAGGAAAATCCGTGAACCTCGCCCGCAGGTTTATTTGAAAAATTCTGAATCTGACCCACATATTTTGCGATGAAAAATGACGAAAGACAATAGCGTCGATCGATCTTTCTTTATTTCTCAAATTTTTTTTTCTATATCTATTCGATGTTATAAAAAAGGCGAGGCAGACCGAGCAAGGACTGCCTGAAGAGGAGCATTTGCGAGTCCGCCGAGACGCCGCTGAGGGATGACGGTCTCCTAGGCGAGATATTCCACGTACTGCTCACGTAAGGACTTATCTCTCTCTCTCTCTCTCTTTCTACGATCATATATATGCGAAATGGAAAAATTGAAATATCGTCTTCTCTCCCTCGCGCAGGCCAGATTACGGAGATTCCAGGCAGCGGTGGCAGCGGCACCGGGAGTACATCGAGGCGGCTGAAATCGGCAGAAATGGACTACTCGACTGTCTCGAGGCTTTTCCCGACTGTCCGCCTGGCTCGGGGCTGCTCGATCACGTGTCGCGGGTTCTCTTCGCGCAAGATTGACGATCCGTATATTATCGTCGTCGCATATTGCCTTGTACATATGATTTTTTTTTCTACATCTTTACTTTTTGTATCACGAATAAATTGAAAAAAAATGAAAGACAAGTAAAGAAAGATATCGTTTTGTCCATTCGCCGTTGGCTGTGTAAAAATTCCGCATGGATTGCCGCTAATTAATTGTGTATATACCCTCGACTCCATACCGCTACAGCATACATACATACATACGTATAATCCGTTAAAATATGAAGCGGAACTATATGCTAATCCGCGCGGGACCTCCGCTTCTGCCGGCATTTTATTTGCTATTTAATCAACTGTACCGCCACGTCGTCGTTCGATCAACTCGCGACTCGCGACTCGCGACGAGAGAAGCCAAACTCAGTTGTGTGTGTGTGTCTGGAGTTTGGAGAGCTGGCAGAAATATAAAAACTCGCCAAGCTCTGTTTACAGGATAAATTTTACATATTATCCGCTCTTCCGTTTATAAATACTCGGTAATGCCCCGTCGATGTTGTATATACATAAACAGCGGAACGTCGCTTAATTATCGAGTCTGCGTTATATGTTTGTGTATATATACATTTCGAGAGGACGATTAATTCTCAATGATTAGCCGGCGTTAAAAAGCGTAGCAAGTATAGCAGTTTGTATCCTCATTTTTTTCCTCTTCTTCTTCTTCTTCTTTTTCTTTTCTTTTGTTTTCTTTGGTATATAACGGGTGGGTTCTTGTATAGCAGCAAACGAGAAAAGTTCATGTACATCTACGAAATATACCCGCGCGGATATAGCCTCGAGAAGCGCAAGCTCGTCGATCGTAAGAGCCCCGAGGTCTCATTGTGTTTTCTCTCTGTCTCTCTCTTGTGCTGCCGTCTCGACATTTATTTTTGTCTTTATACGAATTAATATTGCTACTTAACGGAGCGTAATCTGCCGCATTCATTTCTTTCATTTTTTTTTCTTTCTCTCTCGTCCTGCCCGCTATATACCCTTTGTGCTCTTCAATTGTCCTCCGGTAATACATATATAAGCTCGCTCGTTTGTTCGCCTGCATTTAATAATATACATCCGTATATCTATGTACATCGTCGAGATATACTAATTGCAATGGCAAAGTTGCAGCGGCCGCAGAAGAGGAGGAGGAGGAGGAGTAGGAGTAGGAGGAGTCATTGGCGCAAAATTTTCAGCTCTCTCTCTCTCGCAGGACTAAAATTAGTATATTATACACGATCTCTCTCATCTCAGCTCGTGTGTGTAACCGGTGCTTCATACGAACGAGGAAGAGGAGCAGCAGCAGCAGCAGCAGAGAAGAAGAAACGCAGGGAAAAGAATCTGCAGCGGCAGCAGCAGTGCCAGCTCAGCCATACACCCTCACTCACACATACACCCACATACACGTACAAACACAGGATGTACGGTGTACTGCGGCTACTTTTGCTGCTGCTAGTCGCAGCAGTCGCGGTCGGTGTAACATCTGGCGCCCAGCGACACAAGAGATTCGTCGCCTTCGGCAAGGGTAGCACGTTCGCCGTGAGTTATACAAACTTTTTGCCTTTTCTCTTCTCTCTTTTTTTTTTCACCCTCCCCCCTTTTTTCCTCCTATGCTACTTTTATTTCTCTCTCTCCGTCTTTCTCTGGAGGAGCTGCTGCTGGTACTGCTGCAGCACGTGCATGACGCGTACGCGCGAGAGCATTATCCGAATTATTTGCAGCGCGACGAGTAAAAATAAAAAGAAATAAAAAAAACCGAGTATAGAGAAGGAAAAATCTTTCGACAGCTGCTGAAATTCATTATGCAACTCTCCCCACACCCTCCCTCTATCTCGCGCCAATTCCTCTTGCATTATTCAAGCGCGTTACAATATACATATTTCAAATTGTCGATTCTCTCTCTCTCTCTGGCGCTCTGCAGTCGTCGTCCTAACAGCAGCAGCAGCAGCAGCTTTGCAATGCAATGTGCTTATTTTACAACAGCAGCAGCAGCAGTGGTTGGTGGCCTGGGTGGTGCAAGAAAAACACGTACAGAGGGTATATACGAAGGCCGAGAGTGACTAACGGCCATGTGCTCGCTCGCTCGCTTGCCACTGGCACAGTATAGTATAGAGAGAGAGAGAGAGAGAGAGAGAAAGAGCTTGGTGCGACTGGCACAGATTTACAACGATACCAGGCTACTGTACGGCGCGGGGGCGAGGCCGGGACGTGTATACGTATAGTGTGCATACACACACACTAACACACGAGGGCAATTCCTCGATACGTATACATCCAGCGAGGGTGGCTGGTGGTTGTAATTTTTCCGCTTTTCTCTCTTTCTTTCTTCCTCCTAGTTCATTCTCCCTCTATATGTACGTGTGTGTGTTATACAGTACCGGCTGAACTACAAAGTGCCGCTATTCAAGAACAACACCATACTGTACCAGGCCAGCGGTTTCAAAGCCGCTTGGCAGCTACCTGAGAAGAGCGACAACTACAAGCTGCAGAAGCCGCAGCCGCCGAGGTCGAGGAGGAGGTGGAGCAACTCGGGTGGCTACCGCCGCCGAATCGGCTCCAGGGACATTCGCGATACCATGCACGATCTTTACGAAAGGTATAGTTTATCATTGTTACTTATTACTCGTTATTATTATTATTACTTAACGAGTAAAGAAAAAAAAGAAGGGAGAGAATCAAAAGAAAAGCGACGCAAGAATTGTTTCGCTCATTCATTTTCTTTTTTTTGTTTTCAACGAATGCACACAAACCAACAACAGCCACGGCTTTGATGGCAAATCTTGCCTCGCGAAAAGCCTCTGCCAATCTCTCGAGCTCGTCGAGCGCAAGGACGGAGTAATGGGAAAAATAGCGCACTTACTCTTCGGGTGAGTATAACTGCGCACTCGTGTGCTGGCTGCTCCTATATCAAAGGCAAAGCAACACACACACGAGAGTCTAGTCTAGCAGTGCTGCTAGTAGTTATTAAGCTCGAGCTTTATTTAATTGGATTGATTTTGCATGTACACCACCACCACTACCCACCATTCGTCGTCGTGCCGAGCGCAGTCAGTCGTTGGCTGATTCGCTCGTATGCGGAAATTATGCCTCAACCGACGAAGCCGATCGCTGCCCTCTCAGCCTGATCGGATTCAAGCCGATTCACGCCGGCTCGGAATTATGAAAAGAGAGAGAGGGAAGGAGAGTAAATCCGGGAGGGAAGGTATTTTCCTGCCCGCGCTAACGAGTGTCAACGCTGTATATATGTGCATCGGCGGAGTCGGCATCGGATTATGTATTTTCCATTGAGGATTTCGTATTTATAAATACTTGCATGCCACGCGTAACTGCTGATTTGTACGTTTGTTGTTGCTGTTGTTGTTGTCGTTTAATAAACACGTGTAATTTAATTGTTCTGCTCCGATGCTGTTTTTTTTCATTGTATTCCTTTTCCTCCCATCCCCCGGCCCACCCCGGCGCAGCGCCGGGATAAATACGAAAATTCCCTCATTATTTTTGTTTAACCATGCGTCGACTCTTCCGTGAATGTTCTGCTCTGTGTGTACACATTCACACACACACGTATATGTGAGAGCGTTAATTTACAAATTTTTGCCTCGCCTCGCGCAAACATTGGCTCTTTTTCTCCCACCCGCGTTCCATATATACATACATTCAGCTCGTAACGAGGGAGAGAGGAAGGAAAAGGTACAGCAGCGGCAGCAGCAGCAAAAAAAAAAAAGAATCAAAGGAAGAAAAGAGAATTCCGTTTGATATTCAATTAGACACTCTAGAGGAGCGAAAGTACGCGCCTCTGTGCAACACCAACATTATACACAGATATATATATTTCTATAAACTACACATTCACATTGATACACACATACGACGGGACAGTCTGTCTCGATCTGCGTTGACATGCGGACGCGGACACCACTACTACAGCTACTACTGGCCATTTGCTGCTGTTTCTTCTGCTGCTCCGCTTCCAGCATAACGAACCAAGACGCCTTGAAGAAGCTGAAGAGATACTTCGTCTTCCCGCAGGGCAGCAACATCCAGGTGGTCTACTGTCTGACCATCGGCGCCGAGGGCCGGCCCGACGGCGACCTCGTGCTCGGCCTCACCGCCGCCCTTGCCTACGAGCTGCCAAGCAGCATAAGCGACGACGCGATCAACGACGTGGACGACGACGACGACGAAGGAGCAGCTTCATCGGCAGACGACAAGTTGGATTATAGAAATAATTATAATTATAGTTATAGTAATAGGAAGAAGAATGTCCTGCATCGGCGCAGTCGAGCCGCCGTCTATCCGAAAATCGAGGCCTTCCTGCAATCGTAAGTTTTTTTTTTTATAGTATATACGTTTATAAGAGTCTGAGTCGAGACGACGCAGTTCTCGAGTGGTTTTCGCTAAACGATCATTGTTGTTTATTTTCCCTCGACGACGACGACGACGATGTTTCAATTAAACTTACGTCGCTCTCGCTGTTGACTCTCTCTCTTCAACACGATGCCATGTACTTCATTTAAACTTCCACTTTTCTCTCTTTCTCTTCTCGTCTCCGCTCGAATCCACTCGACGTCCGTCGCCACCACCGCCACCGCCAACGCTCTTACTTTGTGACAATGTGTATACGTATATATATACAGAACGGGTCTCGACGGCAGATCCTGCGTCATGAGGGCACTCTGCGAGGCCGGCACGAGGCATCCCAGTCAGCGGGGCAGCGGCAGCTTCGTCCAAGAGCTACTTCACGCCATTTTCACGTGAGTCACGGAAGAAGCTTCGCCTAATTCGACCGCAAAAGCCTCGATTATTAATATTATTACGTAACGATTATCTGTTGGTGCCACAGGCTGAGACAAGACGGTGGCAGCTTCGACAGGGAGGATCATCGGGAATACGACGAGGCGGCGACGGCGGCACACGAGGCTAGAAATTGCGCCGAGCTCTATCCAAGCTGTCAGCAGTCCATCTACGAGTTGGACTTTTGACGATAAATTAATCAATAAATAATATATTTTTTAAGGTGTCGCAAATATCACACTGTATAATAAACATTTTTGCTACCTGCCCATACCTGTACTCGTAAAAAAAAAAGTAAACATTAACTGTACATACACGCGTCGAGAGTGTCGGTACTTAGACACCTGTATATTAGCGCGATATAATATAATTAACGCACGTGCATGTGTGTATGTGTATGTGTGACCATTCGTCGAAACGAGCACCGTAAACATATTTACTACTACTACTACCACTACGTAACAAAAACATGCCGCCCATTCGACGAGTCGTTCTGATTTTCATGCTGATGCACTGCCTCGGCAGCAGTACCACTACCACAACCAGCCAGAAACAGCAGCAGCAGCCACATCAGCTCGCTAAGAGAGAAGTGCCGCAGGGATACAAGTATCTCGTCTTTCCACAGGGCAGCAATGTCCAGGTACGTACAAAAAAAACATCATCCCACACAACACAAATCGTGTATCTATGAATTCTCCTTTCTAGCTGGTCTACTGCATGACGGTGGCGAGCCTCGGCAAGCCCCAGGGCCTGTTCACGTTCGGCGTCACGGCGGGCCTGGCCTACGAGCTGCCCTACCACGCCACGGTGCCGCATCGTCGCCCGGCCGAGGTCTATCATCGGCGCAGCCGTCGACAGCTGTACGGGCGTATCGAGTCGCTGCTGAGGACTCGGGGTCATCCGGAGCCGAGGGCCTGTCTGCTCAGGGCTCTCTGCGAGGCTGGCCGCGCCGCTCGTAATAATAGCGACGATAATAATCGTGCCGCTGGGAGTAGTAATGGAAAGAGGTCCTTCCAGCGGGAGATTTTGCACTCGATTTTCACGTGAGTATATCGCAAAATTTATTCATAGAAAATCGACGAAATTCGCGAGTCTCTGCTTACGTATTATACAGCAGAGCGCACTCGAATCTGGGCGTGTATATTCACGTATGTATGTGTGTTATACGTGTATATATAGGTATCCCGAGTGGTCTGGCGAAGACGTTGACGAGGACGACGACGAGAGGCAGCCGAGTCAGCATCAGCAGCAGCAGCAGCAGCAGCAGAATCGGCTCAAAGCCTTGGAGTACGACAAAGCTTACAACGCCCAAGACGACTGCGACAAGCTCTTTGCCGTCTCGGGCTCGGGCTCAGACTCAGCTTGTCCTCTGCTACGGCTCTTGATATGATGTGTATTATATATAATATAAAATAAACTCGATAACATGTATGCGGCGTATCATCGAATGCATATTGTATAATTTCTGTATAACATGTGCTGCTGCTCCTCCTCTTTTTATTTGGGTCACAATAAAATTAAAAAAAAAAACATCAGTTCTCGTGCATAAAATTTTTTGATACATATTACTATATAAAAAAAAAAAAAAAAAAAAGGAAGTCAACTCGACGCGCTAAAAGCTCTTATGTGTGTGTCTGCGCGCATATCCCCCCATACATAAAATCTCGTTGCGCTCGAGCGACAAATAGTTTTAGCTTTTCTTGCATGCACCATGTGTGTCTGTGTGTGTTGACTGCCACTACCACCGACACATCCGCTTCACTACCTTGTACTACTACCTGCCACGCAAGCTCAGGGAATGCGCTGAAATTTTAATAGCGCTTTTGTGGCTTGTGCCTCGCGCGCTTTATACAGCTCGCAGTCTCGCCTATATCGCAGCTACAGCAGCAGCAGCAACTCGACGTTTAATTACACTAAACTATTTACCCTGCGAATCGACCGCTTGATATATTCATTTTTCTCTCTCTCTCTCTCTCTCTCACTCTTCTACGCCGAAATGCTGCGTGTCATACCGTACATACCCTTTTATATGCATGTATACGAAGCTTTCGAGTAAGTTTTCTGTCTCTCTCTTTTCTGAGGAGGGGTGGTGCGGAAGGCGCGCGTCGAAATGCACCTGAGGGATGCGCGCGAGTACAGAGCATAGAGTCTCGAGGCTTTATCGCGGCACATATACATATCCTTTCTCTGTCTCTCTCTCTCTACGTCTAGCTCGCTCGACTCTCAGCTACAGCTTCTTACGTATAGGTATATACATATATTTCTTGGGTAATATGACTAGCAAGTGCTCCCTCGAGGAATTGGCGCACACATACAGCTATATACACACAAATAGCACGAATAGAGCGAGAGAGAGAGACTGTAATATGTGCCCCGTTATTTTTTCGACTTACTGCTGATTATTACGTTTGCGTATATCATATGCACGTAGAGAGAGAGAAAAAACGGGAGAAACGTATACGGTACGTATACGTAACCCGGATTTATATATACATTTTTGCCAGAGAGATAGAGATCAGTCCGTCGTCGTCGTCGTCATGGATGCTCGACTCGTCCTTTTTCTCGTCTTCGTCTTCCTGGCCGTATTAAAGGATTCGAGCTCGAGCGTCGCGGCCGAATCGTCGTCGTCGTATTCGTGCTCCTACTCGTCGGCAAATGCAAGCAGTACTACCCACGAGACGAAGACTACTCGCAATGTTCGGAAAAAACGCCAATTGACGTTTCCTTCGGGTAGTAATTTCATCGTGAGTATACAGAGAAAACGGAGATAAGGGAATCGACTTGTTTTTTCGTCCTTTCTATATGACATTTTAATACGATATAGACGACGGCGGCGGTCGTCAAGCCGATACCCACGAAACTGCCGAGCGCCTGGAATCTACTGCTGGAAATGGACGTGGTCTGGCCGATCGTGCCGAAAAAGGAGGAGCCCAAAGCGAAACCCTCAATGGGCAAGCCTGGACGCAGACCGCAGATGGGCAAGCATCATCGTCGCAGACGCCAGAGACGAGATCTCTACTCCAATTTCGAGCTCGCTCTCGACAAGTAAGTACACATATATAAATGGAAATCGTGTGTAATTAAACCGGAGAATTATATATATACTATATGCTATGTATGGATGTGGATATAGGCAAGGATTTCCGGGCAATCAGTGCGTGCTGCGCAGCATATGCGAGGCCAAATTCGCCCTCAATCCGCCGGGCGTCTCGCTCGTCGAGGATCTGCTTCGAGTCGTGCTTAGGTAAAACTCTTTCCTTTTTCTTTTTACCCTCGAATGGGCGCTGTCGAGTCTCGTTTTTTTTTCATGATGATTTTGCATACGTTATATGTACCACACGCAGCTATCCACTGGAAAGCAACGACAGCAGCAGCAGCGATATATACGACGTGGCTTTCAGGACTCAAAGCGACTGCGACTCGGCGTTTCCCTGCCCGTTCTCCATACTCAGCGCGATCTTGCATTTCAAAGATGTAGGAAACTACGACGGTACGGGGGAAAATAAAATTTAAAAGATTTAAAAAAAGAAAAAAAGACGAGTTTTTATTTATCCATATACCTAATATCTACCTATTATTATTACCATGTAATATCACGCGTGTCATGATAATTATGCACATCAAAGGGCGTGTAATAGCGATAATAAGAAAGCCCCCGCGCCGAGGGAGTTTATATATACTCGTATACACATCGATACGTGCGTTTGTCTCGCTCGAGCTGAGCAGCACCATCAGCCTTACCACTTTAAAATATGCAGTAGCTCGAGCTCGCGCGTACATGTGCGCGAGCGCACGATCGACTCATCTTTATCGCCTCGTCACGAATTCTCCGGGGATCTAATTTTCACACACAGACACGCATACGTTTTAGAGTACTGTATAGGCTCGAGAGAGAGAAAGATCGAGCTCGAGCAGTTTGAGAGAATTTCCGATTTATAATTCACGGGGATCTTCCCCCTCCCGCCACAAGAAGAAGAAAGTTATATATTAGATAGGTGCTGCTGCTGCGGTACTCGCGCGCATACGTAATGGTGCTAAAAAAAAAAGAAGAAGAAGAAGAAGGTGTTAGAGTACGTATATAGATCGGCGCGTATATATACCGAGAATTGCGTAACAAACCGTAAGTTCATCGGTGTGTAATAAAGGTTGAACGAACTCGAGCGCGCACAAACGCTAATAGGCTTTAATATACTTTGCACACTTTTAGAGCTCGCGTTTACGTGTATGCACACACACACACACCTACGCAAAGCGGATGACGATGATGAGTAAACGAAGGAAGAAGAGCACGGCACAGTGCAGTATTAGTAGTAGTAGTAGTCGATCGAGCGCGAGGAGAAGCCACAGAATGAAATAGTAAAAAAGCTCGACACAGACAGGTAAGGCTTTATATCGAGCAAGTATTATCGCGCTTATTGTATTTATGTAGATATATACGCGCGAGTAATTTACACGCGATTTGGGTGCATATATATATCGAGATGTCGATGCGCCACGACGACGACGATACACAAAGAGCGAGAGAGAGAGAGATCGATAAATTCCTTATATATCATTCGCGTGGTACAGTGTTTGTCCTTTCTCGCTCGCTCTTGTACATATATATCACATGCATACGGAGAGAGAGAGACCGAGATTGAATTTCACCGTCTCGTATACCGGATGCGATAAAAAAAAAAAGAAGAGAGAGAGAGAAGAGTTTGACCTTTGGAAATGCGAGACACGTATTGTTTGCTCCTTGTGTGTGCACCTACTGCAATGCGTGCATGTATGTAGAAAGAGAGCTTTGTGACTTTTATTTCGAAGCCGTTGCAGCGGCGGCACACAGACACACACACACGTGTGCGAGGGTAAATCTTTCGGGGACGCAAAAGATACGAACGACGACGAAAGCTACGTGGTATACGACATTGATATTGATGTGTAATCAGGCGTGGTAATGCTACTTGACATTCGCAACAACGAGTATACACACATTGTGTATGTATGTATGTGCTGTGTTGTGTTACGCGCTGACAGACGCGAAAAAAGCTCGACACTTATTAGTTTCTCTCCCTCTTCCTTTTTTTTCTGTGTGTGCGTTATACTACTCCAGAGCCGTTAAACTGCTGACTCGTGCTCTCGTGTATATAATATATATCGCCCGGAGACGAGAGAACACGATATGAAACACACAAAGTATATAAGTACGCACAATCGTCCCGCTCGCTTCTTTTCTCTCTGTAGACTACTTATAGACCGTAATACACGGAAAGATTATAAAACTTGGCAAACGATCAATCACACACAAACACACAAAAGTTTCTGCTGCACAACGAGAGAGAGATTAAAAGTTGCGACGATCTTTAATTACGCGCACGAGGCTCTATAATCTTTTCCTCCTTTTTCTCCATTAGTCATTTCGACGACGACGTAGAAGAGTTTTGACCGTCTCTGTGCGTGCGTGCGTGTACTTTATGAGAAAGCGATGCGACGAAATCCGACGAAATTAATTATCTTCGTTCTCGGGATAGTGGGACTAGCGGCGGCCAACGAGCTGCACGCGCGTCGCAAGCGCTACATCGTCTTTCCCGAGGGTTCGAGTTTTTCCGTGAGTATATATATACAAAAAAGTAATTAATACGATCGTAATGTTAACGATGTACTTTTTGAATCACAGATAGCCCTGTGTCTGACCATCCACACGCTCACGTCGGACAATATCTTCACCGAGGGCGTCAACTGGGGCATATCCTACGATCTGCCGAACGAGACCAAGCCCGAGCTCGAGCCCTACCTGTCGCTGCGCCGACGCAAGGACGAGGAGCATGAAAAGGAGGGAAAAACGAGACGTAAAAATACGCTACGGGCCGGGCAGACTTATCACCACGACGAGCTCGAGTACGACCGACGGGCCCACGCGAGGTATCGCCGCGAGGGCGACCACTACTATCTGCAGCGCCGACATCGTCGCGATCTCTACAGCAAGGTCGAAGTCGTCATCAACGCGTGAGTATATCATATATACACAGCGAGATCGGATTTCGAGACGATGTGAAAAATTACGTCGAGACAGGGGGGGAGAAAAAAAGTAATAATTATGTATAAGGGCGCGCACGGGATCGTGCGGAATATAGAAACTTGATACGCGACTGCTTGGGCACGAAGCAGAGTTATATATACAAGGAAGAGAGAGAGAGAGAGACTTGGAGCGATAAATCAAAAGTGTCACTTACCAAGAGGTCATCTTTCTCTCTTCCTCGAGGATGAGATACAATACAATTGATGGTGTCCGTGTCTATATATATAATACGAAGCTTGAGAAACAGACTGCAGAGAGAGCAGCAGCAAGAAGATGAGAGAGAAAAAATATATATATAGGGTTGTGAGGGTCGGGGGAGCGAAAGGGTAAACACTACGCCGCTGCGAGTTTGAACTTCTTTAGGCGATCTCTCGAGTCGCGCGGAGCTACACACAGCTCTCGATACACAAGAATACTTACCTCTCTGTCTCGCGGAGAGGCCTCTGCTTCTACTACAACTACTACTACTACCACTGCAGCAGAAGCAGCAGCCCGAGAAACTTTGGTTAAAGCTGCTCTGCATTTCTTGTTTTTGCCTTTCTCGCGCCCTTTCGCAGCAGTTCAGAGGCTATATAGAGTGGCAGTGGCGGTGGCGGTATATATATACGAGTCGTTTCGAGTGACACGAGGCGCTTCATACATACGTACATAACATACATATCTGTATATACGGCAGAGACGACGACGACGACGACGACAACAACAAACTTCGTTACCATTTAGATGACCTATTCAAGCGAGCTTGCAGCAGCAGCACGCGGGGGTTGGCGCGCATCGAGGCTTTGCTGCTGCCGCTGCTGCTGCAAGCTCGCTCGTTCGCCCCCCATCAGGCTATACTATAGGATACTCATTCAATCGGGGGCCGGCCCATTTCTTCGCGTTCTAGTACTACTCGGTGTAGGCGAGGGGTAATAATCCAATTTATCCCGGGGAATCGCTCGGCCTTTCGGATTGTATACAATACAGCATCGGTTAGCTGTGTGTAAGTCTCGCGACGTTTGTATATTTAATGCCATTTATGTATCATATACTGGTTGATGCGTCAGCCTCGTTTGCCTCCGAAGTGAAATTCGGAGAGAGAGGATCAGCAAGATGACCCGTGAAAATCGAGTGAGCGTCCCGGACTCTTTTATTATTTTTAGTTTTAACGACTGGCTAGGTAGGAGGTCAATTGAAATGAAGCAAAAAAAACGAAGTTCAACCGAAAAGAAAAAGATACATGATTTGTCAAATCTGGCGATTAGCTTGTACATGTTATTGAGTACAAGCATCCAGTCGTAACGATTTTGATTACTTTTTTTTTAATTGGATTTTTAGAAGAAGGAGTATTTTCATTAAGAGAAACTCGTTAGTTAATGCGACAACATCAAAATTACGAGTGGAGCGTATAGTGCAAATCCCGACTTATTCCCCAGCAGGGACAACGTTTTTGTGGGAGCGAGTCTCTACTGCTCTCGGCCATCTGGCAGTTGGCACGTAAACTAAAGAACGCGACGGGTTGCAGGCTAGCAGGCGTAGGTGGTACCCAGATTTCGTGCGGGGTTTGGTTCTCCAGATGTAGAGCGGGTGAAATTAAAAATTATCTTCCGATTGCAGTCGTATTTTTTCACGCAATTTTAATTTTCTCACTCTATCTCTCTCTTCTCCACAGGATGGGCTTGGACGGTCGCGCCTGCGTGCTGCGCGCCCTGTGCGAGGCCTCGCGTAGGCTCCGGCCGCGGGGCGCCAGCCTCGTCGAGGAGATGCTGAGGATCGTGTTCGACCTGCCGCTGGAGCGTCTGCGGCCGCACGAGCCCGAGGAGCATCACGCCTACGCCGAGGCGACGGCCCACGGCAGAAGACGCGGCGACCGCGACGGCGACGGCGAACAAGGACAAATCGAGGATTGCGCCGCCCTATACCCAAAGTGCAGCTTCTCGCTGCTCGACATGGCGCTGGGACGCTACAACGCTGCGGACGATAATCATCCATACGGCGGTGGAATGTCACCCGAGACTGCGGCACTGATACGCATGGCTATGAAGTGATTCGTCGGTCGATGCGCGTAATTTGTATAACGTGTGGATGCAATTGTGTGTGTATGTTTGTTGATGTTATTTTACCAAAGTGCAGCTCGTACAACGACTCGCGAGATATATATTGTAATACATTTGTAATAAAACTCGTATACGTACGAAGAATTTATTTACCGTAACTTTATATACATAGGGATATACGTTTATAACAGCGATATGAATGACTTTGAATGTATAAAAATCGTTTTCCGAAATCCTCCGCGTAAAGACATAAGAATTCATCCTGTGAATTCTCTACATTGCGCACCGAGAGAAAGAGAGACAGAGAGTCACTCTTGCAAATTGAAAAAAACTAAAATGAATGAGGCGTACACACGGGTGGGGTAACGCGATCCAACTGCAGCAGCAACATCGGGAGCTTCTCTCTCTCTCTCTCGTCTTGAAGAGAAAAATGCAATCTCGCATGCAAAATGCAATTTTGAACGAGGAGAGAAGAGAAAGTATAAGAAAAGAAAGAAAGAAGAGGAAGAAGTCGTGTCGAACCAGAGAAGAAAAGTTCGTACTTACACCTCTCCCTTCCCCCCCGCTCCTCTTGATTTTTTTTTCGACTTTTCGATTGCTTTATTTTTCCCCAACACAGCAGCGGCACTGCAGCAGCAGCAGACTTCGAGCATTTTTGATATCTTGCATTTATTCTCGGCTTCCTTCTTGTAAGTTTACGTACAACGTATGCATTGCGATGCGACGCGAACGTTGTTGGATAGACAGAGAGAGAGAGAGAGAGAAAAAAAATCTGTATATATATTGCACGAGTTACACTCACCCTACGTGCAAAATTCTCCCCGCGTAAGTAAAACTACGATTATAGTACTGAAAAAAAAAAGTTTCGTATATACGTTTGTTTCGAGTGTTCGCTTTGTTCGTCCACATACATACAGTAAGTATGTAATAACGATAACAGCTGGCAACGTAAACACGATGATAATATCGACTTTCTCGCGCGCGCAATCGTACCACACGATAGTTTGATCTCTACTCACGCGCGCACGTACGAATATACGTACGAATATTATAAATTCCGCGTATGTATCATAGCGACTGCTGTATTCTGTATATGTTCCGCGCGCGCGAGGCTCTCGAGTTTCGCGTATTGTTATTATACGCGGCGCGAGCCAATTTTCATATTCCGCGCGTCTGTCTGATGGGGCACGAGTGCGTGGCGGTAAGCGCGAACTTTGATGATAAGCTCGGCTCTTCCCTCTGATGCCGCAGCAATATGCCATAACAATACATATATATATATACTCGTATGTATGTACTGCGCGTGTATCTCCGTGTATGTACGAGTGGAGAAAAAATCTTTTAAGCTCGGGTGCAAGAGATGCAGCAGCAACGCGCAACTATGCGAGGTCGATCAGGAATCCAACGTACGCTCGTACATGCAGTACCAATATATATGTCTATTATGCCGTGTAACGTGTATCCTATATTCCCATCCCATGGCATGTAAATTGCGAATGTCCGGCAGCATAACTGTGTATATATATCCGATAATATGCGCTCGTTTATTTACTTATTTTCTTTTTTATATACATAGGTACCGGCCCGTACACGTTACGATATATAAAGCTCGTTTACTGATCGTCATCGGGATAAAATTAACAACAACAAAAAAAATACAGGGTTAGAAAGCAAAAAAAATTCGAGCTTGCGAGTTTACGAAAAAAAAAGCGGGGGGATATCCATCAGGCCAACCGACAAGGAGGCAATTGATCGGCCAGTCGAGCTGTACTATACGTGTGGCAGCAGCAGCAGCAGCAGTAAGAGCTTTCATCGAGATGAAAACGAGAGAGAGAGAGAGAGAGAGGATAGGTATGAGGTATGTAGGTAGGTAGTTGGCCGCGTGTAGCCGATCGATCGTTCACAATTGACGATTGTGTGTCTGGTATCTCTCTCTCTCTATTCTCACCCGTGTGTACGTCGTGGAAAAAAGAGTCAGAGCTCTTCGCACGCCTCGCGCGTGTGTCTATGTGTATATATATATACGTGTATAGAGAAAGAGAGAGAAGAGAGAGAGTATTACGTGTAAGCGATTGGCCTTGTATGTGTGACTATGTAGCCGATGATCGACGCTTCGACACATCGGACATAGGCGCTTATACTATATACATCGCGCAGGCGGAGGGATCGGTAAAATTAAATTGCCGCGTGCTTCTTGCCCTATAGGATTATTCTCTCTCTCTCTCTCTCTCTTACGGAGGAAGAAAAGTATAGGACGCACAGTTTCCGAGGAACGCCGAACGGTTTGTGTATATATATAGATCGCCAGTCTGCTGCTGTCGGCGGAGCTGATGAATTTTCATCGGAAAAGCGGTTATCGCGTCGAGAGCCTATATAGACGAGAGAGAAAGAGAAAAGAGAGACGAAAGCTCCGCAGCCCCTCGAATGGATATCGAAAACGAGATGTCGCGCTGAAAGTGGCCCTCCCGGTGTTCCGCGCGCGGGCTTGCAAAAGCTGTATTGTGCCCACAAAGGAGCAGCTATACTCCTGACCAACCTCCTCCTTCTTCTGTATAATATACATGTATATATACACGATCGCTGGAGTAGAGTGTCCACAAAGAAAGTTGAAATCTCAGCAGCGGCTCGAGCCTTGCCACTATATACTGCTACCTTATGCACCTCGACGACGACGACGGTCCTTCTTGGCAAATAAAAAAAAAAAAAGAAAGAAGAAAAAAAAAATAGAAGAAAAGTGACTCTCGAGGAATGAAAAACTCGCGCGCTTGCGAGTCTACGTACGAACGTATGTATGTGTCAGCTGGAGGGAAAAACTCGCTGACTGTTTTTTTTTCACCTTATCCTCGCGCGTTATTTGCATATAATGCAGCAGAGATCGACGCAGCAGCTGCTGCTGGACCACACTGGATCCAGCGTTCATCATGCATAAGAATTTTTTCGCCCACTCTTCGGCTTGGCCGAAAAATTTATTCCAGCGGCATCGATCGCGCGCCGCATCAGGACCTTTGCCGAGGCTTTATTGCTTATATTTATACTCCTTTCGTGAATAGTAGTGGATAGTAGTACTATAGGAAGCTTGGCTCGTCTAGTTTTATGCATCGAGGCTCTAGCTGCTGCTACTGCTGCTTGCTGCATTGTTATTGCACGCGAGCTGACGCCCATCCTGTACGCACAAACACGGTATATATATATAGAGAGAGGCACGAAATATCCATGTCAATCGAATATGGGCTCGAACTCGAGACTCTTGGTTGTACACACCTACACACGCGCGCGCATTTCCATATACTCTCTCGCTGCGCGGCTGCAATATCTATCTCGAACATCTCCTCCCAAAGCACGTCGTACCACCAACACACAAGTATAATAAAGGCAGCGGCAGTAGAAGCAGCAGTGGCAGCAGTCGACGACGAATGACAAACGCATAATCAGCTTAAATACACGTGCTTCGTGGGCTCGTGCAAAGCTCCCAGCTCCGTATACCATCCGTATATACATATCCTCCACTTTCTCATTGTGTGTGTGAAAACTGACTGCGCAGCAGGCAGGCAGCTGCGGCGGTATAATACATTATTATAAACGCGTACCGGAGAAAGAGAGAGAGGAGGAAAAAAGAGGAAGAAGAAGAAGAGGAAAGAAAATCCCTCCATCGAATCCAATCGAACATCCGTGAATATGAGGATTAAATTGGAATATTTTTTTCATTCGTCTTGTCGTATAATTCGAGTAGTGGCTGCTGCTCCGGACTTTTTTAATTCGAATCGAAAGCTCTCTCGCCGCACATAGAAACGCGAAATACCCGCGTATTCGATTTTTTCGATGGAATATTACACGTCTAATACGGTACGGGATGAAAAAAAAAAGAAGCGAGACAGTACGCGTGTGTACATAGGGGGCGAATTACCTGCCAACGGGATTGTCGGTGTGCAGGGTAAGGGGAAAACTAATTATCAGCATTGATTGCAGCTTTTCTCTCTTGATAAATCGCGCTAATTAGTCACGTCACTTCACTCGAGCAGCAGCAGCAGCAGCGGTGGCAGCAGCGCTTCGCAGCGTCGAGGCCCATATACACACACAGCGGCGGCGGTGGTGCTGTGCGCGCGCGAGTCTATTTTCCACTGAAATATTACCAAAGACAGAGAGTGAAGCTTGGCATGACGCGTACGCAGCGGCGGCATATATAGTTATATATATAACTAATTTTCCAGTTATAGAGCAGGAGCAGACTGCCATGTAATGAGATGCATGAGTGTTCTCCTATCCTCCTCGCTGCTAGCTAGAGTATGTGAGCTATATAGTGGTAGAGATATATAAATCGAGGATGTGTCAGGTATATCGGAATGAGGGAGGAGGTGCGGTGTGGTTATTATTAACGGAGATAAAAGAGAGACGAGACATGGTTGTTTTTTTTTTTTTTTTGATTTTTTATATTCGAGAGAAAAATCCTCCAGTAATTTTTATTGATTTTTTTTAAACAATAGATCGGTAACCGCATTCGATAGTTTATTTCATATATATACTTTATATATATAATATATTCATTATTTATCATTAATAATAATAATAATAATAATAATAATAATAATCGGTTTCATAAATAATAAATATTCTTCCGCATACACTTCATCATCATCATCATCATCATCATCATCATCATCGGCATCATCGTGTGTGTCGCGCGCACCTCATGTCGCTTTCGCCACCGCACATACTTTTTTTTTTATTTATTATAAATAATACACATTAGTTTTCGTGCGTGAGATAGATTCGTAAATTTTTTTTTTTTTTTCATTAATAATCTTAATCTTCGCTTTTTCGACCGTTGCTTTTTCCTCGTGTACGGCTAGGAGTTATGGCGTTATAGTTTACAAATTCATCCGCTTTTTTGCATCATTATTATTTTCTTGTTTCTACATAAATATTCCATCGCGATCGTACATTTTTTTGCCCCTCTCGTGTGGGTGTGTGTATTTGTTTACAATCGAAACTCA